GTGCCATTACATTCCATAGACGAATTGAGTTATCCCCTACTGCCAGATGCTTATGTAGAACCATCAGGAGGGTAACAAATTGATTAAACTGTCCCAGAATGACCATCTAATTTTATCCTGTGTTAACATCCCATTGACGGATGTCTTCTAATCATTTCTATAAGAATAGAGTTTTAAACTATGAACCCAAAAGTACCTTGTGAATTTTATCTCAAACAATCCCATATTAATTAATTATGAAGAGCTGATAATAATTTATCATAATAACTAAACAAAGAAACTTATGAATCTAGAATAAAATACAAACAAATTATCAAAACACCTTGTCACAAGATATAAGATTTCAAAATTAAAATGTCAATACCTTCATTTTATAGCCATAAATTTAAACTCTGATTTTTGGGATCTTTACAAATTATGTATTAATTAAAATATGATTCAACTTGAGTATAATTTATTATGGACTATATCAGATATTATATGCATATTATATTTATATTGTAAAATTTAAAGTAAAGTTCTTGTTCTATTTTAAATGCTAGGTTTGCTTCTCTATTTAATGATAATTACTACAAATTTATCCATGTTAGTATGAGATATCCAAAAGGTTGTAACATGTTGTGCCTCTAACTTCTCAATTGTCAATTTAGTACTATAATATTATAGTTACATAGTGTAAGAATTGTATATTGAAGCTAATCTTTTGTTCGGATTAAGTGCTTTATATATTATTGCTAAGGAGACTGAATAATTAACAAACCAAAACTCATTTAAAATCAACTGTTTTTATCAATTTATTTCAATCCTTGTAAATAAAATCTTAATGAGAAACCCTCTTCACAAAAGGCTGGACGAAACAATCTTAGGAAATGTATAATTAATCCTTAATTAATAACACTAATTCCAAATGAAGATCTGTATGTTTCTTAACTAATTTGAGATGGGGTGAATTAATAAATACTTTTTGAATGAAAGAAATGGAGTCAATGTTTTAGACCCTACATACGATTTCTGAGAAGTGGTGTAAAGGAAGTAAAAATTGGTACAATTTGCACTTCGTATTCTTCCTTTGTTTAGTCTTTAATCAATTCACCATATTTAGGAATAGAGCAGCTGATTTCTTTCTCTAACAGCTGAAATCATGATGGCTTCAAAAAAATCTCGCTCAAAATCAATAAGGACAAATACAGCCTTTATTCTCAATATCTTAATTGCAGATCAATTATAAGAACAACCTAACTTGCTTTGATGAGATAGTATTTTTCTTGAGCAAACATCTAGTTAAGTCTCAAAACTTCTAATATTCTGAGGCAATTTGCCAAATTCTTCATATAGCAAGTCAATTCTAGTTTAAGTAAATATACCAGAGTTGACATATCATATCTGATAACAATGTGATAAACTTACTGTTGCTCAATCATTACGGTTACCACATGCAGATAAACTTCTTTAACTTGCATCAACATATACGGGTTCCTTCTTCGTGAAAATATTATCAATAATTTACTGATTGTAAATATTTCAAAATAGTGTAAATTTTTTTGTCTAACATTTTTCTTTTTACACTTTATATGATGAGAAACAATCAAGAAGTCTTTTTCGTTACATGTTACTTTATTTATTATATTCCTCAGAAATTTAAATTGAATTTTTATAAAGGTAAGTAATCAACTTAACTAAAGAAAATCATCTATTAAAAGAATATCTTGGCATTCCATCATTTTTTAAATAATAGAGTAAAGGAATTGAAATCATACCTTAGAGATGTTCCCAATAGATATGGAATTGTGGGATATTACACAAGCTTTATGATTTGTCAAGGGGGGTGCTGAATACTATTGATTGAATGTGAATGCTCTCTAACATGAAATTAAACAACTGAAGATTTAATGTGCTGAATTAAAATAACTATTGCTTGAATAGAAAGATAAATATTGACAGCAATAATAAAATATTGAAACTAACTTAACAAAACAGTATTCTAAAGCCCCAAAGGAACTTTAGGAAAATTTAACATTAGCCACTTCAAATTGCTAAATATTTAGAAAATCTATGAATCTTCTAGCTTAAGAGAAAACAAGTAAATTAAAAGTTTCTAAAATGAATGATGTTGAAAAATACGAATTATAAATGATTATAGCAAAAGGAAAATCATAATTGTCTGACTTGGAAAAGGCATATACAATCCAATTACGTAAAGTTTAATAGTCAAATTTCGAGGAATAATAAACGAAATTAAAGAATTAGGCTAAGGATATAAATGAAAAAGGTAACAACGAATTTTACTTACATTGAATGCGAACAGAATGAGAAGAAGATTTCATCTTATGAGAAATTTAACAAGATTATGAAACTATCCTTAATTAATAGACAGAATTGCAAGAAATAATTAAAAATTAACAAGCAGAAGCTTAAGTTCAATCATAGACACAATAAAAATTGGAATTATGAAATAGGCATCTGCGAAATCCTAAATTTTGGAAATTGATAAAATAGGAAAGTTAAGAAAGGTAGAAGGGAAGTAACTTAACGCTTAGGTCATTAAATTGCAGCTATAGGAAGAATAAGCGTAACTAATATTTTAAAATGAAATTTTTTTAATAAAAAATTTCTTAATTAAAAGATCAAATAGTTTGGCAATAGAAATTTGAAATTAAATATAGATAACTTATAAATGAGAGAGTTTACTTAGATTGTGAAAATAAATTGGAAACCTAGTCTAATGTATTTAAAAATGAAATAAATGAAACAAGTAAAAAATTTAAAAGCAAGAGTAACTAATTCATGCTTAAGAAGTTGATAAAATTCAATAAATTAAAAAAAGGATGTAAATGCTTAATTGTAAGAAGAAAATTTGAATTGACTTAACAACTATTAAAATTAGAGGAATAATCTAAAATATTTACAGAATAACTTAAAGAATAAATTAATGATTTACCCAATTAATTTAATAATCGGCCCAGTAGACATGATGATTTGGATATTATCAAATAGCTTGAAAAAGAAAATGAGAATTTAAAGGAATAAATATAAAGTAACTTTGCAAAAATAGAATATGCTAATGAAATAGTGAAGTAGAGAATTACAAAAAGTAGTATAATTTATTTTCAAATCATAAACCAAATAATTTTCCAAAAAAAAGAGTTTTATTTGATTCAACGCTGGAGGATGAATTGTTTTTGATAGCAAATAAGATTTCTTGCCCACTTTAAGTTTATCAAACTTAATGTAATAGCTGAGAAATCATCAATAGTTACTAGTACCTTTTCCATTATAATAGTCAGAATTTTCTGGATTTTTTTTAAATTGCTGAATTATAATTTTCCAAAGCCTCCTCAAATCTATTCATTTTATTTGAAATTTCTGAAAATCATTTTTTTAATTATTAATTTGCTAAAATTTCATCTAAACTAGAATTAATGCTGAATTTTATTATTTAACAGTTTTTTTCAGCATGTTCATTTTGGCTAAAATTTATTCGTAGTCGTTTCAAATTTCCTAGCCTTTAAGATATCATTAATTTTTAATTATACATAAGTAATTACAATCCTCTAGTTTCTACTGAATTATATACAGAATTTTGAAGCTTCTTAAGATTACTTTAACATTATTTTACAATATTATGTCTAATAGACTTGATTTTAATTTGAAACATTTTTCTAAAGTCTTTTTTTGTTTTTCTTTTACTAATATAGTTTTATTTATAAACTCATTTTTTTCTATTCTTTTAACTTATTGGATTACACCCTATTTTGAATTCGATATGTTTACCCTTTAGTCAAAACCCACTTCTCACATCTTATTATTTATTTATTTTAAACTTGCTGTCATACTTAATGCTTTCTTTTACCTTTTTTATTATTTAAGTTATATTTTCTACTCAAATCAATAAGCTTGAGGCTTATAATTTAACTTTTTAGATACTTATCCAAAATTTTTGGTATTACTCATCAAATTCCATATATAATTTATGAATATTTTTAATATTTATGTTTGATTAAAAAATCGTAATAAGACAAAAATGCTTAATGAATAAGATTATTATTGTTGACTTAAAGAATAGATAATTATCAATTCAAACATCAGATATATGATCAATTCAATTGATTCTTTCTTTAGTATTGACGATGATGACTACTTTAAGGCAAGCACTTGCCTAAACTTACTTCGTCAATGATAACTTCAGATCATCTCCATTTCCTTGTTGAAATTTTTCACAAAAGAGTTTATCATCTTATTCTAATACTACCTTTTTGATTTCCAACTTGATAATTTTGTTGGGTTCACATTCTAGTTAATTCTATCTGATTATCTAATATGAATAATTTCGAAATTTCTTTAAAATTTTTGGTCATCTTACAAAAAAGAATTGTTGTTTTTATCTAGCTCCTAACTATTATTCAGTTTTTTTCTAATATTTGTAATAAACCACAATTTATTTGAGATTTGATTTTTATCAAAGTTTATCTTTTTTTCTATAAATAAGGTGTTTTTAAAAAAAATACCACAATTTCGAATTAGTAATTATAGGTTATCACATCTTAACCTTATTTTATAATTCTTCCTGTTAATAGAATAAATTTACATTTTTTCATCGAACTCTTATCGAAAAGGAGAATTATTCTCATCTGTTATTAAATTGTACTCATTGAAAGAAAAGGAATACATTAATATGAGTTTTGTAATTTATATATATTTGGGACTCTCTAACATAAAATTTCTATATTTAATAATTATTAAAAATAATTTCTTATGTCAACAAAAAAGGTGAAGCTTAGAAAAAGTTTGGCTAATATGCAAGAGAACATCTTGAGTCTTTCGCCATATTTGATAGATAACAAATCTTCTATGGATGCTTGTGCTTCATTAGTGTTGAAAGGCAAACATGGGCTTAAGAAACCTTTCAATCGATATACCTATATGAATAAATACTTCTTATATTGATTAATTGACTTATAAATGTACATATATTTATAAATATTTGCTAGCTTTTTAACAATAAAATTTCTTAAAAAAATAAATATATCCGACCTTTTTTTCACAAATCTTCATAAGGACCCTACAATGAGCTTAGTTTTAGCACAGGTAGGTTTCAAAATACGCTCTCCTAATTATTGGACTTATCTCATGCTTGTTATTATGTTAATTTATATTTATAAAGGAACCTAATTTGTTTTTTTTTTAGTCAACTTTATACTTTTGCCTTTTGATGATCTTTCATTTCTTTTATGCTCTTTTTTTGCTTTCTAACTTTTGCGCTTGACTTAATTGATTAATGAATGCCCACTTTGCTTTAAGATACAAAGGGATTATGATAGCTCAGCTTTTAGTGTCTTGTCCAATATTGATACAATAATGATTAACAAAGTTATAAAGTTAAGGAAAATCAATTTTACTTGCAACCTATTATCAAATATTAAAACATGGTTTTTACAGAAATCTTTTATTTGACTCTGATTTTGTTTGTGTTCTATAATCAATTAATTTGCTACTAATATAATTCTTGATATTATTGGCCAATTTTTAATACTTTCAACAAAAGAAAAATCAATTTATAAAATATTCAGTTAGTCCATCATATTCAATAAAACTAAATATGTACAAAAAAATGCCTAATATAAGTGTTATTTGGAAGGAGATGTCTTAGAGCGCAATGATATCTAGAGAACTCAGGAAGCGAAGTAGATAAAGAAAATGAGATTTGAAGAAAAAGGAGGATGTTGAATTATTATTATTTGTGCAATTCTTTATTGAGCTCAAGTTTTGTAATATTTGTCTGTTTATCATTATATTTAAATATCAATACAAATCATTGATTTCTGTAAACTACTCACAATTCTAATAAATATATTGCAAGATTTTTCATCCATTGAAATTAAATCAAGCTGTTGTTTATTTCGAATTTTACTTTGCTTTGGAATATGTTGCATTATTATATAATTATTCTGAATTACTGTAAATAGTAAATTGATATTATTGTGGCTATTCTTTAAAATTAGATTACTCAGTTATTCTTTACTTTGTGCTCTGCTCAGTTCTTAGAAATTTAAAGGATCCAGCTAAAAAAAACTAAGGTTAGAAAATAAACCAAAGGTCTGAGTTAAAAAATTAAAAGTCTATGAGGAATATTCGAAAAGAGTTTGGGATAAACTTTATTGTTTTCAATTCCTTAATGAACTCTTACATCCTTTTTTGGCTATTTTTGTTAACTCTCAAGTAAACATTCTTGATCAAAATTATTAATAATTACAACCACAATTAGTATTTTAGTAACAATTTGCCTATATATTAGTCTGACAGCTTTAGTTGATATCCAATATGAATGGAAAAATTTAATTTATATTCCGAAAGGAATTTAAAATATAGTTGAATAATTGGAAGAAAATACACACTATTTCAAATTTCAAGTNAATATTTGCTAGCTTTTTAACAATAAAATTTCTTAAAAAAATAAATATATCCGACCTTTTTTTCACAAATCTTCATAAGGACCCTACAATGAGCTTAGTTTTAGCACAGGTAGGTTTCAAAATACGCTCTCCTAATTATTGGACTTATCTCATGCTTGTTATTATGTTAATTTATATTTATAAAGGAACCTAATTTGTTTTTTTTTTAGTCAACTTTATACTTTTGCCTTTTGATGATCTTTCATTTCTTTTATGCTCTTTTTTTGCTTTCTAACTTTTGCGCTTGACTTAATTGATTAATGAATGCCCACTTTGCTTTAAGATACAAAGGGATTATGATAGCTCAGCTTTTAGTGTCTTGTCCAATATTGATACAATAATGATTAACAAAGTTATAAAGTTAAGGAAAATCAATTTTACTTGCAACCTATTATCAAATATTAAAACATGGTTTTTACAGAAATCTTTTATTTGACTCTGATTTTGTTTGTGTTCTATAATCAATTAATTTGCTACTAATATAATTCTTGATATTATTGGCCAATTTTTAATACTTTCAACAAAAGAAAAATCAATTTATAAAATATTCAGTTAGTCCATCATATTCAATAAAACTAAATATGTACAAAAAAATGCCTAATATAAGTGTTATTTGGAAGGAGATGTCTTAGAGCGCAATGATATCTAGAGAACTCAGGAAGCGAAGTAGATAAAGAAAATGAGATTTGAAGAAAAAGGAGGATGTTGAATTATTATTATTTGTGCAATTCTTTATTGAGCTCAAGTTTTGTAATATTTGTCTGTTTATCATTATATTTAAATATCAATACAAATCATTGATTTCTGTAAACTACTCACAATTCTAATAAATATATTGCAAGATTTTTCATCCATTGAAATTAAATCAAGCTGTTGTTTATTTCGAATTTTACTTTGCTTTGGAATATGTTGCATTATTATATAATTATTCTGAATTACTGTAAATAGTAAATTGATATTATTGTGGCTATTCTTTAAAATTAGATTACTCAGTTATTCTTTACTTTGTGCTCTGCTCAGTTCTTAGAAATTTAAAGGATCCAGCTAAAAAAAACTAAGGTTAGAAAATAAACCAAAGGTCTGAGTTAAAAAATTAAAAGTCTATGAGGAATATTCGAAAAGAGTTTGGGATAAACTTTATTGTTTTCAATTCCTTAATGAACTCTTACATCCTTTTTTGGCTATTTTTGTTAACTCTCAAGTAAACATTCTTGATCAAAATTATTAATAATTACAACCACAATTAGTATTTTAGTAACAATTTGCCTATATATTAGTCTGACAGCTTTAGTTGATATCCAATATGAATGGAAAAATTTAATTTATATTCCGAAAGGAATTTAAAATATAGTTGAATAATTGGAAGAAAATACACACTATTTCAAATTTCAAGTAAATACCGGTCAATAATTACAAATTTTTTGATTCACAATTCAAAGGTGTATTAAATTGGATTTACCTTAAGCTGGCAAATTGTTATTGGAAATAATTTTGGATCTACGAAGTGATCCTTTAAAAACAGAAACCTTATTTAAATAGTGGGGTATAAGTATTTTGTTTTCAGCTTAAATTAAGATTATATTTATTAGTTAGAAGTGATTTCTTATTTTTTAACTGAGGTTTTATTAACATTCTACTTAAAGTAAANATTTCTTTTATGCTCTTTTTTTGCTTTCTAACTTTTGCGCTTGACTTAATTGATTAATGAATGCCCACTTTGCTTTAAGATACAAAGGGATTATGATAGCTCAGCTTTTAGTGTCTTGTCCAATATTGATACAATAATGATTAACAAAGTTATAAAGTTAAGGAAAATCAATTTTACTTGCAACCTATTATCAAATATTAAAACATGGTTTTTACAGAAATCTTTTATTTGACTCTGATTTTGTTTGTGTTCTATAATCAATTAATTTGCTACTAATATAATTCTTGATATTATTGGCCAATTTTTAATACTTTCAACAAAAGAAAAATCAATTTATAAAATATTCAGTTAGTCCATCATATTCAATAAAACTAAATATGTACAAAAAAATGCCTAATATAAGTGTTATTTGGAAGGAGATGTCTTAGAGCGCAATGATATCTAGAGAACTCAGGAAGCGAAGTAGATAAAGAAAATGAGATTTGAAGAAAAAGGAGGATGTTGAATTATTATTATTTGTGCAATTCTTTATTGAGCTCAAGTTTTGTAATATTTGTCTGTTTATCATTATATTTAAATATCAATACAAATCATTGATTTCTGTAAACTACTCACAATTCTAATAAATATATTGCAAGATTTTTCATCCATTGAAATTAAATCAAGCTGTTGTTTATTTCGAATTTTACTTTGCTTTGGAATATGTTGCATTATTATATAATTATTCTGAATTACTGTAAATAGTAAATTGATATTATTGTGGCTATTCTTTAAAATTAGATTACTCAGTTATTCTTTACTTTGTGCTCTGCTCAGTTCTTAGAAATTTAAAGGATCCAGCTAAAAAAAACTAAGGTTAGAAAATAAACCAAAGGTCTGAGTTAAAAAATTAAAAGTCTATGAGGAATATTCGAAAAGAGTTTGGGATAAACTTTATTGTTTTCAATTCCTTAATGAACTCTTACATCCTTTTTTGGCTATTTTTGTTAACTCTCAAGTAAACATTCTTGATCAAAATTATTAATAATTACAACCACAATTAGTATTTTAGTAACAATTTGCCTATATATTAGTCTGACAGCTTTAGTTGATATCCAATATGAATGGAAAAATTTAATTTATATTCCGAAAGGAATTTAAAATATAGTTGAATAATTGGAAGAAAATACACACTATTTCAAATTTCAAGTAAATACCGGTCAATAATTACAAATTTTTTGATTCACAATTCAAAGGTGTATTAAATTGGATTTACCTTAAGCTGGCAAATTGTTATTGGAAATAATTTTGGATCTACGAAGTGATCCTTTAAAAACAGAAACCTTATTTAAATAGTGGGGTATAAGTATTTTGTTTTCAGCTTAAATTAAGATTATATTTATTAGTTAGAAGTGATTTCTTATTTTTTAACTGAGGTTTTATTAACATTCTACTTAAAGTAAACCTATTTTAATTATAAAATGGTAGTTAAGGAACTGAAAAGCAAAATCTTCTTTATATGTCAGAAATTTTTTGAGCATGTAATAACTTGGATTATCGATTTAAAAGAAATTAAAAATTAAAATAAATCAGTTATTGTTTTTAATCAAAACAGAATTCCTTTGGGGTGGCCAAAGCCATCGACCTAAATAATGGTTTTTACATAATAAACCAAGAAAGTAAAGGAAATTCAAATTCTCCAAGAATTCTACTTAAATAAAATGTAATCTTTGAGTATTATCATATAGTTTGGATGTGAAAATGGTGCAATTACAGTTAGAAAAGTTAAATCAGCTGGATAATTAATAAATTTGTTGACTTTCTTTGGGAATCTGTAGTTCTTTTACTACCTGATTATTTTTGAAAACCTTTATATTGTTTTATAAGTTTATAATTGAAAGTTTGAAATGTATTACCAAATACATTGCATGATATTAATAAAATGGAAATTTATCATAAACTAGAATGATAATTTATTTTATTTTCCATCTTAATCAATCGATTTTTAAATTACTCTAAAGTATGTATTTTTAAACGAAAAAAATAAAATAAAATTTTTTGGATTAAAAAATCTAAATTGAACTTCTATATACTAAATAATCATTCTTCATTCCTTGTGATAATGTCTTTTTAGTCTGGCTAGATAACTATCTGCCACTTTTTAGAATGTGTCAATTCCAGTTATTCTCTCAGAGTCCCAAAGATCTGACCATCCATTAACTTCCAAAACTTATAATCCATGAACTTCTGAATCTAAGATATCAACTCCTCCAATAGTTAGATTTGGTTCAATTGCATTAACTGCCTTAAGAGCAACTTCTTCATATCTTTTGAATTAATCCATCTTATTGACTAATTTCAATGATTCATGATAACCATTATTTGATCTAAAGTCCTACAATAAAAAAGAGATTTACTGATCCTGTATCACTAAATTCACATGCTAAAATTAGCTGACCATTCATACAGAGGGCTCTTACTGACCTTCCAATTGAATCAGGAATAAATTTTTAAATTACGGACTAATGATTCTTCCAGACCTCCTTTGAAGCCATGCTAATTATCTCATCTTAACCTCTGGCTAGTTATACTCCGTCTCCACCATATCCATCTAATGCCTTTACAACTCCCTTTTCTTATTAAGTAAAATTAGATCTAACAGTTTATTTAATAGTGTTCACTGTAAAAGCAGCCATACTTTTAGGGATAGGTACTCCATGTTTAGCAAATCTAAGGCCTTATAGTAATTTGCTTTGTAATATCTTTTCAGCATTAGTGGAATGCAAAGTGACTTTACCAGCACTCTCTGCTGCTTCAATGAAGTAGTTAAAGTCCTACATATGTTTAGGACTCATGTAACCCCAATTCATAACACCATCAAAGTCTATTAACTCTCCTTTATTGTAGAAAGAAATTTTCTATATATATTTAGGATTTAAGATTACTCCAGCTTCCCATTCAAAATATAGATCTTCTAATTCGACCTATATTACATCCACTCCCAGCTTTCTTAGGCAATTTTATAATCTGTCGTCCAATTCAGTGAAGAAGACGGGATCTGCATTTCTAATGTATATCACTTTAAACATAATTGCACAAATAATTATTTAATAACAAATCAGAATTTCTACAATATAAAGTGAGAAATCGTGTTTAAGAATGTTAGATTTTCTAGAATGTATAAAATCATAAATGTCTAGATTTTATAGTAAATCTCAGTTTCTTGTTGACAAGAGATTTAGATGAAAATACATTGAAATATATGAAAGCAACTAATATTACAATTAATTTGGTAACCACATATATCTTAATCAAAAATCTTCTTCTTTAATCACAAGAAAATCATTTTCATCTATTCCTATGATATACGAGTTTGGAGTTATCCTACTAATATAACCAAAGGTTTTCTCATTATCGTAGTTCTTTTTAATTTATTCAACAGAATTAAAGAATTTATCTAATTCCGTTTGATTTTAGCAGTAAAATCCTAAAGCTATTGATGGACTCATTTATTCCTCATTAATATATTTAACATCTTTACAAAAGAATGTATCCTTGAGCATCACAACATTCCCTCTATTAATATGCTCCTAAATATAATGAGGATCCAAATAAATTAATCTTTTGTTTACTCTTCCAAGAATGTAATAGGCTTTGTCATCTTTTCCTCCTATAATTCCTTAAAAGTGTGGCAAATCTATTAAATCATTTAAAAATGGCAAATAGTCCTTATTAATTTCATCCAATCCAATTCTTGTTATGAAAAAGATTGCTAAAGCTTTAGGTTCTTTCTTTTGGCAAACATTACAGATTTTTGATATTTCTTTATTTTTATCTTATTTTATTTCATTAACTATATGTTCACAATCCATCTTTAGACCATACATTTCTGAATACAATCTATCATACATCAGATTATCAGAAATAGTTATTTCTAAATCTTCACTTCCTTCTAGTTATTTTTATTAATGTAATAATGATAGAGCATTCAATATCTAATCAGGTCTATACCATTAGCAGGGCTTCATAGAAAATTTTATTTGTGATATGGCTTCTATTTTTTGTATTGAATAAGGGCTTAAACAAAGTTTAAAATTATCTGTAAACATTTTTTTATGTTCATCATCATCATCATCTGAAAAAGCACAAAGTAATTTATATTGATAATCTTTGCTATGCTATTTCTTTTACCTTATATGAACTCTCAAAATTTAAGCCCATATCATTTAACCTGACCTTAACATACAACCCCAACCAGCATCAGAAGTTTATTAGCTATCTAAATAATTATGTGCTTTAATACTTAAAATTTAAGGGAAATTCTTACGATATGTAAACCATATTGTTCGACTATATATTTGTTGAATGATTTCTTTTTTCTTCTAAAATAATAAACATGTAATTTACCTCAGAAGGCAGATTTTTGATACTGAAGCCTAAAATGCTTATTGAGGCATCAACCAATTCTTTGTTATTTATATCATCCTTACTACTTTGCTACCATGAATATCTAAAATATAAATGTCTGAATATGTACTTTAAATTCAATAGAGATTAAAACATATTATATTAATAAAAATAAAAGTGTATAATTATTGATTACCAATAGAGTATTTCTGGGAATAAATTGCTATATTGAATTAATAATTAATTTCATAATAAATCTGTCACATTCATAGGCATCTCATCAATTTGTGTTGAATAATATTATTCAATATCTCTCAGAAGTCTGACGTCTTCTTATTTAACAAAATTGATGGCAACACCCTTTCTTCCAAATCTACCAGACCTACCAATTCTGTGGATATACAATTCTCTAGAGTTTGGTAAATCATAATTGATTACTAAGGATACTTATTGAACGTCAAGACCTTGTTGTTAATTTAAAAATAATACCTCTTCCCCAAACATCAGTAGCAATCAAAACTCTCTTATTTCCTTATCTAAATTCGGCCATAATTTTATCTCTTTCCTTTTGAGACATTTTTCCGTTCATCTAGACCACAGTAAATTCATGTTCTCTCATCTTATTTGCTAACCATTCACACTTATTAATTGTAGAGCAAAAGATAACTGCTTAAGTGATAGTTAGGGTATCATATAAATCACATAGAGTATCGAACTTCCATTCTTCTTTATCCACTTAAATAAAGAATTATTTAATTCCTTCTAATGTCAATTCATCTCTTTTCACTAATATCTTAAGGGGATTGTTCATGAATTTGTCAGTCATATCAAGTATTTCTTGAGGCAAGGTTGCTGATACTACTACATTCTAAGTTGTAGGCGGTAAATATCTATAGATATCATAAACTTATTATTTGAATCCTTTAGTTAACATTTCATCAGCCTCATCAAGTATCAACATTTTTAAATGGCGAACTCGTAATTCTTTCCTCTATATCATATCAAATACTCTGCCTGGAGTACCGGATACTATCTATACTCCATGCTACAGTTTGCTAATATCATCTTAAATAGAATGCCCTCCAATACAAGCATGAACTATCATATTATCGACTAATATTCTTACTTGATACATTAAGAAAATCTCCTAAAGCCATAGCTACTTTTGCACTTTGTTCTGCCAACTCTCTTGTATTCGATAAAATCAAGACTTAAGGTTCCCTAAGAATATTAAAAATAATCTTCTACCTAATAGATAAATCTATCATCGACAAAGCTGACAAACTAAATACTGCCGTCTTACCAGTACCACTCTGACTCTATACTATTACATCTCTTCCTTATATTACAGGAACAATTGCTCTTTATTACACTGCTGAAGGTTTATTAAAACCAAAAGCATAGATGCCTATATTTTTCTTAAATTTTTACCTCTTAAAAGTTCTTCCCTCAACTACATAGATTCAAAAGTAGGATAAATTGTTATTTGTTCTGAAGTTTCATACTCTGCATTGTCTTATAAATTGTGCTTATCCATAAATTAATTATTTAATCTTTAATTACATCTGAACTCAAATCTATTAGCTTCTCGATAATATCTTATATTTATATATTAAATCATTCTCTATTTGCCATTACATCCTCTGAATAGCTCTGTCTTTCAACAATTAGTTTCTTTCCTTCGAAACCTTGGGATTGTCCTGGCTCAAAAGGAGCAGCTCTTCTGTCTCTATGGTATTTGCTTAAATATTTTCAAGACCGACTTTACATAAATTCTAATCTATTTAAACTCTACATTGCCCCTTAAGGAAAATAATGATTAGGTGTGTGAGATTGATTGTCTGTTGCAGGTTTCTAATAAAATGGCTAGACAAAATGTGAATGCCCAGTTCTTGAAGGAGCCTCATCATAGACATGAGCCATCCAACCATGCCATACTGGAGGAACCCTATCTCCAAGAGTATGCCACGGGTTGAAATAATCATTATATTCCACCCATCTCCTTTGATTTCGATCTAAAAATTGCTTCTCTACAAAGCATACGTGTGACATCAAAATCTTCGTAATATTTATTGCCAAATTAATCCTAACCAACGCATTGTATTGGTCCATTTTAACCTCCTGCATAATGACTAGATCTTGATTAAGCTCTGTGCATTCTAATATAGGTTTACCAAAATCCTAAGACTTTATAGTTTAGAATTACCTTCTCTTCGAACCAAAGTCCAAAATTTAGGAGTTAACATCTAGTTTAATGTCCAAGCCCAAAGCCCCATTTTATTTTATATTTAATATAATAAATCAAATCAATCTAGATTTTACAAACTGTAAATTTTAGAATAATAAATATAAGGATTAAAATACTTAGTCAATTTATCAAATTGCTCTTCTTTCAAATTATGATATACCCATTAATTAAAGTACTTAATGAATTTATTACCATAAAATTTAAATATAATAATTTAGATGTTATTTGGAACTATTCATTTTTATAAAGAAAAAATTTTTAAATTCATTCAATTTTGTAGAATAGAGAATGCTTTTTACCATAATTCCGACCATCTAAATATAGCGAATATTAACAAAGAAAGATTTTTTGTAGTAGAGCGAATTATTTTTGAGGTTCAATCTAAATAATTGAATTTAAAGACTAATAAATGAATCCTGTATAAAATCAATTAATAATTAAGGTTCATCTATTTTGTAATCGAAAGGAATTCATTTTACCTACCTTAAATTATAAGATATAAACATTTTCTTTGATTATTACGCTAGTTCTCATTTGTATTAAAGTTTTAATTATAAAATCTATTGATATGTTTATAACAAATAATTTGTTGTAACAATAAAATTAATCTTTAAACAAGAAAATATTCAATCATTTTATTTAGATTATTTTTTCTGATTAAATTTACATAATAAATAAAATTTAATCGTAAAATGTTAGATTTATAAGAAGGGAGAAAAGTGAATAATTGGAATGCTAAATTGCAATTTTAAATGGAACAAAAGTTAGTAAAAAAAATTAAAACAATTTTTGTTTTTATTTCAAATGAAAGATGAGTTCCAGGGAATTAAATAAGTATATTCATAGGAAATATAGAAAAATTATATATATAATTTAAAAAAGCCTTTAAACATTCAGCCTAAACTTAAAAAATTATTTGTAATACTATTTTATTTGTACTGATGAATTCTGATACTTTGGCGGTAAATTGGTGGGAAGTGATAAAGTTGGCTAATGTAATACAATAAATGATAGATGTATATATTAATATTGGATGTATACTTATGTATTAATTTTGATAATTGGAGTTTATAAAAATGAGTGGTTTTTTCAAGTAAAAGCAACTAAATGAAAATGAATGTATAATTTTAAAATTCATTTAGTTAAAACTCCTAAAAAGGTTTAATAGTAATAATAGGAAAATATCTCGACGATAGAAGAATTTGGATTAAAAGATTCTCCTTAACAATTCCAAAATAAATCAATATAAACTTTAAAGAACGAATAAAAATTGGAAGAAAAAGTTAACAAAATAATCAGACGAATCAAATTTGACGACGACCAGCTAGTCATTAAGAAAGATTAATCCATTTTTAGATAAAAAAGAACAACCAACAAAGAATATAAAGGTATACAATAAGTTAATAAGATTAGTCAATTCATCATACACTTTGGATTTGATAAATTCAATAGAAATAAGAAGGGACAATGTCATCGTAAATAAATTAGAGAAAGTGCAAGCCTCAGATCAGTAAATATAATAATGCTAAATTCTTTAGTTTATAATAATAATATTAGAATATTCGGAATGAATCCATTACATGTAGATGTAAGAAAACAAAATGTATAAAATATTATTGTGAATGCTTCTAATATGGATAAGAATGTTCATTTAAGTGTGAATGCACTGGGTGTTGCAATAAATAAGTAAAATAATCGAGTGGTAAAATGTAATTGGTAAGCCCAACAATTGAATTTTAAGGATGTAAATGTCAAAAATAAAAGTATTAATATGTTTTATTCAATCTATAGTTGTTCAAAGAAATATTGTGAATGTCTCAAAAGAAATCAAAGATGTACAGACCTATGTAAATGCATTGATAATTGTAGCAACTAGCTTCATTAAATTAAACCTTAAATATTAGATTTTAGCTAATTATTAAGTCAATTTGAAGATAGGACTTGATTATATCAATTTCCATTGATTTCAATTTGTTTCGACACAAAAATATTATTAATCTATGAGTCCTCATCTAAGCTTAGTTTATTATATGTTCCAATAATTCTAGAACTGAAGTACCAATCTCTCTAATCTGCACCTAAATTCAGTAAGATCATTTGGGTTAACTAGAAAATTATTAATTATAATAAATATTTAAATTAGTTATTAATAATCTATAAAATACAGTCTGAGAAAGAAATAAAAAAGAGAGTCAGAGAATTACTGAAAAGTGTTGGCTTATAAGACAGAATGGATCATTTACCATCAGAATTATGGGGAGGTGAATAGTAGAGAGTGGCAATAGCTAGATCTTTGGCAAATTCGCCATAGATTTTATTATTGGATGAACCTACAGGAGATTTAGATTCAAAATCAACAGTATAAGTCATGGACATATTATTGAAACTTAACAATTTTGAATATGATGAATCTAATCACATTCCTTGTACTATTGTTATGGTTACTCATAATCCTGATCTTGAATGCTATACCCACAGAATTATTTATATCAAAGATGGAAAGATTGAAAAAATAAGCTATAAATGAGAGAGAATCTCCATTAAGATACGAATAATACCTTCACTATCTTAATAGTTGAAACTGATTATTATTACAATTAATATATGGTTTCATTTTATAGAATATTGATACAATTAAACTATCATCATTTATATAGTTGTTAGTGATCAGATAAATTGATGAACGTTTTGTAGCACAAGTCATCTTAGATTATTGATTAAGGGATGAAAAATTCTACAATGATTATATAAACTAATCAATTATAAAATAATAATAAAATATATTAATAACTCAATTTAAAATTTAGTCATAAGGTTCAATATTAATTTTGGATATTGATTACTAATTAGCTGGTTTGAGAAGGAGTTTCTTTTATCCTATTTGTTTTGATTTGTTATCTCTGTCTAATCGACTCTGTAGATATTCATAACTCAATTTTTAGGGTTTTGCAAATGCTATTAAATTGTTTTATTCAATTATCATTTATATTTTGTTCAGCTCTTTGTTATCATCAATTACTTCTTTTTTTACTTTGTTGCTACTCAAATATTTATCCAATAATTGCGATTTAAGAGAAGAACATTAATTTTTTATTTAACTAGAAAGATCCACTTAATTTAAATTGATATTTTCTTATTGTATTTCTGCTTATTTTGATTTTGGTTAGAAAGGTAAAATTTAACTTTTTTTTTTAGATTCTAAAATTTGATAGATCTCTTCTATTTCATCTTCAGTAAATGTTTAGATTGAAGATTGTACATTAATTTCTTATAAGATAGATTCGCATTTATCTGAAATCAATGAGGCCTTTTAAGTACCTTTAATTAAGATTTCATTTGCTGAAAATTCTAAGGCACCTAAATTTTATTTTTATCCATCAATAAAATTTGAGACAGTATTCATTTTATTTTCTATCTTGTTGAAAATATGATCATCTAATGTTCCATCTCCAATTAAATAATGACAATCAACACATTAAACTTAACCAATTCTATGTGCCCTATCCTCTGCTTACATCATGATAGCAGGAGTCCAATGCATTTCACCAAACACTATAGTTGAAGCTGCTGTCAATGTAATTCCATAATTTGCAGATGTAACACTCAAAATAGCGATTCGAATAGAATCATTATTTTAAAACATTTGGACATTCAAATGTCTTTATTCAATACTAACACTACCATCAATTCTCATATATTAAATATTATTCTAGATACAATATTCCTAAACTGCATCCAATACATCCTAATGATGAGCAAAGAATAAAAATTTTATTTCATTTTCAAACAATGTATTTATATAATCCTTTATTGCCTTTATTTTTGCTTAACCTGTTAACATGTAGCATTTCTACAAAATTGAATTGATAGTGGGCAATTACTCACTTTGGTCCTTTGAGGATTCCTAAAAAATGGTGTCCTTATTGATAAGCTGTTGAATGTCAATATTTCCCAATTATTTTAAAAGCGCATCTATTTACTTAATTTGACTTGCCTCCCCCGGAATTCTTACCTTAACCCTTCTCTTTTCAGGTAACTAATTCAAAACATCTTTCTTTAGCCTTCGAATCATGATATAATTAGTTAACAAAAAGTGCAATTCTTTTAAGTTTGATGCTCCATCAAAATCAATGCCTTTTGTAAATCTACTCAATTTTGGATCGCAATATCGATATCCAAATTCCTTGAAACTACCAAAAATATCAGGTCTAATAATATTCAACAAATTAAATAAATCTCTTGGTTTAGATAATGCAGGTGTGCCAGTCAATAAAATTGTTCTCATGCATTATCTCAAAATAGGAACACATGCTTAACTTCGGATTGCTTAAGGACTTTTTAAATAATGACATTCATCTGCTATGCAAATTTAAAACTTTCTGTTCATTAAACTCTAAATATTATCTGAATATATTTACATCTTTTATTTTACTACAAATATCATATGAAACTATAATTATTTTGGCATTCATCCTAATTCCTTCACGACCACTATTGAATATTTGGATGTCAGTTTTATGGATTTTTAACCAGTGTATGATTTCATCCTACCAATTCAACCTCAATGGCGAAGGACACATGATTAATAAAGGCCAATTTTATTTATACATGCTTGCAAGGGCCAAAGATTGCACTGTCTTACCAACACCCATATCATCTGCAATCAAAATTCGACCATTAAATTTTAATCCTTATTTAATGCAATCTCTTTGATATTAATACAAATTTTCATGCAAAGCTTTATCAATTTATTCATAATTTATCATATTATCATACTTCAAAGTAACCAATTAACCATTATCAAAATACTTAATTTCTTTCATGTTGAGATTTTATAACTTCTATAATAATTGAGGCAATTATTTTATTATAACGTCCGTATATTATGATCTTATCTATTAATACTAATCAATTATACGTTGGTGATCAAATTCTAATAATTGTTTATAGGGATTATCCAACCCTTTTCTCCATCTAAATTTTAAAAATATCCATTGTTTTACTATGTTTATCATGAAGTAGATTACCTTTATTTATGATTTCACATCTTCAGTGAAAGCAGCAAATGTTCCAGTCACAAACACTCTAAGTTCATCCAACAATTGAAAATTTAACTCTTATTTCTATTTTTCCTTATTAGAGTATTTCATTACAATATAAATTATTATATTATATTTATAATCAAATAAATTTTAGAAAATATAGATAGAAGAAATAAAGGATAGGTTGATTAATTACTCTTTAAATTAAATCAATTATCAGTTTGATTTTCGAATTATCAATAGATTCATATTATTTTGAATAAATTCATTTATCTTTCTCACACAATATCGTATATAAGCATTACAAAGCTGGTTTATCAATAAATTGTATTAAGCTTTATATAACTAAAAGCAAATCCGGTCTGAGTTTTTCATCTCTACTATCTATTTGGTTTTCTTCGTCCTCCTCACTGCTATCTTTACTAATTGATTTCTGAAATTCTTGAGGATCCTTATCTTGTTCCTCTACATTTTGATTTGATTATTCCGGCTAGCTATTCTACTCAATTATATCCGATAGCTTTTTTAATTTTTTCAGAGTACTCCTTTTATGTTTGATTTATTTGGATTAAGAACAATATGAATCTGATACAGAATCAATAAATTGGGGTTAAGGTTCAGTTTGTTTTTTTATCAATTTGGCTTTAGTTTTTGTGGAGTACTTTTACGACTTTTTCTTAGATTAGGGAGAGGTTTTCGAAGTAAATTAATAAACTTTATCATCATTTTTAGCATTTTAAATCTTTTCGGAATGGATATCGAATCTATTATTTGAACTGTATGTTGATTGATTAGATGATTAAGAAGATTTAGGTTCTACTTTCAACTTTTTGTTTCCTTTAACTTTCTTTTTTGAAACAATAACCTGCTTTTCATTCTGATTTTCGTTTGTATCCATCTAATTTGAATTAGCATCCAGATTCTATTATTAATCCTAAACAGATAATTCTTGCTCTTTTAAAAATTAACGATCTTGTTCCATTATTTTGAAATCATCTAGCACTTGTAATGCTAAACAATGCTTTAAAGCTACTTTTTTATATTCAGGATGCTTCACAACAGGATTTTCTAATATATATCATGGATTATAAACCTATCAAACTTAAAACTCGTAGATTATATAATTCTTTTAAATACTCTAGTTCTTTAATATCTTTGATATTATTTTTTTCAAGATAAAGTTCTTTTAATTATTTTAATTTGCTTATATGTTTCAAAGTTCTAATCTAATTTCTTGATAATTAGAGAATTTGAAGGTTTGGGAACATAGTGAGAGAAGGAGCATCCTCACAATCTATTCCCCAAAGATTTAACTTTTTTACCTCATGATAAGGTTAAGAGCCTATTTTGTTCTAGAGTAAGGCCATTGGGATGGGCTTGGTCATTTATTTAGAATTTATTTGGATATTTTTTATCAGGATAATATTTGCTATATTTGTAAATGCAAATTTCAATTTTCATGTTAATAAATTTTTCTTAGTTAGTGAAATATTTTTTGGAATAATTGTGGATTTTGAAAATAATACAATCGAAATCGTAAGTCTTTGAAAGATTAGATCTCACCTAAATAGGAATAATAAATTTATATTATTATTAATATAATTTCCTATATTATAGATTTTTATTATCATAATAAAATAATGTGTTAGAGTATTTCATCCTAAGAATTATTCAACCAATCTCTAAAATCTATTGATATCTACTTTTTCATCGATTACCTAGATTTATAACCTATATGATTTACTTGAGTGGCTTCTATAACTTCCTATTATTTTTGAGATGATGCAATTGTTAATAATGCCTTTCTACAATTCTCTTATGTAATATATCCATCTCGTTTTAAATCAAATAACTCAAAAATATTTTAAATTTCTGCCTTTGTAAAGATTGGAGTGATGAATCTAAACAATCGTTATATTTTATTGATACCCTTATTTTTATTTAATCTTCAAGTCCTCAACAAAAAACTCTTCCAAATTCTCAGGCTAAATGTAGCTGGCTTTAGTGCAAAGATCTTCAAATAATTCCATAATTCTATTTCTTCTTAAGTATTCATCAGCTGACTCTACTTTGTAATTCATTTTATGAATTTATAATATTATTGAAATAACAAGAAAAAGAAATTGCACATAAGGGTAAGGATACGATAGAAAATAACTAGAATTCATTTTAATTCAAGCAGAGGGAAACTTAAAAATGAATAAACCATTCTTATATGAAATCTATATAATTTGAATTTATATTATTATTTATATCAAGGAATGATTAAGAAGTACCTTAATAAATTTTTCATTTACTTCATTTGTTTTTCAATTGTGTTCGTTTACATAGTTAATGTTAAAGTAGTTTGGATTGATTTGATTGAAAGTAAAATACTAATTAATTTTTCAAATAGGTTCGATTTATAGAATTCCTTATTTGTTGTTATTTACTATATTAACTACCTTATTAGGTTGGAGTCTATTCAAAACAATGTTTACAGACCCAGGCAGAGTTCCATAAAATTGGGGATTTTTTTTGAACGACCCTGAATAAAAAAAAAGAAAGTTTTGTTTAATTTGTCATATTTTCAAACCTGAAAGATGCCATGTATTTTAGTTTAATAAAAAATAATTAGCATTGCTCAGCGTGTAATCGATGTGTGTTAAATATGGATCACCATTGTCCATGGATAAATAATTGTGTTGGATTCCAAAATAGAAAGTTTTTTATGCAAATGCTATTTTATGTTATTCTTGATTCCTATTGCGCTGTAATTGGATTGGGTTATGGTTTATACATAGAATTTGAAAATATTATGCTCTATTTTAATTCAGAAGGAGATCTGCATTTTATTGATGCACTTTTATTATTATGCGCATTTGGAATTAGTTGTTTAGCATCATGTTTAATAACGATGTTTTTTAAATTTCATTTAGAATTGGTATTAAGTAATAGAACCACAATAGAAAACTTAGAAAAGAAAAGAAATGAAGAGACAGGCTAACAAAATGATGATTTTAATCAATATGATTTGAAACCATATTACAATTGGGTACAAGTATTTGGAATGAGTAAATTGTCATGGTTCCTACCAATTTAAATGGAAGGAGGCCGTCCTGTGGGCGATGGTATATTGTGGCCTAAAAATCATCATAATGACAGCTTGTTACTCAAGGATCATGCTTCCAATCCAATTTACAATGGGAAAGGAGACAATTTCCAAATGCAATAATACAACAATTAACTCTTTCATAGTAATAGTAAATATATGAATTGATAATTAGATTAATAATTCAGATCATCGTCGACTCAGCATCAATGATCCAAAAAAATTAATGAATTAATTATTATTGTTTTAAATTATCTTCGGAAAATTATTTACAAAAATAATCAAGTATGTTACTCTCACAATTTTCTTTTTATCTAAGGATGTAAAGAAGGAGGAATCCATACAGGTGGATATATCAGAGATCTAGCTTAATTTACAACCTAATATAATAAGGGATCGCGACGTACTTTTTTACTCCACAGTTTCTCAAACTTACAAGGACTCAATTTTTCTTTTTCAAGTCTAATTTTTAATACTTTCTCTTCAATTTTTGTAAGTAAAGATAATCTTTATTTAACCTTCCTTGATTTCTTCTCTTATGATTAATGGGGATTATTATTTTTAAATTCACTTTCTCTAGTATTAGGAGAGTTAGTATTTGTGATAGATTCACTCAAATTCTTATTATTTTTCTTAGTTTTACTATCAACACTGTAACTTGATAAAATATTTTTTCTCCTTGTTTATATTGATGGTAATTCAGTAAGTAATTTTTGTTTTGTTGAATTAACCTCAGTTTAAATACCAATTGAGGAAGTTTAATTAATTTGTTATATTGGATAGGTTTGACCACCAGTTAATATATCTTATTATTTTTAAAGTTATGTCAATTAAGGAAATTTAGAAGTGTCAGAAACACATAGACTTGTCTTGCTTTGGAGAGAGATTTTCTTAAAATTATCACCAATTTTATCATGATCTGGCTCTTCTGCAACTTGAGATTAACTTTCTTCATCTTCATCTATATCTTTTAATTAATGTTATAATGGAAATTAATTTAGAGAGACTCGAACTTTCTCTTATGAAATTAATTAATTTTATTTCCAAATACCTTGTAATTTATGATTTTCATAGGAATACATCCCTTCTCCTTCCATTAAGCCTTGTTTCCACTACCCTTTATAAGTAGCCTTTTCTGGCCAAATAATTTCTCCATATCCATGTCTTTGATCCTCATTAAATTCACCAATATACTAGGTGCCATTCGAATAATGAAAATGACCATGACCACTTTTCTTGTCATTCACATAGTAACCTTTATAAAATTAAATGCCTTTTTCTGTTTTTTATTCCCAAAATCCTTCTCCCCATCTCAAACCGTTTTGAAAATCACCCTAATATTAATTTCCATTCTTCCAAATATATTTACCTTTACCATTCGGTAGGCCATTCTTATATTACCCTTTGTAGACGTCACCTTCAAGAAAGTATTCTTCTCCATAACCATACTTTAAATCATTGATCACTTCACCAAAATAACTATTTAATTTTAAATATGATTCATACATTGAATCATAAATGTGTAATCCAAATCCATAAAACTTTCCATTTTCCCAACCCCCTAGAAAATAGTCATTCTTATTTCCTTCACACCACCCAATTCCACTCTTATTATAAGTATAATTTGTTACTTTCTTCCCATGCTGCCATTAACCAATGTATGAATGGGATGCAGACATATAAACACCTTCTCCATGAGGATAACCCTAAACGTAATGCCCATGATAATATGTATCTCCTTTTAATATTTCAAACCCAATCCCATCTTTTTTATCAAGTGCAAAATACCCTTCATAAATTTATTTGTTCTCTTTTATAAGAACTCCTTATCCTTGCCTCATTTCTTGATGGATTTCTCCAAAATATACAGCATTCTTATATAACTTTATTTTCACATTAGGCTTCAAACAAAGAGCGGGCAAATCCAAAATGATTGGTTAATAGTTTTATAGAAAGAACTCTGAAATTTATTCAGCATTTGGATACGTAAATTATGGCATCTATTTTGGAAATGGGAATTTTGTTTTAATTTATTGAATTATGCTATGATATTTTTGTAAAGTTTCATTTCTGTACAAATTGAAAAGGATTGTTTAGAACTGTTCCTGTATATGTGGATAGAATTCGATAATGTTTTATTAATTCATTTATGTTAAATAATAATTATATATATTGTTTATTTCGTAATATTTTATGATCAAATCTTATATTTTGGATTTCAATCAGTCAAGTATAACATAAAATATAAATTAATCAAGATCATTAAAGTTTTAGTCTTCAAAGAGTACTTTCAGTCATTAATTTATTTTTAGTCTTCATTTAGATTCTCTAAATTCGTCTGACTAGGCCCTAGACTGTAAATTTTAACATTTCTGGCTGTTTCATCAATTTTTAATAACGAAGGTCTTTTTTGCTTATGTCTGATTTTTCTAGAACATTAGATTTCTTATACTTTTTTAAAATTAAACATTAGGAGCTGACTCTTAGCTTTCTTGCTGAGCACTCATTCTCGTTGAAATTTTCAACTTCCAGTTGCGAAGTCATAGGCATTTACAAATCATATAATTGAAGCGGGTAATAGTTAAGAATATCAAACTCGGATATCATTACAATATTTTTATTAAATAAACAAAATCTAAAAATCACATTTATACATACAGTTATTAAGCAAGTCCCAATTTATTAATAATCATAATTAATTTCAGTGATTTTTCATCTTTACAATGATAAATTATCATTACTTTATCATAACTTTTTGACATTAATTCAAAATAACAGATCCCACCTATAAACGACTTTGGAATATGATGATTCTTAACAGTCAGAAATTATTAGAATTGCATAAACACAATTAAAATAATAAAGGCTTTACAGAAACCATTAGACTTATAAGAAGGCTAATATAATGAGCGTTTTAAATTCATATAAGAAGACTATTTTTCAGTTTGTCCTAAACCCATAATTATTTAAAAAATAATTGTAATAGTAAAAATTAAAATTTGTGTAATTTATCAGAATGATGAATATTTACTCAGCTCATTATGAAAAGAATGAATAAAGTATTCAAGACTGATCTATATATATTTTTAGTAAAATATTGAATGAAATGCATTAATCAAGTTGAATAAATATCTCTAACAAAATTATCTCTTCTTTTTAATCAATCTTTTATAGAAATGGAGGGATTAATCTAATAATTATGTTAGATAAAATTGGATTATGATTTTTATATTTATAAATGAATATTTCGTTAAGTGAATTTCAAGATGAAGAATACAATGATTTATACGAGAATTTTTCAGAGTCAGCCTAATAATTAACTTCATCACCAGATGAAATTATGTTTATTGATGATTTAGTATTAGGTGTGCACATAACTTACGATGATGTGTTGAAATTAAACAATGATGGAAAAATGAATTTTAAGAGCATGATTTACTTTATTAATTACCTATAAAAGCGTTCTAAAGCCGTTCACTAATATTACTTAGCGTATTAAAGATAAATGTTAGATCTTGTGGAGTAATTGAACCCTTTATTGAGAAAAAATTAACAAAAGGGCGATCCAATCAACTATATTCTCATATTCTATTGGAATGACAGGTGGGTAACTGGGATATATAATCTAAAAACAACAGTTTTAGATATTGTGGATCTCTAAAAGAATAAGACAAAGGATGATTTAAAAAAATCATATGAACAGTTACTTAAAAAAACAGGATTGGCTAAAGTATCTTTCAAGACTGTGAATTACGTATATTAGGAAGATAAATCAACTGATGGAGGTATGTATATTGTAAATTATTTGTATCAAACTATTGTCAAAGGGTAATCATTCGTAAAACTGTAACCGAATGACAAGGTAAAATTAAAATCTCAATTGTTGTGGTTATTTTTCAGAGGTGAGAAGTCATAACATGTTGATTATCCTCCATTACCAGCTTTAACATAATGGAATGAAAATGAAATTAAATAATATTAAGTGGTAAATCTAGAACCATTTCTAACAGGCTAATGGACAGGAATTGAAGTTTAATTAACTGATTTTGAATTGCTCTAAAAATCTGGAAAATCTAAACTTCACATGATGGCCTTTTGGTTGTCTTATTTGTATTATTTTGATTTGTAGAGCAAAACACCATTAATTCCCTTTTTTGTAGTAGCAGATGGAGATGAAATTTGTGAAGAATTTGAAATAATCTTCAAACCTAGAAGGAGATAAGGTGCAGAAAATGAAAGATTAATCGTATTATAGTATATTAAAAATACCAGATGGGTTTTTGCAATTTACCATATGACATAAAAATCGCTAGATATTATAGATCTATAAAATAAGAATGTTACTAAGGATGAATTGAAAAATTCATTTGATAAATTAATATCATCTTTAATCACATACAATAATCCAGCTCCAAACTATATCTTTTAAAGCTATACGGATAGTACAGACGGAACTGAATACATAGTAAATTGGCTTTGGCAATACATTTCAGGCACTCCTCTTGACAAAATTAAATTTGGGTTCTCAGAGAAAAGGTAGCTAAGATCGAAATTGATTTGGACATTGATTAAGATGTAGTAAACAGTTATTTCAAGTCAAAAATCAATATAAATAGGTTCCAAAAAGAAGATAGCTATTCCATAAATCGCACAAACACCCAAATCATAATAAAATGATGTTTAAAATCCTCAAACTTAATCTGGAGGTACCAGATTTGGAAGGTTTAAAAACAATATAAATACAAATAATGATACACCTCAATAAAGATCAAATAAAAATATAGAAGAATAAACTCCTTAATAAAAAAAAACTTTTGTCAGCTCATTCAGAAATAAGTAATAAACTGCCACTTAATAATCGCCTATGAATTCCCCTCAAAAGTCAGTTACTTCAGATTAAAAGTCTGAATAATAGGAACCGCATTCTAAAAAATCTTCTTTATTTAGTAGGAACAAACAATAGGGTGATCAATCACCGAAATCTCAAACCAGTGAAACTTCAATTTAATTAGCATAGTAAGTAAGCAGATCATTTACTGGAAAAAAGAATGCTCTGTAATCTGGAAGCAGAGTAGGTACAAATAAAAATAATTCTCTTCATTAATAAGAGCCAATTATTGAGACTCAAAGAAGTGAAGAATATGATGAAGATGAATTCTCTGACTTATTCAATAAAAAGAAAAGATCAATTGATCAACCATAACCATATTTGGATAATTAAGATAGATTAGGCAAAATTTAAGAAGAATTGACAGAGTATTATCATGAACTAATAAATGACGAAGTAGATAAGGAAGTAGAAATATAAAAGCTATAAGAAGTCTTTAGAATCAATGGCAAAATAAAGCAATACTTAGAAAAAAGAAAAAAAATGACATTTGATGAAGTACTTGATACCGTCAAAAACAAAAGCACTATCAATCAGAGTGCTGTTTATAATTCGAATCTATAAAACTATAGTACTATACTACATGATGATTAATAAATACTAAGAATGATTAACGAAATGATTTAAGGAGAAAATAACGAAGTATCTCTTTAAAAGACTCTTTTAAAAAGATAGGATTACTTATTTTAATAAATGGATTAGATGGATGTAAGTGCTCCAAATGTTTACTTTGAATTTCCAAAATCAAAGGATGAAAGCACTATAAAAACTCAATTCACTAGTTTACCAACCATAAGAAGAAACACTTCAGAATTCATTTAAAAAGGTAATATCGCTGCTAAAAGATATGGAATGAAAATTGAAATTCCTATGATGTAGTAATTTTATAAAGATGGCAAGGTAAATAATTTGATTTTTAATTTTTTACTAAAATTTTTTGAAGAAAAGTCTAATCATCAACGTAAAAATAATTATGTATTTCAACATTATAGCACTAATATGAAATTGTTTCCAACTTAATTTTACCAAACCTTATGCTTTAATTTACTTCATTCCACATTTAGAATTAATTATTTTGAGGCTAATCAATTCACTTTTGAATATACAGGACAGGAGGAAACTATATTCGATATTTTCGATTGGTTAGTTGTACCAATTGTAGAATATCCAACCGAATATTCAGTAGTTTTTGTTAATCTTAAAAGGAAAACATGTTATTGCTATTTACTGTCCTCGCTCTCATTAAGAATCAAGGATCCATTATACATGAATCCAGAGAAAAATCCTTATATGAAAAATGTCATTTCATTTTTATAATATGAATTCGAAATTAAATTAAAGAAACCCAGAGAAGAACTAGGGAGATTTAGTTATTAATTTGGAGTTGTGAATGATGTAAACAGCTTTGGTTAAAGTTTAAATTATGATTATAGTGGATTATATGCATTATATATCATTCTCCATTTGGTTAAACATGGTCACAATTCCGAAATCGTAATTGATTAATATCAAATTACAATATTGAAAAAGGTATTCCATGATTTAATAATTAAAATTGGATACAATGAAGATTATAATCTATTTCATCTACTTGAAGAAAATTAATTTCCTTTTTGAACATAGATATTATAACAATGATTTTTAGATATTATATATTCTCATTATTAAACCAATAATTTTTATTTTCGACTGGACAAAAAGATTTTCTAAATATAAATCATAAGAGATAAGAACTGTTTCAAATATATATAATAAATATAATTCAATATTATAGATTTTGTATTAACAAATGAATTATTTAGTTGAGTGATATTGAAATTATTAAATGAAAATTAATATTCAAATCAAAGATGCTTAGACCATTCTATCACAAGTCTTTTCAATCAAATTAATTATTTCTTCTTCTTTTTCCTGTCTTTCTTCTGACAATTATTTTAAATCCTCTTTAGTTCTGATAATCAATTCTTATAACATCCCAATAATTTAATTTTCTTATTCTAAGGTTTGTTTTGTAACATCATTTAACTAATTCGACAATTTATTCATTTCAATTGTACTTTTTTTCAAAATTTGTTTGTCAAATAATTCTCTATCCTCTTTTTCACTTTTGATTTATTAATTAATTTTAGGTAATTAGTTTTCCAATCCTCTTTAGAGTTCATCAATTAATTCTTCCCTTAATTTTGATTCAATCGTTAAATCTGATTTAATAAAAGTAAGCTAATAATTATTAATTTCTAATACCTTTTCATTTAGGTAGGTTGACAATTAGTTAATACCATCCACCCTTTCACTTTATTCAATTTGTAATTGTTTTTGTGTTGACTTTTCCAAATCTGACAACTTTTACGAATAACAATTATGCTATTATTTGAATTCCTATCTCTCTTAGTCAATTTATTCAGACAGTTCTTAAACTTATTCTTTTAACTACAAGACTTATTTATTATAATTCTCTTTGATGATTCTGATTCTATCATCTATTTTATAGCTTCTTTCATTCAACTTATCAATTCGATGAGCCTTGCTTGTACCTTATTTGATATCAAGATTATTTAATTTATTGGTTATTTAAAGAAACCTTTCTTTTAATGGTTCTCTATTCATAGTAAATTTTGAATTTAACATTAACTTAATTTTATAATTCGTTAAAATTATGAAATAAATATCCACAAAATGCATAAAGATATATTAAATTAAAATATCTGATACAATTACAATAAATAAATGCTTTGCTTATTATTGTAGTGCTTTATTCTGGACTATTTTATAAATTTATTGGATGATATTTTAGTAATTCAGATATATTGCGACAAAATAACTGTATTATAAATTATCTTTAATTAATAGAATCAAAAACATCAAGAGATGTTTTCACACGCTACAGATTAATGAAATATTTGATTTTTTTTATTTAAATGTTTTTTTAATGCTGCATTCACACATTTTCTCAGAAAACATGAATTATCAATAAGAGCTAATTTTCAATATACATTGTTTTTACAAATATAATTCATCAAAAATATCCTATCAAACAATTTTATAAACGTCATTTATAAATTCCTACAATATTAAAATTATTAGTAATGGACGCAAAAATCAAGGTGAATAATCCAGTTGTAGAAATGGATGGAGATGAAATGACTAGAGTAATTTAGATTAATATACAAGGTTATTTGGGCATGGATTAAAGAATATCTCATCACACCATTTTTAGATATTCCAATTAAATACTACGATTTGGGAATGGAAAATAGAGACAAGACTGATGACAAGGTTACTATCGAATGTGCTAAGGCAATTCAAGAGTGCAAAGTTGGAATCAAGTGTGCTACTATGTATGAAAATATATTAATTATCGTAGCACTCCAGATGAGGCAAGAGTGAAGGAATTCAACTTGAAATATATGTGGAAATCTCCAAATGGTACTATTAGAAACATCCTTAATGGAACGGTGTTTAGAGAACCTATTTTGATTAAGAATATTCCTAGACTCGTTCCAGGATGGACTAAGCCAATAGTTATTGGTCGTCATGCATTTGGTGATCAATACAAGGCTACAGATCTCCGTTTCCAAAAGGAAGGAAAGTTTGAAGTGTTATTCACACCAAAAGATGGAAGTGAACCTTAAAGAGTTGAAGTGTTCGATTTTTAAGGCACAGGAGGTGTTGCTATGGCCATGTACAATACAGATGACTCAATTACAGCATTTGCTCATGCTTGTTTCTAACATGCAATTGAACTAGGATATCCCCTTTATTTATCAACCAAGAATACCATTCTTAAAGTTTATGATGGTAGATTCAAAGACATCTTCTAACATTTATATGATACTAAGTATAAAGCAGATTTTGAAGCAAAGAAGATTTGGTATGAACACAGATTGATTGATGATATGGTTGCATATATGATCAAGAGTGAAGGAGGATTTGTTTGGGCTTGCAAGAATTATGATGGAGATGTTTAATCTGATACATTGGCCTAAGGTTTTGGATCTCTTGGTTTGATGACAAGTGTATTAGTTAGTCCAGATGGATGTGTTGAAGCTGAAGCTGCACATGGAACTGTTACAAGACATTATAGATTACATTAATAAGGCAAGGAAACGTCAACTAATTCAATTGCCAGCATCTATGCTTGGACAAGAGGATTATTACATAGAGCCAAATTAGATAACAATAAAGAGTTAGAGAGATTTTGCAATACTCTTGAAGCAAGTATAATTGAAGCAGTCGAAAAAGGGTTCATGACCAAGGATTTAGCTATTTGTGTTCATAATACATTGAAGTATACCAATATTTCTAACTTTTAGTGTCCCAAGAGATTAATATTTGAATACTTTGGAATTCATCTAAAAAGTAGCCGAGGTATTAAAAACCAATTTGGCAAAATGAGTTTATCAATAATATTTTAAATTCAACCAATTAAGAATTATAATTCAACAAAATCCACCTGATATTTACACTATAGTCTTATTTTTCTTCTTTATCTTGGCAACTTCCTTCATTTACGAGTTTTTTTTCTATATTTTGTTAACACAAATAAATTACTGGCACTATAGGATTTGAATCCCATTCTGTTCCTTCTAGATTTCTAACTGGCTAGTAAGTAGTAAGTGGTACAAAACTTTCATCCTCGACAAATGTTCCAGTTACTTTGGTTACCTGTTTAGGTTTTATTTCGGCTGATGATAGTTAGAAATTGATACTTGGTTGAGATGGAAGAGTAGGGAAGGAATCTTCTTATGCGGCTTAATATTAAAATATAGCAGCTCCACTATCCTCCCATTTCCCTTTTTTAGATTGGGTGTTCTATTTTTATTTCTTCTCCTACTATTATTATTTTTAAGGTTCAACAGTCTTAACTTTGAATTATTCTATGGTTTGTTCTTTTTTTGGTGCCTTTGCTACAAATTGATGATTATAATTACGTAAGGATGGAAAATCAAATGCATTCATTTCTAAACCATTTCCTTATTAACTTTTTGGGAACTTTTACAATAATTATTATTTGTTGGATTCAATTACTTCAGGTTTTGAAATAAGATTGAATAATATTGGATTTTTTTAGAAGTATTCCAAATATACACATTCATTGACATCCTTTTATTCTTTATGAATTTATTCTCCTTTTAAAATCTTTGAGCTTAAATTAACATACAGATAGAAAGGAACTAGATCATGATTGCTAATCTTTGAGATATGTTCTAATTATAAATTAAATAAGTACATTAAATGTTTGAGAAATCATCTAATAAAATCTTTTATTTAATGTGCTCCAATACTTATTGAACCAAACCAAAATTTAAGGCAAACTTGAATTTACCCATCTCTTATGTTTTAACATGTCTGAGTACTTCAATAAATTAAAATATTCTCTCTTTTGGCATGGTAGTATCAGCATAATTTTTAAGTTCTCCCTTCTCAATTCTACAAGCCAGATTGGTATTCAATTCATCCAATAATTTTAAAAACAATTCTGAGTAAGTTTTGCATTACATAATAATTGAATTATTTTTTTTTGGCAATCTCTGCAATTCTTTAAAATAAGCATCATCAAGTTTCTTCCATAACTCTCTGTTATCCTTAAACTCTCTCATAGCCATATAGAAGGTTATCAATCTTAATCCTGTTTTCAATTCAAATAATCTAATGAAATCACTCACAAAATTTTCAGGCTCATATCTCTCTTATTCTAACATACTAATCATTTTCCTAATTTGATCCTCTTTGCCTTTTTGATTTCTCAAGAAGAAAGTACATTTTCTAATGAAGTAATCATGATTAATGTTTGGAATAGTTACAGGTTTGACAAGACGAAGATCCTCTAAATGAACATTTTATTAAGAATGGAGTTTTTCACTTTGATCTGATTGCTTATCTATTTCATCATTGTAATCAACATATAAAAAGTCTCTAAAATCGATTTTTTCATCATTATGTTAATCACGATGAACAACAGCTCGTAGATTTGTTTATTTAAGTGATGGGAATTGATCGCTGAAATCCAATCCCTCATTGTCATTGTTTTGTACTTTTTATTTTTGATTATCATAAAATCCAGCAAATTAATGAATATTATATTGATTGGGTTTCTTTAGTCTTGGATCATTACGATGACATTAACTCTTGTGCATGTCAAGTTCTCCTGCGTTTTTGAATACTACCAACATTTATTTGCACTCCTGCTCTTCACATAAATGATGTGAAAGTTTTAAATGCTTTTCATAGCTTCCATGATCCTTGTAGAATACAAACTTACTATTCTCACACAAATTACAATTAATGTGAGCCATGTTCAAGTGGTATTTGAATTTGTCTTCATCGTAAAAGTGTTTTTTGCAATATCTGCAATAGGGATGTTTAAAGATTAGATTACCATCTTCATCATAATCACCATGTTGTAAATGTTGACGGTGTTAATATTCTGTATACACTTATTATTCTACCAGAAAACAGGTCTTCTATTCAATACAGACATCACTAAGAATAAGTAATTGATTGATACCAAAAATATCGTTGATGTTAATCCTTCAGGTGGAATCGTAATTGATTGTAATTGTTCATCAATTACTCATTCTGGCATTCTTGGAATGGGCATTTAAAATTGTTGAGACTTTCCACTTTCTATTTAATATCCTCCGAATCTGTATAAAAGATGTCCTTTGCTTCCTTCTAAAGATGTGATATAAATCGATATCATACTGAATATGTGATTGGTATGAGTTTATTTATTTAAAAGTCTGCGAATTGAGCATTGAGATTGTCAGTGAGAATTATCTTGTCAAGTTATTACTTGCAGATGGGACACATTGTTATTTTGCTTATCACTCTCATTTTGATCATGCATTGATAACAGAATGTTTTGTGGTTACAATGACCTAATCCAATGATGTTTGCTTCCTACACACAGAGTACACAATCTGATTCTACTTTATCCATAATTAATTAAAGAATTATATATTAAAGATATGAGTAATTACACAACAATTCGTTAAGAATCCATAGTTTAGGAAAGAAAATAAGTTACACTTCCTTAGACTTAATATGTAAATTAGTTTGATGAAATCTAGACCACAACCTACTTGAGATCCGAAAGACCAGAAGCTTATTAATTTTGGCACAAAAAAGGCAAATAAAATTCATACCAAAGCAAAGTGTTATCTACACATTATCAAATGCAAACATCATTCAATCCTGGATAATCCATACAACTTGGAGGGTGTGCTTCAAATATGTAGTGCGGATCCAGTGCTTAATCTTGCTGTCCACCTTAATAATAGGCAGTCGTAAGATTGGGAGTAGTTTCCAGAGAAGAGATTGAAGCTCCATGGAGAGATGAAGTCTTGTATTTATAATAATTGATTTCTGAATTGGAAAAGAAAAAGACTGTTGAAGTAGTGAAGCAAATTGACAATACAAGAGTATTAATATTCCTAATAGAGTGTAGGTGCACGAATTGGAAGAGGAAAATGAAAGGCTGAGATTATTAATTCAACAGACTCAAAGTGAAACAGTGACTTAAAGAATTATGGAAGTCAACAATGAGGCAGAAGTATGGAAAAGAAAGTTTTAAGAAATTAATCATGAATATAGTGAAACTCAAGAGAAATTAATGAATGCAGAAATAGAATTAGAAGCACTAAAGAAACAGAAGGTAAATCCATTTAATATATTACAGATTGTGACCTCATCCACTACAGTCACCAAGTCAGTTGTGAAAACTTCAGGTTCAACTGTTAGATAGTCTGTTTCAGGTATAAAGCCACCTGTCTGATTAAATAATAACATTAATAATAATATTAAAAAATAGAGTATGTAAACGCAAGAAACTTTAACAAATCAATATCGACACCGCAGTCGTAGTCGAAATACTTCTAAGCTTAAGTGATATTCGCAAAATATACAGTAGATTGATTATGAATTCAACTACAGAGAGTAGTAGTAGCAGCAGTAGCTCTTCTTCTGAGAGTAGCAACGATTAAAGTAGCAGTAGTAGTTCTAGCTGCTCATCAGGATGTCAGTTCTTATATGAAATTGGGGAAAAACTTGACAAATATGTTATCACAAAGTATTTAAGTTCAGGGACATTCGGAATGGTGTTAGAAGTCACAGATGAGTTAGGAATTCCATATGCTGTTAAAGTTATTCGATTAATATTCAGATCTTGAGCCAAACTGATCACACAGAAGTGGAAGTTCTAAAATAAATCTAGTAGTTTGATCCATTTGGTGAGGCTGGTATCGTTAGATTCTATGATTACTTCGCTTGGTAGGACTATCATTGTATCTTACTTGAAAGGGTAGAATATTAAACAATTAAATACAGCTTGGCCTTAATCTCCATGATTATCTCCAATCAAATTCTCTCAACATTACAGAAATCCAATCAATATTTCAACAGATCACTACTTCGCTTTTGTTTATGCATTCTCTTGGCATTACACACACTGATCTAAAACCAGAGAACATAGTTTTTTCACACCAACAAAAGTATACACAAGTAAAATGACTAAGACATCTTGTGAAATTAATTGACATGGGAGGTGCCACCTAAGCCAATGAACATCATAGCACTGTCATCAATACTAGATAATACAGAGCACCTGAAGTAATCTTGAGATGCGATGCCTGGGATACCTCAAGTGACATTTGGAGTCTAGCATGTCTTATTGTTGAATTATATACGGGTATATAGTCAAAACAAAAAACCATATAGGATCCGTATTTATTAAAGTAGGAAACAATGATTTAATGCACTTGGCAATAATCCAATCCATTTTTGGGCCAATACCAAGATGGATGAAAGAGAGGTCCAAAATCAAAACCAATCTTAATTCTCTCCCTAAACCAAAGCCATAATAATAATTGGGTTAGTTAATATTGGATCAAGATCTCCTTGATTTACTAACAAAAATGTTCTGTATTGATCATAATCAAAGAATAGATTGTCATCAAATTTTACTACATAATTTCTTCTAGAAGAAATTTATATGAATTAATTCATGTGTGTAAAATTATTTAATAATTTTGATTAAATCTAAATATTCTTTATTCAAAATGGATAACTAGTCGTCAGTTATTTATATTAATCCCCTCATTATCTATTGCAATATTATTTTAAAAATGCAAGCATTTCCATCTCATGCCATACACTAGTTGATTTTAGATGGGGATAATAGCCCAGCCGAAGAAGAAAACAGTCCAAAAATAATATCTAAAACGATTAAATCTAGACAAATCCCATTTATGGACATGGCTAAAAATAGAATAAAATAAAAAAGAAAAGAAAGCACATAAGAAATAACAGATGAATTACTTCTATGGAAATAATTTCTTGATCATAAATTTCAGCATCGTGATTGATTACAACAAATCTAAGGGAGGACATTTGATCGTAAGATATTGAACATAAATTTTTATTTAAACAAATAACTTACTAAATTACACATTTTCGAGGGTTGTATTGATCTTTTTAAATTATAGTCTGCGAAATATCAAATTTCATATTTGTGAAATTCTGGATTAGTCTATGCTAATAAACGCTATTGCTTTGTAAATATTGAAATTACTATTGCATAGAAATGAAGGACAAAGCATTCTTATATTGGCTTGTTTCACCAAATAGAAAAAAGATATAATTTATATCATTGATGAAATAAATGAATAAAGCATTAGACAATCGATTTTACCCATTATCTTACGACTTTTGGAAAGAGCGACAAATGGGCCATTTCCAAGTCGAAGTATAATTAGATTAGGAAACTCATTAATTTATAAATTAAATTGTATTGATCTAAAAATAGAATATAGTGAAAAATATATAATTGAGATTAAATAATATCAAATAAAGATTAAATTAGATTATAGGATTTAAGATTCAAAAAAGAAAATAAATAAAATGATGCTTCTTCATTGATTTTATTATTTAATATATTACTATAACAACCAATCAATATCTTTGATCTCAATTTAATTCATTAACCTACCACCTCTATTAATATCTAATATTTATTTAAACTTCTTTCCTTGTTTATCTGAGACATAATAATCTAATTCTGATAATTTATATTCTGGAAATTTGCCTGTTACTATTTTAGCCAGTTCCTTGAAAACTACTTTTTGATTAATATCCTTTGTTGTAACATATATTAATTTGTTTTTCAGGAATTGAGTAGGTGTTTATTAATTAGTAGGCTATAGATGGTATAATTTTTTATTGACCACTTAAAGTTCCAAAAGATTCTTCTCTAAACAATAATTAACCCATCTATAACTGTAATACTTGATGGATTGAACTTTGCAATCTTTTTCAATAATCTAAATTGTTTCTTTACATTATTCATGATCAGGCAATAAAAAGATTAGCACAGCCTTTGATTTGCTAATCTTTAGATTTGAAACCTTGACTTTCATTGGATAGGTTAATCTTTCTACTAATGCTCCATTATCATTCAATAACGAAAGAACAGCCTTATCAAGAGTTGGATGATCAAAAACAAATATTTAGCATTATTCAAATAACTTAGTTTTTTTTGCTGTATTTCCTGAGAATCTATTGAATGCCAACATATTGCTATTATTGTTACTAAATGACTAAGATTTAAGCCCGAATTTCGAAGTGTTATTATTTTCTTCTCCGAAAGCTCTAGAGTCAGGGATTTTACCAAATACAAACTAATCTCTTTGGATTTCTTCTTGGCTGGCTGCAAAACTATTCACAGCAGTCTATTCAAAGGAAGATTTAATTCTAATTTAATATTCATCTTCTCTCAATCTTCGTCTTAATCTAAAACATTCACAAAGCCACATAGGATGAATCACTTAATATATTTATTGATTGACTTCTTCGCTGCATCCCTATAAGTAGATCACATGAGTGACAATTGGGAGCAGAGTGTTGACATAGAACCCGTCTCCAGCTGAAATCAATTGTGATATTATCCTTTTGAGATTGTCATCCTTAACAGCAATGTAAATCACGCAATTGGTGAGATAACAATATTCAGAAAGTTGCACTTTTTTTAATGCTTCCAATACACCACTCCCTTATAAATTCTCTAATAATTCTCTTGCATTCAATTTCTACTAATTATATTGGAAGTATTGGGTAGGCACGAATTCAGCTCTCTCATAGCATTACATAATCCAGTCAGAATCTACCAAACACTTTGTGCAATTTTTTAATTCGAACTCAAATTAAGAGCCTTTTTTAAAGACCACAAGATCGGATTGATTGATATCTGATTCAACAACACCTTCATTTTTAACTATAAATTCTTTTAATTTGTCGAGTTCACTCTTCATAAAACCTAATAGCGCCAATTTGATATTTCTGAATGGTTTAAGTAAATATTTTTTTGTATCTATTTTTTAACGTTAATTATAACAATTATAGATCCACTCCTTATTTACTACATCAACATCTAGTCTTTTTGCTACCTTTTATGGCAATCATAATACTTTATATTTATCTGACTAAAAAGCAGAATTACACACCAAAACATTAACTTAGAAAGTCATGCCTTGAGACTGTTTGAATCCTATATCTGAGAGTTCCTCGATAAATGTAGACAAAGTAGTCTTCTCTTTCGAATCAAATCCACTTAGACAAATGTTAAGCATAAATAATTAAGTTTTAATTTATATATAGTAAATTTCTATTTATAAAAATATCAATACTCAAATTCACATATTTAAAGAATGCTATCTACTGTGATTACTATAAATATTTTTCATTCCTAGTATTTATTTATTCCAAACAGTTTCCTAATTTTTTATTTTCTAGTACTGTTTCCAAGGATCTTCATGTTTACAATTCGAAAAAAAACTCTTCCCTTAGCAGCTATTTTATGTGCTGATATTAGATGGACTGCAACTCTTCTCTAAAAAGCTTGATTTGGTTTTTGGAACAGTAATTGTCTTCAATTAAAGATTCCTGATATTTGTTTTAGTAACTTAAGAATTAAGATTACTATAAATATTGAAGTTTGAAACATTCTATCTACCCTTTGGGATCGAATTCTATTTTTCAACGCTTGTACTCAGGCTTATAAATTTGCCTGCACTCTTATTAAGACTAGAACTCTATTGAGTTTTGCTTGATTTCAATTTCTCCTCATACTGTTTTAATTGCTCCAAAAACCCATTATTTGGATCGACTTATGGTCTCTAACATTTCAACTTACTTAGGGCTTCTTTTAATGTGTAGCCTTGACATTTGAGTAAGTAAGCAATTATCAATGAACTCGATCTTGAGATTCCAGCATAACAATGAACTAATACATTAGTGTGTCTTAGGTTGTCCTATATAAAATTAGAGGCTTGTTCAAAATATCTTATTAATTGAACTGTCTCACAATCCTCAGCTGCAATCCACTATTATGATAAGGAATTAAATTACAAGGTGAATAACTGACTTTTCTAATTTGATATCACTAGTGTCAATCACAGACAGTACAGCTCCAACTTCATGTTTTCTGAGATATGTAGAGTCATTTGCTGCATTGATATTTCCTAAATACAATTTGTGTCCATCATGTTCAAAGACACAATTCATTGGACTATCTTGGATTGATGAATGTTACCATACATGAAACAGGTTGTTGTGCCTTGAAACTAATTTGGGTACATGTTAAACTCATATCTAACCACTTCGACATCGTTAAATTAACAAACAAATAATTATTTCTTAAATTACAATAATCCAAACAATATAAGAGTTAAAACTTTAATAAATAACATAACTCTTCATATTTCAATCAGAGAGTAAGTTTTTAAATTCTTAATATGATATCTAACCTGATTTGTCACGATCCATTTCATTAATCAATCTCTAAGTAGATATTTATGCATCTTTACTTCAATATCAATTGTCATCTTAAAATCAGATTTAATAATCTAAATAATAGTAATCCTTACTTGTATCAATTTTGTTGCATCCACAGTCCCACTTTTATCAGCATTCCCTCCCATAGCCACAAAAGCATCCACTTATACAATATAATGATTAACTTACATGTATCATCTTCTTCGTTATCCTCTTCTATGATCTTGTAGATTGCAATTGCTCTCTTGAAATCCTCGAAGTCTCAATCATACTTAATACTATTACCTATGAATCCCTTATTCTTCACATCAACCTAAGTAATCATTTACTATAACTCCTCCTTACTTGGCTTATGTCCAAATTCTTCAAGTATTTTTTATAACTCTTCAACTTCCAATGTTCCATAACCCATTTTATCATATGCCTCAAAAGCATCCTTAGCTGCCTTGATCTCTTCCGATGATAAGATTTGGTCTGGATTAATCTGATTCATTAGAATATAATTAATAAAAGAGAGACTTAAGACATTTCTATGACATATTGGGCATTAATGATTATTATATAATATTAATCAAATTGGAACAACCATGGTATTCCAAAGTCCACAAGTATTTTTACCTCTTTCAAGATAAATGTAACCTGAAGAACCCCATGTGCTAGCCCATGAATTCTTTACTATTGTTGCAGTTGGAGTAAAGCCAACAGCCAAGACTGCATGATTTAAATTATCCCCACATTCTTCAAAATTAAACACCTCTCTTTCAGCTGGCTTATAATTCTTCCATCCTCCTGCATCAACACCAATAGACACTGGTTGAATTTACAAGGCTTGATACAATGCCCACTCTGATATATCTAATACCTAAGATCCTTTGACTTTGTAGACTCCTCCTTTCACAAGACACTCTTCTCCTTATACTCCTTACTATATTGATTTAAATTATAAAATACATATGGGTATCCTTCTTCTGTTGTCAATCCATTTCTTTTAACGAAATTCAATGCTCTTTATGGCATACCACCATTACAACCGAAGTTTAAGTCGACTGTGGTGGAACAATCTATCAATTGTTATTCAGATAATGATGGCAATTCACCTGTGGTAGCTTTGAAAAATCCTTCCAAAACTCCTGTTGTACTGAATGTCCAACAAGATCCGCACTTAAGTTGATTCTTGACTGGGGTAACTGCTCCAAGTTTTCTCCAATCAACTTCTTTAGGGTCAGCTGTGATATGCGAGAATGACTCTCTTGGCACATTTGCATATTCTTCTGGGGAATATTTTAATGTCAAATATTGTTCTCTGAATTCTTCATCGGTTATATCAGCAAATTAGGTTTCACCATAGACTTATCTACCCAATCTGGCATTCTTGAGTGCGATTTCTTCTAAGGTTTACAAGTAAACTTAAAATCTATATTAATCTTCTGCAGCAGTATATTCTTTATTGTAAGTCAATTTATAATCATTATACTTCTACTTTAAATCAAGAGAAGGAGAATAATTCAAATTGTATAGGGTGCCCAGCAGCAATGCAAGGCCCAATGTTAGAATAGCTTTTTCCATAAGAAATATAAATTAATTATCAACAATAGATCATATATCACTAAATAGAGTTTATGATGACATCATCGTCAAAAAACAACTCGTTTCTCTTCTAATTTGATGAAAACCTATCTTCTTCCAATTCGGATAAGCTATAGCAACCAACTTCGTAATTTTAATATTATAAAGCACTCTGAGTCATTTCTGTAGATTTTTCAACCTAAATTTAAGTTTGATCTCTAAAAACATTTGTTCCCTTCCAAGTTTGATACTTTTAGAGAATATTCTTAGAGGTTGGCTGCAGCTTTTCTTAAATTAATTGGATAATACTCATTGACAATCTGTAAAGATTAACCCATGATCCCAAACAGTTTTATGGATTCCATCTTTCTTCTTTACAAGGCCAAATTTAGGAGTCAGGCTCGTATTTAAAAATTCGTTTGTAAAATAAAAGGGTTTGTGAATAGAAGTCTTAAACTGCAGTTTGATTTCCTAAGTTAGCAGGATTATGATAAATAAATCTTTCATAGATTGCATAGCAAAACTAGCGATATTATTTTGTCATACATTAATGGGTGTGCCAAACTTAATCAACCTCTTCACTAGGAACCATAACAGTTTGAGAGAATTTCAACATCGTCATAAAATGGCAATATTCATAAATGTATTGTTTGGCTAATTACTGACTTAAACAATATTTATGCATTATGATCAATTCTAAATCACGAGGCATCAATTACTATATTTTCTTGAATACAACTTCGATATTCTTATCGCTGATTTGTTTCATTTGAAATTTCTTTGTCTCTTTCTTACATAAATTCAATTTCATCTGCATCATTAAATGCAAGATCAATTCAAAAGACAATGTTTCTTCATTCACTATGAAATTGTGAATATCAATCATCACTTGTTCCAATTCGTATGAATTTATCCAAATGATAAACTCTGATTCAATTGAATACATTTTATCATCGTAATCAGGTAGCATCCTCTTCAGAATTTTCTAATGCATATTTTATTAATTATATTCTCTATCAATTATACATCCTACAAGCTTTTTACAAATTGTTATGTAATTTTATGAATATAAAATTGCCAATTGCCAAACTTAATCCAATAAAGGAGGTGCTGAAATTCTCGAGACTATTCCCTTGTCTTCTGCCTCAATTTTCTCCTCCTTAATTAAAAAGGCATTCTCAAGCAAAAATTTTTTTAAGCAGATCTACAATTAGTAAACTGTTTTTGTGTCCAGCATAAGTTCTCTGATAACTCGCTATTCAAGTGGAAATTCTTATTTTGGATCATTGAAATTGAAATTTCTTATCTCGCTAACCATTTCTGTTCGATAGGTGTCACTTTTGCAGCATTTGCTCCCCATTTTTATTATTATTATAATTTTTCATTTGATTTTCCAGAAATTATCATCTTAAAGTTATCCAAACAGTAACCCATATTGTCTTGAACACATAGGTTTTTAACACATTTCAGAGACATATTTAATTTCATCATTTGTTAAGATTAGATCTCTACATATTTGAATCGTAGATTTGATATTGATAGTATGATATAATACATGGATATAAAAATACATAATCTTATCTCATTTTATATTCCAATTCATAATTCATGTATATGAAATTGAAGAGTTAGACTGAATTCATAAGAGGTAATGTCGATATCAATTGCAATCGCAGTGTAGTGAATTGAGCTTATTATTTAAGGTTAGGTATTTTATTTATAATTATTTATTTTAGATTATATTAAAATCTTTAATTTTCATTTTTCAAATAATGGCTGAATAAACTTAAGATAAATAATTCAAAGGTGTCAAAAAGTTTACCTACAGAGGCTTATAACTCGAAGAGCTTGTTAAATTGCCCATGGATAAGTTGGTTGAATAATTCAGAGCAAGATAAAGAAGAAGAATTTCTAATTAAGGTGAAAAAGTTCACGCTTTCTAAAACTTAATGAAGAAAGTAGAGAATACAATTAATTTGTATAGATTCGTAAATCCAAGAAGGAGACATTACCAGGAGAGAAACCCAAACCAGTTAAGACTCATTAAAGAAACACTATTGTTGTCCCAGAAATGGTTGGCTCAATCGTAGGTGTGTATAATGGAAGATAATTCAGCAACGTAGAAATTAAGTTTGACATGATTGGAAGGTACTAATGAATTGCAAACATTACATTAGATATTTGGGTGAATTTTCATTGACATATAAACCAACAAGACACGGAAAGCCAGGTGTTGGTGCCACAAAGGGATCTTAACATACAGATTGATGTTATATAATATAAGTACAATATAAATTGCAAATTAATGTAAATGAATATAACTAGTTTTTCATCTCTATTTCTCATCAATTTAATATAATTTCTATATTTTCGGACTTTGGATTGGAGAATTCACTTTAATCTTAGTTGAAGTCTTTTATTTCAAAGCTGAAATTGGAGTTGATTCTTTAAATGATTTCTTTCTGCTGGTGTCCAATTATTGATTGAAAGAATTATTAATAGAGGGCTACTCAATCTTCTTTCCTCTTTCTCTTAAGACATTCTAAAATTCTTTAAAAGAATTCTCTTCAATTTAAAAGGGAGCAATGGCTTTCTTTAATTCACATTTATTTGCAAATTCACTAAGATAAGGATGTTTTAAAATATCAATTAGAGTGATTCTTTCATGAGGTTCAAAAACAAGCATTCTCTTTAACAAATCAATAGCCGTCGAATCATCGCTTATGCTTGTGAATGCCTTCTTCCTATCCGATTATATGCCCTATAGAACATAGGGGGCTAATTCGCTTAGATTGGTATCATTAGGTTTTCCAATAAGTTCAACTATCTTTTCGATTTGATTGAAAGTGGAATTACCAGTAAATAAGGGGTGATGACACAACATTTCTCCGAAAATGCATCCCAATGACCAGATATCTGCTGATGTATTGACTTTCCCTTACAATAAGATCTCTGGTGGAAGATAATGCAAACATGTGTATTTTGGATCCTTAATCGGTAGCAATTGAGAGAATCCAAAACCTATTAATTTTATCTGGCATTCAGAATCAACCAATATCTTAGATGGAGTCAAACTTAAATGAACTAATCCTCCAGAATGTATAAAGTAAAGAGCAGATACTATATTGCATAATATTAGTTGGATGTGCTTCTATAAGAATGTGATGATTAAATACAGGTTCGAGTATCTTGACTTTGATTAGCGAAATCAAATCCATCTCTACAAAATCATAAATAGTATATTGATCATTCCCTTTATTAATAACTTACAAAACTTTCATAATATTTGGATGCTTAGAAATTTCTTAAAGGAGAACTGTTTCCCTCATAGATTTCAAAAGGTGCAAAGGATTGGCTGAATAATCGATCTTTTTAATAGCGACTAACAATATTTCAATATAATAAAATACACTATTAGTTTTCCTATCTATAGCTTTCCAAATGACTCCTCCAGAAACCTTACGAATTTTTTGGATGATTTCAAATCTCTAAAGTAATTTCTAATCGATGTCTTCAGCCATTTAATTTAAATTTGTTATAAAAACAATTAAAATTAAATTTAATTAATTCATTTTTACTCTTAAGTTCAATCTACTTCTTCATCATATTCTGAAGATCCTATCTTAGATTTAATTCTCTTCTTAATCTTTTAATCTCTTTATCTCAATACTTACACTCTCTTTCCTAAGGTAGAATTGACTTTATATATTGATTCTCTGAGTTCTCATTAGAATATTGTTGAAATACAATAAATTGAGGCTTGGCAATGATTGTACTCCAATCAAATGCTTCAGAATAAATCTTAAGAAATGGAGTTCTAGACCCCAACACTTTAAAATGGCAGACAAACAAACTTTTTTGGATCATAATATAATAAGAAAATAATGATTGTTTTAATTCAACTGATTTCGAAGGGTCCTGGAGATAAATCACCATTTTCTTGTGTTATGGGTCTTTTGCTTCGAAGTTACAGATTCATTTAATCTCGCTATTCAGAAATTGGTGTTTGGTCATCTCTAGAGACAGGGACTAACTCTTTCGACGATGGCTATGGAAAATTGTTTTAATGGTCTGTTTTCAAATTTTATGTTACATCAGGAGTTTGTTCACACGACTATTATTTAGGTTCAATTTGATATTTCTTATAGAGATATATTAAGGATCCAATAAATAAAATAAATAGTAACAATATTACTATGTACAGTAATATTATTAATAAGTAAGTTTATTTATTACCTCCAAATTGTTTGGGCTCTACGAATTAGATTGTATAGCTTTTGATTAGATCGCATTCTTTCCTCTTCAAATTAGTTTTACATCTAGTGGCCTTGTGACTATAATTCAATTAAATTTAGGAGGTGATTTCATCGGAATAACATTAAATAAAGGATTACTCCTAATTCGAATAATTAAGATATTTACCAATTCCACTTTCGAAAAAAAGAATTTATGTTACGTAATTCCAATAATTATATTATGAGATTATATGGCCTCTTTCAGCTCTAAGTTCTATTGATCTAAATTTAAAGACAATATTCCCAGTTATTTCAAATTCGGTATAACCAATTAATTCATCCACTCAAATTAAGAATAAGTGGATGGAATCGAATGAAACAAAATTTAATGGCCATTTCTGCCAATCACTATGGCAAATTGCTCTGTTAATTCTATATCAATGATATCTGTTTCCAATTGATGCTATTTAACAAGAGTGAATTAATTTCGATAATAATCAACTCGAATCTCATACAAATATTTATCCTTCACAACCATTAAGATTTCACCGTAAATGTCAAGAATTTCTCCTGGATATGGAATAATCCCTAACTTAGAATTATGCTCCAATTTCTAAGTTACAGTGTTAAAGATATATTGATTAATTCCTGAGATTGTATCTAACAAATAAATGTAATAAAGTTCATTATTCTTTTTATTAAATATCTTCACATCCGAAACACGGTTAATCTGGCTAATTTCGATCATAATCTCATTTAATAAATGATCTTTAAATTCGAATATCTTTATGCCAGAGTCCATTGCCACAATCATAATATTACCAACAGTAGCAATGCTATTGATGTGTGAGATTTGCCATTACTCATAAATCTTATACTATTTTATATACAAATCATCTTCGTCATGAATGATATCTAAAGCAATTGTTTAAGCATTTGCTATCAATAACACTTGTGATTAGTAATAGATGTATTCCAAGAATACATTGCCTTCTAATGCAAATTTCTCTATTTCTAATTTGAAGGTAGATTTCAATTGAAATGAGTTATTTTGGTAATTTAAATACTTCAATTGGCCATCATCTTGTAACACGAGAACACCATTGGTGATTTAGACAAATTTTATAATTTTTCCTATTTTTCCATTGAAGGATCCAAGCTCAAAGTTTTAACTAAATAAATCATCCTTGTAACTCTCAATTAAGGTTATTGAATTGTCATCAATGTCGTGAGCCACTAGTTATTAAGGAACGATGTGACACAAACTTGAATTGGTTAATGATTATTCGAGGATTATTCCAGATGAACTAAAGACATCTAGAATTGCTTCTTGCTTGGTTAGAATCTAGATAGATTCAGAATAGATTTGATAAACCAAGAGTTAAAGAATAATGAGCATACAATTAAAAATATTTAATTTTATATTTTCATTCAATCTTTTAGTCATTTTATACAGGAACGGAAGGTATATATGATTTTTTACTAATTTTCAACGGGCTATCAAATGAGTTCAAAACGTATATGTCATTGGTTGGAGGAGCCCTACTTCCACTTGATTAGTCGTAGGAATCTTTCGAGCTATGACTCTTTACAATAAATTGGTATCTGTTGTATTCTTTTACCAACAAACCCAAAACTATTACAAAGAGCGCTACAATGATCAGACATGTAATATACACATAGAGAGATTGTTCCGATGTAAGAATAGGGTGAACAAATTGTACGGTATAATTTTATTTGTATTGACAAATCTTATTTTAAGTTGACCCAGGACATTTTGTAGAGTTCTGATAATAAGTAAATTTTATCTCATTTGCCTCCTTGCTATAGAAACAACTAATGAATTGAGGAAACAATTATAGTCTTGTAGTGAAGAACTTATGTTTTGTTACTCCGAACACCTAAATGTTATTAGACTGTGCTTTATCAAGAAAAAAGAGTTACTATAATCCAGGTATAATAATTTTATCCTGAATTTTAATATCATAAGAAGGTAGAGAATGATATATGATTTCGTGTCCATTTCTCCCTAAAATGATAGCATAATTCTCAGTCATTTCAATATCTTGAATGTACTTCTATGCTGAATGCTAATGGATCAATCTCCAAGTATTAGATTCGTATTAAATTTACAATTCATGAATTATCGAATCGTTTTCCTTCTCTTCAACTACCATTAACACATCCTAATACAAATCAATAATCTCCCCTCTGTATGGTATATTAGTTAACGATTTATTCTCATAGAACAATCCTGTTTTAGTATTGAAAGTGATTACTTTAATGCCTTTCTCATAATCAAGTGCAAAAATATAGTATACTGAATTCTCCGAAAATACTCTTAAATCTGTGATGTTTTTAAATTCCACAGTGCATTGTACCTATTCAAATACTCTTTTGCTCACCTAATATATAAGCAACCCTTATTCACCTGAAGCCACAAATAGTAAGTCTTCGAGAATGGCCACACTCTTTATCTATTCCGTCAAAAAAACATCATATATCTTTGTAATTTCGCCAAAAATTGATTCACCCTCAAGATCCAATTTGATTTTCAAGGTTTCGGCATTCAGTATGATCAATAATTCATTCGACTTCTAGATGTATTACAAATACACAGGCTTGAGGAATACTTCTTTTGTAATAGATAACATCTTTGAATCAGCTAATTGAAAAGAATTCTCTACTAGTTTTAAATAAATTAATTCCCCTTGATTGCTCAATACAACTGCACCAGTTGAAATTGGAACCATCTAAACTATGAAATTGATATCTCCATTCAATTTTCCATTATCATAAAAATTCGCATATGTCTTCTCCTCAAATTCAGGTACTAGATTGATTTCTTCCGATTGCTTATTCTTTAATTTTTAATTTATGATGTAGCAGGGTTAATCTGATTGAGTTTCATAAGTTATATTTGATCCCAATATTATTCCAAACTGAGAAAAACTATCAAGCAATTATTCATCATTTTTATAAACTGAAAACTCTTTTGCCTACACCCTCAAACAAAATTCAATCAGTATACAAATAATTAACATATTTATCACACTTTAGTGTAAAATATCTATATTTTAATTTATGCTTATATATAAATGATAAACATTTACAAAATACTTATTGTTTACACATTTTGAAACAAATAACAATTAAGATGTACTTAACATTTTTATTAATGATACTTGCAGATTTTTTAATTTACATCAATAATTACGTTGATATTTAATATTCTATTTTATGAATTTAAATATTTTAAATATTTTTATAATTGATATGAAAATGACGTGGATTATATTCATAGTGTTTCCTCTTATTCATTAATAACATGTATGATGTAATCTCAATTCTAAGATAGATGGCAAAGAGGCTTGCTATGAAATTGATACTAATTACAACAAATAGAGCAAATTCCCCTTAATTTACAACTTAGGATGGAGTGAAGAGTTGATCCTTAACATACCTAAAGGATACAGACCGGAACCATACGTAGTTTTGAATTAAGATTATATTGATCAGCATTTGAAAACTTTTCATAATGGAGCTTCATTTATAATTGTCACCGCAATTTTAGATAAATATGGAAGAGATCACATTGGAACAGCAAATGGATTATTTGTTGTACCATCATCCTAAATGGACAATTTATTATAAGCAGCCAGCGGTAGCCTTTCAATAGTTGAGAAGAATCTCGGTATTCCTCAAGGAAGATGGTTATTCAAACGTCTTAGTAGGATTGATATTCCATATCCATAAAAATTTAATTTGAGAATGCCAAGTGGGAATGAAGCTGGAGTAAATGAACTATGGAAGCCAGGGGGATTACTACCAAACGGAATGAAAGAAGCCATCATAGATATGGTACCAAGAAATGAATACTTAGAAGTACAGTTGAATCTTTCTTGAAATTTTTAGGAAGATACCAAATTGAAACTAAATATTATAATAATCAAATATTATTTGAATAATTTAAAAAAAAACAGAGTTTAAAATTTAAAAGACTTTTAAGGGTTATGATATATGTCATTAAATATCAATTATTGCTTAAGGATAATTAGAATAGCATTTCTATTACAATATTTCTGTGTCTATTTTAAACAAATAAATAATTATTATAAATTGAATATTTATTAATGTTATGTAGTTCTAGAAGTACTAATAGAGTGTTGTACTATATGGAGATATATAATGAATATATTATATGGTTTAACCATCTTTTCTATATTTAAAAAGGATTTCTATTTTTTCTTTTTTTCTATTAAGGAAATTATTCAGATAGATGTAGAATACACGCACTTTAAACTTTGTAGATTGCATAGTTGGGTAGTATATTTGTAACTTTTAAATTGTTTAAATATCAAATATTATAATATGAATAGTAGAACCAAGCATCATATTTATAACTTTTAAGGCTGGAATGGATGGGGAAATGAAAGTAATAGAGGAAGGGGGAAGAAAAACAAGATTTTTCACATAATGCTCAATATAAAAATTAATTATGGCGTATTGCGTAAATAAATTGATCAAAATGAATAATTGTCATATTTTATTTCATCATATTAATGCGCTATATGAATGGAAATTGAGTTTAATTTTGCATTAAATAAAAAGATATTTATGTTAACCCAAACAATTAGTCGTGCCTTCAGTCAAGTTGTCTTAAAAGCCAACAAGAATCAAGCAAGAGAGTTAGGAGAGTATGCCATTGAATTCATGAAAAATGGTAATCCAAGTGTGAAAGTGCTCGAGAGATGCAAACTCTTCCACACAGATTCAGTATTCTGTGGCTTAAGCGCTTTAGCTTTGAAAACAAATGCTCCAACTATTTTAGCGTACGAATACTTGAATAAACATTAGTTAAGAAGCCAAATCATTGGCAGCCAAGACTGGAGCCGCTTCAAAACCAAAGCTTGGATTTGCCAAAGTTTTCGGAAGCAACTTATGGGTGCCAGCCACAAATGCAATCGTAGCCAACTCTGCAGCTGTCAGAGAATGGGATTCCAATGGCACAGTGTTCGGATATGATGCTAGTAGTCCAGCAAGAAGAGCAGGTGAATTTGGTCACAATGATTACTACCCAGTAGTTATTGCAGCTGCTTAACAAAATGCATCCATTGATGGAAAGACAGCACTTAAGGCAATGGTATTGAGTGATGAAATCAGAGGAAGATTAGCTGAAGTATTTTCATTGAAAACATACAAAATTGGTATTGATATTGTTCTTATATTGTATAGATCACGTTGTTCATGGAGCTATTGCATCAATCTGCACATATGGAGCATTATTGGGAGCTACTCCTGCTTAAATCGAATCAGCCATTGGTATGTTCGTTGCTCATTACATCCCATTCAGAGCCATCAGAGCAGGACATCAATTATCAGATTCAAAGGGTGCATCGGCTGCCATTTCTACTGAAGCAGCCATTAAATGTTTGTAGAGATCAATGAATGGATTTGTTGGTCCAGCTGATATCTTCCGTAACCCAGAAGCTATCTTCAGATTGTTCTAAAAGACTAAGGGAGACAGTCCTTTTGATATTACTCTCTCATTAGGTGGAGATGATTTTGCCGTTATGGGAATGCATTTCAAATTAGGTTTGTATGAACATCAATCTGCTGGTGCTTTGGAAGGATTGTAAAAGCTTATTTTGGACACCAAATTTGTCCAAAACTATTCAATCGACTCCATTGATAAAATTAAAGTCACTGCTTATGAACCAGCTTTCGGAATTATTGGAGACCCAGCTAAAAGAGATCCTCACACAAGACAATCTGCTGATCACTCAATGGTTTACATCTTGGGTACTATGTTGAGAAAGGCATTCACTGAAAAATCATTCCATTAACTCTTATCAAGCACAAACGATTTGAATGAAATCTGGAAAGCTCTCTTCCTTTCACCATATGATTACAGTCATGCAGCCGTTAGAAATAAGGACACAAGAGTATGCTATCAATATCTATTCTTAGAAACTCATGGCCTTGACAGAGTTCGAACATGGAGGAAAAGAATATGATGATAAATATCCCGAAGGTATTCCAACAAGAGTTCAAATCTTGTTGAAGGATGGCAAGAATTTGGATAGTCAATTCGTTATGTTCCCATCTGGTCATGCTAGAAATGCTAATTGTGATTTAACTGGAATTCTTTAAAACAAGTTCAAATAATTAGGAAAAATTGCTATCAAGGACTCCAAATCATAAGATTAGTATAAGCTTCATAATATAATTTTAGATTCTATCAACAATTAAACTCTATCGATACCCTCAGCAACAAGGATTTATAAACAATCTATAATTGTGAAATCAATTATGCCTCAAAATCCATTGATGAATGATTAATGCATTAGATACATATCATAACATATTAATATTTTTAATGTTGATTCATTTATGTTAATTATTATAAATGTTTCATAGTTTATGATGTGAGTCTATATATATTTTTAACTATTGGTTTGGATCTACATCCACGTACTTGCAATGCTCATTCCGGCAGTAATGACAATTATACATTTTATTTGTTAGAGATTACACTGCACAGATATGGCAAACATAATTCGAACAGCAGGTTGATTATAACATACCTAACTTAATCTATTATCCATACAATCATAATATTTGAAGCAGATTGGACAGTAAAACTTGCATTCCTTATTCACTATTTCACTTACCTAAATACTACTAATCAAATACATTAGTCTTATTGTTCTCTGTGATTATCTTAAGAGTCTTATCAAAATATAGACCATCTTAGCAAATTAAATTTAACTAATGCAGATTTCCCAAGGATAAATGTTTACGATCTTTTTTCTTCTTACCGCAACAAACAAACATCTAACGATAAATTAAATTAATTTAGTTATAAATAATTAAAGTAGAATCGACCCCTACTAATATAATTATTCTCTTTTTGGCTTTCATTCATCATCTCCTTCTTCCTCTGAACAGATTTAAAAACACTCTATAATTACCATCCAAATCCAAATTATTTTTTAATAATATAAATAATGAGCTAGTCGGATTCAGATAACAAGGCCGGTATCTCTTATTCTAATTAGTAGAATTATCTGAGGATTACGATGATGATTATGTCGAAGAAAAGCCCATTGAACCCAGACCTTATAAAACACCTCACGATGATGAAACAATTCAAGTAATCAAATTTCTAATAAAACCAGGATATTCTATCTCTTTACGTTAAAGATAGACCCCTAATCAAAATGCAGTTCATCAAAAAGAGAAAGGAATTTGGGTATTGAATTTTGTAATCCACCTTATTTAGTTTGACATTCAAATTTAGTGATCAAGAGACATCCGAAAGGACGGGAGAAATCAAGGCATTAGACAAGGACCCCCTTTAATTAGTCAAAAACAAAGTTATAGATATGGGGATTCAAGGATGTAATCCTGTTTTAGATGCTTCCTCTCAAACCGTGTGGAACAGAAAAATTAATAAAGCACTACAAGTCGACGAAGGAGATGAGAGACAGGAACAACCTGATGAAGATTTTAAACTTCTAAAATTTTTAGAAACTGTCTATCCACTAATGGAAGAAGCGCTTTAATCAAATGAAACTATTGATATTTACCAAGATGATTTCAATGTCCTACCATCATCTGATCAAAATGGAGGTATATAACATAATAATATTCCATTATAGACTAAAATGCTGAACTTACAAATGTAATCAAAGAAATCAAAAGTTTCAGTTATTTAAATTGTAAAGGTAAAAAAATACAATGCATACAATTCCAGCCATCAAGTCAAGCAATCAAATCAAAATATATTGTTGCAGAGTCATTTGTAGAAAACCTATTATTTGAAGAAAGAGTAATATCATAATTGAAGTCTCACAAATCTTTAGTGGTGTTTTGGGATTTTGAAGATATCCATTCAATTGAACCGGTTTTACTCTTATAATCACCTCTTGAAATCCTAGCATTCGAATTCAATCCAAAAGACCCAAATATTATTATAGGAGGAGCAATTAATGGATAAGTTATGCTTTGGGATTTAAGTGGAACAGCTCTTTCAGTGTTTGCATCCAAAAAAACTTAAAAAACAAAACAAGAAAGAAGTATTTATATCATAAACTAACTTTAGATGAAATACAAGAGTTATTACCGAAATTGACATCTGCTCTTTAAGACCCTGCTTCATATTAAGCAGCTGCAGCAAATGATGTCTTGAAGAAGTAAGTTGCTTCCCACAAAAGCCCTGCATTAGCCCTTAAATGGTTCCCCATAGGAATGGAATTCGATAAAAAACACTTTAATCATCTTATTCTTACCACATCATAAGAGACATATTAATTTGCAAGCATTAGTGCTGATGGTCAAATTTTATTTTGGGATACACGTTTGATAGATAAGGACAGCAAAAAAACATAATAAGATGTAAGTATTTGATTAAGTAATTAGATTTCATCTATTCCCTGGAAAGCTACATATGGGATATAATTATATCGACCTGAAGGAGGTGGAATGATGGGTGGTGGATACTTATAATTTAGAAAGAGTATTTTTTAATTTCAGTATTTTTAGATTAGAAAACACCCACATTGTCGGGAACGTCTGATGAAGGAGAAGTTTTCATTTTAGATTGGGGTGAAAGATAGGGAGAAGAGGGATAAAAGAATTAATTAGTCACAACCATATGGCAGTAGGCAAGAAGCATGAGACCACCTATAGCATTGGATGTCAGTCCATTTTTCGATGATATCATTCTTACTTTACACGATTTTAATTTTTGTGTATGGAAACATAATTCAACTTAACCAATATTTGATAGTCTAATTTTGAAAGGTGCACATATAACTTGTGGAGGATTCTCTCCATTCAGAGCAGGAGTAATTATCATTGGAAAAACTGATGGAAATCTAGATGTGTGGGATATGCTAGATTAATCACATAAATGGACACTATAATTTTAGGTTGTTGCATGTGCCATCACCTCTTTGAAGTTTAATGACAATATGGCACATATCGTAGCTGTTGGTGATTCAGATGGTACCTTGCATTTATTAGAATTCCCGTAAAGTTTATGCAAAGATCAAGGGAATGAAATTAAAGTCATGAGATAATTTTGGGATAGAGAAGTCAAGAGAGTCAATTATTATTAGGAAAGATTTAAACTTAGAGAATAACAAGCTAAGGAGCAAAATGAAAAAGAGATTTTAGCTTAAGCGATGAAAGAAACAAAATAACCTGGAGATGTATTTATTATAATAATTTATTCAAGACTAAAGTTCTTGATGAAATATCAAATTTTGAGAGCGAGTATTAAAAGTTCAGAGATACATTACTTGGAATAGCTCCTAAAGTTGAAGATGAAAAAGGGAATAGTAAATAAAAGAAGTGATACAAAATTCAAAATTAATAATTTTCAAATCTTTAATTTTAATTGCAAATTTGTTTTTGCTTTTGTTTTTTCTTTTTCTTTTTATGTTGTTTATGATGACATGATTTAGATGTAATTCTAGTTTAACTCATACTGATATTTTTTGCAAAATGAACTGACTTTGTCTCACTCTTCTATCTGGGCTCTTTTTTTAAAATACTTTTTATTGATTTGCTTTCGTCAGATTCAATTATTGATTTTTCACCAATTTTGAAATGAGCATTGAATTCTCTAAACTAACTATTTGAACTTGATGAATTTGACAGGTTTCTTGGGAGGTTTGGATCTGTAAATCTAAAACATCTAAGCTTTTGCGAATCATGTTATTCATTAATGTGGCCATGTGTCTATAACATCTGCTTTTCTTAAAAGCTATACGTCCTTTTTCTTAATTTGACACTTCCATGTATATTATATTTCATCTCTGATCTTTCATCGTTAATTTCGCTAACTTAAGAAGATTGATCAGCCAAATTATCATTACCAGTCTTTTTATTACTTCTCATTGTCAGAAAAATTGTTGATTTTGAATTTTGATTTAGCTCTTTTAATTTCTAAAATACACTTTCTTTTGACATCAAAGGATCACTCTCAATAATTTCAATCTTTGAGTTACATTGTGCACATGTCCCCATCTATTGAGAACGTCAATTAATTAAATTTATATAAAGAAAATCTTAATTGATTTTATCATCGTTTTTATTCTATAGCTAATATAATTTTCATTTGAGATTAGAATACTTTGAACAAACAATTTATTATGTTTATGAAATATCAAAAAATTGATAATAATTAAATTGCTTATTAATTTGCTTCATTTTTATTTAATACGCTCAAATTCTTTGCTTTACACATTTGAAATCCCCTTCGATGTATCCATAGTAAAATTATTTTAATTTAGGGCAAGCCTGTATACAAGAGATCTCGATGTTTTTTAAAAATTTATCTCGATATTGCACATCGTCTTTTTTCTTATAAATGAAGACTCTCTAAAAATAAGAATGAAAATTACATGATTTTTTAATAAGCATTCAATTTCTATTTCTCTGTTCTAGTGGTCTATCAAATATGAACACTATGTTATTATTTCTTCTGTCGTAAATCTATCATCATTGATGTGAATTTGAGGTTTATAGACTTTTTTGTATACTGCTTTTTTTTGAACTCCAATGCAATACTCTGATTCAAAATAAAACAATCTAAATTATTCTTCTTCCTACTTTGGGATATCATACTCTTATTATTAATCAAAATTTGAAAGTTTATAATGTCTTACTTTTCCATTACTAAATCCAACATGTAATTACTCATCTACTATTTTAATAGCAACAACTTTCATATCATTTAAAAGTTTGATATATTTTTTAAAAAATGGCTGCTAATTACTTCCTAATCTTTACTTTATCAATTCATTGGTTTGATTATCGTATCTATAAAGGATACCAGAATAAAACTCAAATTTATTTTTCCTTAATTCAATGTCAAACATATTTAGTTTTTGTAGTTATAAAGAATAACAGTATAAATGATTTTCTTTAGTGCGAATAAGGATTGTTTCAGGATGAGAAAGTTGAATATCCAAAATATCTTTATCTATTCTAATTTAAATAATGGCTATCTTATCTTTACTCTTGAGGTTCTTACATAGCCGAACTTCATTTTTAGATGCCACTATTTGCTCATTTTTGTTGATAACTAAGATATGCCTTATTTTTTCTCTATATATGATTTACTCATGGAATATACTTTAGTTTGAAGTCTGCTATTAAAGATTATCTTAAGTAGCAGCTTATTAGTTCCAAGGCTCTTATTATTATTATTATGGTTGAATTGGTTGAATTGGTTGAAATTATTATGTAGTGGATATTTTTTGATTTTTTTAAGGTTATCCATCTTATTCAAAACTTTTATTTTATTATTCTTTCTCTATTTCTAGACTCACTTATTGAAAAAAATCCTTAATTGTACCAAATTTAATTTATTTTTCTTCCATTTTTTTGAGTTTGAATATTTGTTTTGTTTGTTAATTGTTTTAAATCTATTCTTCAAAATCATTTTTGTTTTACTGCTTAACGTAGGGCACAGAATTAAATCTATGTTCTTAACTATTAATGAAATTATCCAAATTCGTTATAAATTACTTAAATTCATTTTACATTTGTTAACTAAAGTTGGTCCAACCATCTTCTCTTTCTTCATTTAAAATTGCTTTTTAAAAAGAAGAATTTTCTGAAAATTCAGGAAAAGCTTTGTGATTGCAGAAATGTTATAAATCTCTAATTCCTTTTTAAAGTTTATAAAAAAGATCATTTTCTGCATCTAATTATCTAAAATATTATTGAATTATAATACCTTTCAATTTTTTCTTTCATCTATTCAAATTTCTTCATTAAATGGTTTAGATCACTAGATTGAGTCTTAATTTTTCCGCTAAATTCATCTACTTGTTTCAGAAGATTATCAAATTTAAAGACCTTTCCTTGATCTTATTTTTTCTGAAAATTTGCCTCATTTAAGCAATCTTAACAGAGGAATGATATATTAGATTAGTTAGATTTCTCTATGCAAAAATACTCTTTAGCCTTTTGGTGTCTTTAACATGTCTATTCTTGATACATCTTTAAAAATAATTAATACTCTTTTATGATTTTTTTTCATTTATAAATAGATTTATTGAACAGAATTTCAGGCATGGTTTAATAGAAATTCATTTAATATTAAGGGTTATCCAAAGTTGATTTAAACTTGATAATTAAGCAATATAAAGTTTATACATGGTTTTCAAAGATTCTGATGATATAAAGCCATTCAGACTGAAATCATCCATTAGTAATATTATTCAATATAATTGATTTATGACTAAAAAATGTACTTAATTTCAAATTTTAATACTTTAAAATATATAGGATAAGATGCATTTCCTAAAAATGTTTTATGATAGGAATATGTTGAACATATTAAAGTCATCCTGTTTATTCATAATTTTCATTTTCTATTTTCTATTTTTTCTAGAGTTCCTATATTTTATTGTATAAATTTAATTTTATAGATAAATATGGAATTAAATAAATTGTATGAGGTTAATCCAGATGATTTAGATACCATTTTTAGGGGCATTCAATAAGAGATCGAACACAAAGAAAACGATTTAAACACTACTATTCCTTAACTTTAAGAAAAATACAAGGACTATAAACTTTAAGATCATGATAAAAAGTTTTAATTAATTTAACCAACAGATTGATCCGCCGATTCCATATAAGGATTTCCTAATTGTTTGAAAAGTGCAAGACTCCAAATGCAATTGACTATATTTCAAGTATCATTGACATTTTAAATTGTGATGGTTAAAATCTTAATTTTATTCTTAATAAAATTCAGAAAAGATCTGAGGATTTGATGCAATCACCTATTGAAGATACGAATTCAATCTAGGTGAAAAAAACACTACCCAATTGGCAATAAAATATTTAAGAAAATTAGAGAGTGTTCCAATTCTATGATTCCGACTTTTGGAAACTCTACGATATTATGCTATTATAAAGGTAATTAACCAAGTGATATTAGATAGTATTGTTTAAATCTCATCACGCTTCATTAAACTAAGCAACAAAATTTTGAAAGGCTTTATAGTTAAAGTCTAGAAAGGAATTAACGATTTAATAAGCAAAATCTCTAACTTTCCATTGAGATGAATACTCTTATAGCCAAAGCCTAATACTTAAATTCTTTAAAGACTGACGAACCAATCTAAACAATATACAACAATAAATCTATTATCATGTTTGGTAAGAAAAGTCCAAAAAGAAAGCCTAAAATGAATATTAAGTATTCATTCTCAGTAAGCCCTTAGAGAGCATCAAGTAGAGATCCTAAACCTTAAGGATCTGATATTAAAAGGATCTTTGAAACAGAAAAACTTCAACTTTATGATTAGAATATCTCTACAAAAAAAAATATGAGCAAGAGGGTTTATCGGAATGACGATTATATTACAGCCATCGATACATAGTTCTAAGAAAAAACTAAACTTAAATTATCTTCAGAAATTTATTTTCCTTATTAAATAAATAAAAAGTAAACTTTAATACTTCCGGAAATTAAATCACCTTATCAATTCGATTAAAATGGTATCTGTAAGGAAATTTAAGATTCATTAACCAAGACTATATAACTATTTGAAAAAAAAAAATATTTAACTCCTGATAAGCATTCTTCAAAACAATCTCCATTGAATTTAGATCTAAATGGAACTTTGTGCTAATAAATCTTACCCTAGTTTAAGATTAACACTAGAGACTTACAAACAATCCGATCTTTGATAGGAAAATGAATTAAAGGAATGGTGATATGTATTATAGACATTTTTTTCATTTTACTAATAGTTTTTTGTATTACATCTTTTTGGATAGAGATTCTATCATTTATAAAAATTATCTAAATACTCTTGGCTATTTCCTTTTTGAAATCTAAATAATATGAGTATATATAGGTGTAAAAAAAATTTGAAGAATTTCATTATTTAAATTTTAACACTTATATTATTTATTTTAAAATCAAAATAGTATATTCTTGAATCGAGATTCCTTTTTAGACTTCATGAATTCGACATATTAATTATTCATTATTTCACTAAATTATGATTATAATTGGAATCATGATTACGTAATAATTCTTTAAATTTGAGTAATAAATTTTTAATCCAATAACATCTTAAGAAAATAGAAAATATTAAAATATATTTACAAAATGAATTCTATTCTAAAAAGAGGGGATTGATAATAAATTTATGATATATGAGTTCTAGCCAAATGGAAATCTAAGATTTCTAAACCACTGGATTGCCTCCACTTCTCTCTCTAACAATAAAAATATAACCATTATTACAAAAAACATCCCTTTGAGTTTACCATCAATTTCTATAATAAAAAAATTGTTAATTGATAAAAGTCAAAATAATCGACCAGGAACTTATGACACACAAAGCCATAAAAGTCACTCAACTGTAAAAAAATCAAAATCCCAAGAAGTAACCATTAGAAAACTCTAAATTGATCATTCTAAATTTATCAAATCCAGTATGGAAGAAATTTTAATCAATAAATTTTAAAGTTCTACAGATAAGATGAGAGAATTTCCAACTTATTGTGTAGATTAGTATTAGCCTTGAATTTTAGGATGGTACAGCGATAAAGGATGAGGATTCTTAATAAATTGAATTTATATGGAAAATAGGTTCACTAAAGTAGGGGATCAATAAACTAATAAATCTTGTCGCTTAAATAAGTTTGTAAATGATTCATCATATTCATAATTCAATTTTACTACTTAAAATCCAATTTTTATGGAAGGAGAATTGATAGATGCTGGATCTTTTGGATAAGTATACATGGTATAGGATAATAGGACAGGCAAAATTTATGCAGTAAAGAAAATTAATTTGAAAAGAGACTTTGATTAGGAAGATTTGTAAGGTAAGAAATGTGAAATTGATATATTGAAGAAAATAAATCATAAGAATATAATAAGATATGTTTGGAATCAAGAGAGCGAAGATTGTAAGTTCTTATTACCTGAAGATTTAGATGGAGTTCTAAGTTCATTTATTAGATAATGCTTATAAAGAGATTACAAATAAAGACCTATCTGCCTGGGAATTAGTTTAACATAAATGCATAATTAATAAATGATTATATCTTTATTTGAATTCATTTTTAATAATAGTCAAATTCTCTAAATTCATCTTGGTTGACTAGATTATTCTCAGGGGCATATGAATTGATAGCCTCTTCTGCTGTAAACTGTTTATCGAAATTATCAATCCAAGCATCACCTTGGATTTAAGGTTTGAAAGGGGTATCAATTTCTTTTTTCAATAATTTTTCCCAATTGATTCCTTTAAACCAAGGATGATTTTTTACTTCATCAATTTTGGCTGTTCCTAATCTTTGTTTTGGATCTTTAATTGTTAACTAGAATTAATAGAGATAATTTACTTTAGAAATGAAATCTTTAGCGTCGTTGGAGAGTTGTGGTGTAGTTGGGAATGTAATTTCTTTGGTTTGGATCTATTTAAACATCAAATCTTGGTTTTTATTGTAAAATGGTGGTAATGCATAGAGCATCTCATATGTTAGTATACCCAGTGCCCACCAATCTGCAGACTGAGAATGTCCTGTTTCTAGAAGTATTTCAGGAGCTAGATATTCAGGAGTTCCGCAGAATGATTTGGCGAGTTCATTCTTTTTGAGCATTTTGGCCATTCCAAAATCTGTTAAACAAATGTGACCTACTTCATCCAATAAAACATTTTCTGGTTTTAGATCTCTGTATATGATGTTTTTCTAATGCAAATGCTCTAATGCTAATATCTAAAATGATAATGAGTATTTACAATTTCGGAAACATAAAATCTTGTTCTGCTTTCATCAAATCTTTTGACATGTTTCAGATGTTAAAATAGTTCTCCTCCCTTCATAAATTAAGTAACAAAAAACAATTTTTCAGGTGTTTAAAATGCCCAATGTAAATTTACAAGGAATGGATGATTGACATGTTCTAAGACTAGTCTTTCTGTTTTTGTGTGTTCTAATTATTCTGGATCAGCAATATCTTCTTTTCTAATTGATTTCATCGCATAGTATTATTTGTCACTTTTCTTCTCGACCAGCATCACTTTTCCATAGGCTCCTCTTCCCAAAACTTTTATTAGGTCAAAGTCGTCAATTGTTACTACCTCACCCTTCTACTTCGCATAGAGTGTCGAAGTCTTTGCTCTAGTTTACAATCGCTCTTCTGTTTAAGAATCTAGTCTCTTTCTGAACTGCTCTTCATTCATTAATTCCGAACCAGTGGTTGGCAATCTATTGACGCCTTTTCTTTTGTCGACTTTAGTTGTTGTATATGCAGTGAGAGTAAGTTCATCCTTGTAGAAGACTGGCAATGCAGTGCCTTTGTGTTATAAACAATAGGCCTTGATTATGCTCAATACTGCTTGATCTCTTCGTTCTGAACTTGAATATCTATAATCGTATTCTTCAGGCACATGCACTACGAATTCTGTACCAATCAGACCTATGGTTATTCCATAAACTCTTTTGATAGGTATTTTTCGTTTCACTGTCAATTTTGATAGATTGTATAGGTTATGGCTTGTAATTAGTAATGTTCTCTCTTGTCGTTTATTGACTTCATTGAATTTATAGAGTAGACTTGAAAATAGCACTTACTCTCCTGGCTCTAAGATTTTAGTAATAGATTTTTCATTTGCCAAATGTAAATCATCCCACGATTCCTGTTTCATTAATTATAATATTTGAGATTTCAGAATAAATGAAATTATGATATATATTATTAATTAGAAGAATTAAATTCATACGGCATTATTGAGATTCAAATATCATTCCATGAAAAGACTCAATTATTCCTAATATTTTGAATTTATTGCGAACTATCCTCATTTGGAATCTCGGATAAAACAACATCGAAATAAGCCAAATTTGAACAATCTCTTAATTATAATAATAATCATTAGATCTAGGCGGTTATTTTTGTCAACTCCTCTACTTCAGTCTCACTCAAAAACCAACAACTGTTCTTCTTAATTACACACAACTCAATGTTTTTATTCCCACTTTCCACTACATCCATCAAAGCCTTGACATATAACTCAATCCCATACCTTCGTTGTTAGTAGAAGTGCATCCTTCTCGTGCAAGCCTTCTCTCCAGTGCTTTTCTAAGAAATCCTTCACTTATTTTGCACTCTTCCCAAGAGATGTAGCCTTCCATTCAGAACAAGCCCCAGAAGGATCTGTCTAAAATAACTTTGGCTTATTTTAATTATCAAATCCGGCAATTAAAGTTGAAATACCATAAGGTCTGGCTCCCCCTCTTTAAGTGAATTTCTATTGTTGCTAGCTAGTGAATTTAGCAATGAAATCAACTGAAGGATCATCCTCATAATAAATTTTATACTATTAGCATTATAATCGTGTTTGATTTGCCAATATTCTTGCATCAGCATTTAATCCAGAAAATGTCATGCATAAATTGTTATCTATCGTTTGAATATATGGCTACCTAACTAATACACTTTCTTGATTGTCTTAACATTTTAGAGCTTTGATGTTGCCTTTTTTTCTACCCCTAGTACAATGATGTCCTTTCCTCTGACTCCAACACAACACAACCCTCTTTTCACTGCTTCCATTGCATATTCTACTTGAAATAGCTAACCATCTGGAGAAAAAACTGTAAGCGCAGTGTCGTATGACATATTTTAAAATACAAATATTAAAATTAATCCTAATCTAACAAATACAATTTATTTATTATCAATTAGATGTATTAGTAATATTTTCCCTATTTACCAACCATGAATGGATATTATATCTATGTATAGACATGTTGGTTTTTATCAAAAAGTAAAATAATGCCATTATAGAGAGGTGACTATCAGTTGGACATAAGGGGAAATTGAAAATTTGAATTAATTAATATCTATGAAGTATAAAATTAAGCACTTATTTTGATCAATTAGTTTTTACAATTTATAATGTTAAAGTATAAATAAATTAAAGCACAAATTGATTGAGCAAAATAAATTATTATAAATTTTGAAAGGTAACATATTAAATAATAATAATTGAATCACTCTTTTAATTATGACGCACGATTTCCTAAAAGTGTTCATTATATATATAATGTCATTTAGATTTGTATTAGTATATTAAAAATATGAGTTAGTTGAGATTTGATGGTAAAGTAGTCGTTATCACTGGAGCTGGTAATGGCTTGGGAAAAGAGTACGCACTATTTTTTGGAAAAAGAGGAGCTAAAGTCGTTGTTAATGATTTAGGAGGATCAATGAAAGGTACAGGAGCTTCCTCTTCTGCTGCCGATAAAGTGGTTGATGAAATTAAGGCTGCAGGTGGAGTCGCTGTCGCCAACTATGATAGTGTTGAATTTGGAGAAAAAGTGATTGACACTGCAATTAAGGCATTTGGAAAAATTGATATTTTGATTAACAACGCTGGTATTTTAAGAGATGTTTCATTTGAAAAAATGAAGGATGAGGATTGGGATCTTATTTATAGAGTAATATATGATAATATTCCATTTAGGTTCACTTAAAAGGTACATACTCTTGCACCAAAGCTGCTTGGCCATACATGAGAGAATAAAAATATGGAAGAATTATTAACACATCCTCAGCTTCTGGTGTTTATGGTGTTTTTGGTTAAACAAATTATTGTGCTGCCAAAATGGGTATTCACGGATTGACATTGGCTTTGGCTAGAGAAGGATTAAAGAGAAACATTTTAGTTAATTCAATCTGTCCTGTGGCTGCAAGTAGATTGACTGAGACTGTTATGAGCAAAGAATTACTTGCAAATTTGAAGCCAGAATTCGTTGTTCCACTTGTAGCTGTGTTGAGTCATGATGATTCAAAGGAAACAGGTGCAATTTATGAATTGGGAGCTGGATACATTTCTAAATTGAGATGGTAACGAAATCAAGGATATTTCTTTGATACTCCATTCACACCTGAAGATGTTAGAGATAAATGGGAATAAGTAGCTGGTTTTGGAGATAATGTTTGTTATCCTCAAACATCATCAGAAATCTTTGAAATCTTTTTCAATAAGGAAGATTTCATCAAATAATAGAAAGAAGGAAAAACATCATCAGCTTAAACATAATAAACTACACAAGCTCCAAGTGTTAATCTGAAGGCAGAAAAGATTTTTGGTTTAATGAAAGCATTTTTGGATAGAGGAGAAGGAAAAGAATTCATTCCTAAAGTTTAAGGAGTCTTCAATTTTGAAATAATCACATAAAAAGGTGGACCAGTGATAAAGTCCTGGGTGATTGATCTAAAGAATGGTCAAGGAGGAATCAAAGAAGGAAAAGAGCAAGCTGATGCCACTTTCACAATGATTGATGACGATTTTGAAAAGGTTTGCTTAGGAAAATTATAAGCCAATGAAGCATTCTTAAAAGGACAAATGAAGATTAAGGGAAATATGAAGAAAGCGTAAATAGTTAGTAATATCATATTAGAACTCTATTCACACCTAGTTTATTCCCAGCACCAACTCCAGATAACCTTGCTAAGTATTCCTAACCAAAATTATGAGATATATAAATTAGTATCATATAATCAATAAATTGAAAACAATTTGCCGTCTCTCCAAACTCCTTTCGTAATTTAACCATGAAATTCAGTAAACTCTCCTGATCCATGTTATAGTCCATTCATCCACTAACCTGCATATTTACGACCATCTGCAAATTGGAATGTTCCGAATCCTTGTCTTTTATCATTCACATACTGTCCTACATAGATACGACCTATTTTGAGACACTAAATTACCATCTGGCCATTGCAACATCCCCTATCCATGCATCATCCCTTTTTTCCAATCTCCTTCATATCTTCTTCCATCTGGCCAAATCTAAAGATAAAAATAGAAATGCTTACAAAAACTCCTTTCCCTTCAAATAGACCATTCACAAATGACCCCTCATACTTCTCCTGATTAGAAAATATCAAGGTTCCTTGACCATGTTTCAACCCACTCTTAAACTTACCTAATATATAATTTATTCTTACCCTTATATTGGCTTTCGTTTTTTATTTCAATTCCATATCCATGGTATTTATCATTCATCCATTAACCTTAACGATAAGGATATTTCATACCATCATATACGGTTCCATCTGCGTATTTGTAAATTCCTGTACCCTGCATACTGTTTAAATGGAATTCTCCCTTATAGTGTCCACCATCAGCATAATAATACTCTCCCTTTCCGCTTGCAAAGCCATTATTCCACTATTATTGTAATATCTAGTTACTTCTCCTACATATCTACTCGAATCAGCAAATAGATACTCCCCCATACCGTGAGGTTTCCTTTTGTACCACTATCCTGTATAGCATCCCCCACTCTTCATTTTGATTGCTTACAATTTGCATTGCTCTTAATCACTCCTCAACAACAAATGCTTGTCCTCATCATTTATGGGAGTGATTAATTCCTTTTCCTATTGCTTCTCCTCCTTCATAATTTCACAGCTTTGTTTGCTGGATTTATTCGTACACATAGAAGGTCTTTGTAAGAAGGAATCCTCAGCAGTATCAAACTCAGGAATCTCATCACAATTTGCTTAAGGCAATTTTGCAGCATAACAATGTTTTGTTAATTCAAATAGTTTTCGATAATCTTGTTGTGAACTGGATTTAGGTCTTCTAAAATTTGTAAGCGTATTTATTACTTTATCCAACTTTCTATATCGGAGTCTACAACTGAATGGAAACCTTCTGAATTTGCTTTAGTCTGTCCAGTATATTCTAGCATTTATTTCAAAGAATTGAGTTAATTATTAAAAAATATTGAGGTAAATAAGATAATTTTAGATATTAATTGCAACATTTTAAAAAACTATAGAGTTTCGATTGATACAACTAATTATCCATCATAATAAAATTATCAAATAGTATACTTTAATCAATTCTCTACAAAATAAATAATCCAATATATTATTAGTCTCCAAAGAGATTATGAAATAACATTTTCAAAAATCATTAATTTGAAAATCAATTACTTTTTAGCATATTCCAATTCCATTTATAAATTATGTAGGTGCAATTATATACATTTAATTATTTTAATTTCTGACATAGTTTAAGAAATAATTTTAATTGTTAAAACTTTCTATGTTCACTTTACAAGAAATTTAATTCCCAATTTGATTTAACTCTTCAATTATTTTTTTCAAACTTCCTATTATTTTTTAATACTATTAATGAATAATTTATTTTTTTCATTTTCGAGAGTTAGAATTTTAACGTAAATTACTCACTCTCTTCAGCTTTTCAAAATTAAGTGAATTTTTTCACATATCATAAATTCCAAATTTATTAGAAATCATCCTCAACCGATTAGCAGAAACTTTATTTTCTTTTTTAATTTATTCTACCAAATAAATAGATGAGCTAATTACTTGTAACTTTTATTTATAATACTAAATTATCTTGATGTTACAAAGCGTCATTAATGTGTATAAATTTTAGTCTCAAATTTTCTGTACTATTAACTGAAGATAATGAAATAAATACCATTACGATAAACTCTGATTTTCAATAAAATGTTTCAAAAATATTTGATTTAACTTATAATTTGTTGACAATTTAAAATTGTCTGTGTTTATTTGGTATCGTTTAAAGTCATATCAAATTTTAAGTTAAAGTTATAAATTACTATTTAATCAAAATATGAAATTACTACAGTAAACAGAAAAATTCAGGCGATCCATTTAAACAATGTATGAAAACGCCGATAATTACTTTCAGTATAAGTATTTTACTATTACGGTATTGTTTTAATTTAGATTTGAAATTTATAATATTTATTAGAATTTTATATACTTTAGAAATGTCTTTTTTTTGAATATCAAGTTTAATCGGATATTCATTTAAATTTTGTCAATTTTTACTGTTATTAATAGAATTAGGCATCAATGAATTCTTTAATTATAGGATATTACTTTAGATGCCTCATTGCATTGGGATTAAAAAATTACATTTTTATTGACTTTGCCATATTATATCAATTTTTATTACTCTTATTATAAAACTTTATAAGTAAAAATGAAATGTACTATTTTCTAAAATGGAATAAATCAAGAAGTTTTATTATTTATTTACTTCCTCACTTAATGAGCGAATCGGAACAATTATAAGACATGATTTCATGTAATGTTTTTTTTATTACGATAGCGAAAAAAAATCAATCAGTTTTATTCAATTAAATTAATTGTTCCATCAGATTTGGCAAAATATGGACAGTGTCTATCTGAAAACTTTTTTGCCTTAATTGAAACATCATTGATTACAAGAGGTTTGACCCATTCTTTTTTTATGTGCAATTTACTATCCATTATTAAATTTAATACCTTTCATTTCCTACCACAGCACCATCTTCTATAGGAATTACTATGAGTTGAAATACTCCTCTCGGAAAATGAGAAGAAACTTCCTTAATCTGTATTCTGTTCAAACACCCATAGCCTTTTTTAATAATGGTTTATTAGCATCCCTTGTATATTGATTAGTTTTTGTTGTTATGACTTAGCTTTTTTGGTTGACTATCGTAGGTCCATCTAATATTAAGTACTATTTTACACTTATAATTCCACAAGGATATTATTGGCATTACAAATGACCTTTTAATTTTCAACAAGTCTTAGTCTTATTTAAAAAATTCTATTCCTATAGCAAGGAAGCTCTAGATCTTGATCCATTTAAATTTCATATTTGTATTACTGATTACAAATGTTGGATTTCGAGTCAACTTGTTAAACAATCTATTGGTTGGTCATTCGTTAAACTAATAGATTGAGCTTTTCTAGGTGTTTTTTCAACTTTTCATAAGTTTTTTATCTCTCAATTTACATCTGTTGAATTTCGAAATGCTATTATTGAATTTGCTCTTAAGCATGGTTGAAAATCACAGAAATGCTTTGATTTTAAGAGATTTGACCATTATTTTGAAAGACGTTCATAAAAATTTTAGAAATTAAAAGTAATGAGAAAAAATAATCTAATTAACTTAATAATCTTAGAAATAAGATACAAGATACTCTTAAACGAGTGATAATGCTTCAATTGGACCACTATTTTAGTTGAGGGTAAGGATGCTTAAATCAAAATGTAATAAAAACTTTTTTTTAAAAAACTGAATTATATAAATTATTTTAACTAAGATTTATAGACGAGAGAAGTAATTTTATTTGAAATATAATCAACGAATTTCCAATAACAGACAATGGTCAAGTTCGAAATTGAAGTAAACAGTATAAATTTCCTATTGTTTAAAACTACTAAACTCTCTGGATGATGAATATAATTAATTAAATAAATTCATTATTAGTCTTCAATCTATTCAATTTCTTCGCTGGATTCATCAAGATGTTATTTTTTTTTTAATTTCGATGGGACAAAACTTGTAGTCACAGTTTGAAATCTACCATCTCTAAAATTGTTGACTTCTAACATTTTTTGATTCAAATGAGCAATCCCCATCCGAGTATTGGTGTATTTCTGTTTTTAATGAATTATTTACCTACATAAAGCTGGGTAACAATGACTTGCCATCGCACTCCCTTTCTAGCATTCTTTCAAAATTGGGAGCAGTAGGATTTCTAAATAATTTGCTTTATGGATCTTTTGAGTAGACATCAAATTCAAAATAGGCCTCATTATTATAAGGAGGTATTTTGGTCATAATATCCTTTCTTACTTCGAGTTTATCAAAAGGAGCTCCACAACTACCTAATTGTCTATTTGAGATTAGAATATTTATAATACTTTCTACCGAATTCAAAATTGGGATGATAATCTGGGGCAAATTATTTCTTTTTATAAATGATCATTTAATCTCTTGACAATTACTTGTCCAATTGAACATTGGGAGTTCTTGGGATTTTACTCCAAGAATTGGTGACACTCAAGAATGTGAATCTATCTGGATGTGGAGTAGGTCTTCCAAAGAAGATGTCAGGTCTATTCAGTAGGAAATATTTGATTACCTTTGAGTTTGTCTGGTTAGATCTGTGAAACAAGTACGAGAAAATCTAGGTCGATCAACAATAGGTTTGCTTGAATAGATGCTATAATGAGTTACTCAATGCATTCTGGTTACCCAAGTTTTCCTTGCACGTCTCTGGAAGTAGTTTGTTTTAGAGATTTGTCATAATCATGAATGGAATGAACAGCTCTGTTGATAATAAGGAAGGGAGATACTTATCTAATTCACTGTACTTGACATGATATTGACCACAAGAGGGTTTGCTATCATTACTGAGTTTGGTATAATGTCCGACTTGTCGAGAGAGTTGTTTAGAGAAGGGTTACGAGAGTTTGAGTTGATTTTTGCGTTGGACGACTTCTGTTTCAGTAATTTGTTCTGGCTTTTTGTTTAGGAGATCTGTAGTTTTCTATTCTGATTATAGGTTGGGTTCTTCAGGAGATGAAACTGATAAGGATTTGGTGTTATGATATCTTGGTTTATTGTTGATAATTTCATCTTTTCTTTGGAAGACAATATACTTTTCTGAAGTGATTTTGCCAGCCTTGCTAAACATGTTTTGGATGTCATTTTGATTGTGAATTAATGCCATTATAAATATAATATTGTTTGTTAATAAGTAATATCACATAAAGGCCTGGACCATCTAGATAAATGAATAGGAAAGGGTTATACTTCTCCATCTTTTAGTTAATAATTTCCGATGAGATGATGATTCTTCATCTCTCTGCCCTTGAAGAACAGTCTGCACTAATCAATCCCTGGAGATGACTCCTGAACCTTCGTCTTTAAGTCGGCGACGCTTTGGTTGGTGTGGGTAACAATCTCGAAATCCTATGGTAGTTTGTTAGATCTCACTTTGATCTGGTAATAGATTATCCTTAAGAAATATATACTTTTAATTCCGTTTCTTGAAAATCCTGAATCAAACCAGCATCACAAAACTTGGTGGAGGGGAATGATTGAGGTTCATTGATCATAAAGACTGGGACATCATATTTATGCATGGAGGTGTCATACAGTAGCTGAATGGAATTATTAACCAATTTGAGATCACATGCGTTGAGAATAGCTTAAGCATTAGCTACATATTGATGACAATACCTTCATCCTGTTCTTCAATTGCTTTTTGGATTGATTGCCAATAAACTCTCTCTCCCTCAACCCTCGATTCTTTAAATAACTTATAAAGTCCTACCCCAAAATTCCTTCCTCTTCTCCAGCCACTCCTCTCTGCTAAGACGACTTGTATATTGGTTGGTCATTTTAATACCCTTCCCTACCGTCGTATCTGGTATGATATGGAAGTAGTTGTTGTATTTGTGATTCACATTCAGAGGGTGATTGATATTTGCCAATTGTTGATAGTTTAAATATAATCGATTCTGTCTGTGATTCTGAGGAGGTTCACTGGCTTAAGCATATTGCTTATTAGTACAAATTCCCATTAAAATAATTAATAATAATGAAATTTAAAGTACAAGTCGAAGAATTCGTCTTCTACATCAATGTAGGACAAGGACTGAACGATTTCGCATGGTTTGCCCTTGCTGCTGCTAAACTCTACTCCAACAAAAAGAATCCCGATTCCAATTACCTTCCCTGCTATTTGCAATTCAGAGTCCCTGGAACTGACATGTTTCTAACTCCTCCCCCGCGTGCCAAAATCTTCGACTATCTCAAAGAAGATGAAGAAGGCAAAGAAACCTTAGTGCAAGTCGAAATACGAAAAGGTTAAGGATGGATTATGACTGATCAATAGGAAAGTATTATCAATATCGCTATTTTAGAATGGTATGACGAAGCCTTTGGAAAGATGAGAAATCAATTCACTGCCACCTTTTAATTGGCTCCATTAAATCAGAAGGTCGTCAATCGCCAAGAACCTACTTATCTCATCCAATATGAATATAAAATGTTCCCTGAAGTCATGCATGAATTCGATACTAAAAATTATCCCAGCAAAGATAAAATCATCATGAAAGAAATCAAGTTCATTATATCATTATCCTATCTAGAGCTGGAGATAATTTTAAAAAGTATTTTGCAGAAATCACTCTTCCTCTTGGCTAATTCACTTTCTAATTCTACGGCCAAATTATCACAGAAAAAGAAGGCTAAGAACCACAATAATCTATCTTTCCCTTGGATATGAAAAACTTTGATCACACAGCAAGACTCAACCCTGTCCCCATCTCTCAATAGGAAATACAAAAAAAGATCATGGAATACGCTTAACAAAAAGAAAAGGATCTCCAACAACAGCAGATCCAAAAGAGAGAAGATAGTCAAAAAAATAAATAATCTGCTGCCGAAGAGTGTCCATATAAATTTGAGAAGTTGTGGACAATCATTCAAAAAAATGCAGAGGGCAATCTTGAACTTAAAGATCTAGTATTTAATTTATTGTTTATCAAAAGGAAGAAAACTTTTACAATAAGATTGCTGCCTATATGGATGATAAGTTGCCTCTGCTTTACGAAGTATTTCGTCAATATGCTATTCTTTATAATACAGATCATGCCAAAAAGGATGAAATTAGTATTTCATTCTAGGATGTGATGCACTTCTTAAAATTTGTATTCTATCTCAAATTTAAATTTAGTATGGATTAGTACAAGATAGTCAGGAACTATTTTCATTTGTGGAAACATATGATAAATAGGGAACCAAATCAAAAGATGTTAGAAAAAGCTTGGAATTGTCTGTCAAATTTCAAGAGTTCTTTGTGATCATAGTAGAGTTGGCTTAATTTAAAAAAACAAATAATCTCAGTGAAGTAGAATGTACAACATATCTAATGATATCATCTTAGCCCAAGATCAATTAGTCATGAAGATTGTAGATAAAATAATTGAAATTAACTCTGATGAAAAAGAATTCAATAATTTCTAATAGCATATGAAGTACAATGAAATTTTAGTCAATTTTATTCGGGTAAACTCAAAATAATATCAACTTAGGAAATTTAAGATTAAATGCAGAATATATTCATTAAAAGATTTAGCCAAGGCAATGATGACAACTCTGACATTAAATTCCATATCAGACAGGAGGAAATTAAGTAACTAATCCAAGATTCCGGATATAAAGGAGACAATCTGGATGGAATCATCAAAACAGCATATAAAGAATTGTTTCACGATGAAAAATTTAATGGATTTGAAGGCCTATTTTATTATGAATTCATCCAAGTGATGTAATGGCTTGCCTTAGTTCTTATTTAAAATGATGAGCGTAGTTAATAGGAAGAAGCAGAAGAAGTAACTACTTTGGACTAATTATAAGAATAATTAAGATATTTCATTTAATGTATTGAAAAGTGATTTAAATATATATAAATGCCCATTATAACATAAAATATTCTTGTGCCACAAGTGTTAGATACATAATATGTTCAAACTGTTTACTAGAATATATATTGAATGATTTAGATAAATTTTGAGATAATTTTATCCCCAAATGAAAGGAATTAAGTGAATTAGATGAAAATGGCAATTATATGGATAAGTTTTCATTATTTAAATCAAAGTTTTGAAGAATTTTAGCTAAGAGAAGAGATAACAAATATCCTAATAGTCAAAAAAAAAAATTTAACAAAAAATTTATCAAGATCAATTTAGACTACAGCAAGAAATCACAAAAATAGAAAACGAGTAAACCTAAATGGAAAACCAATTGAAGGGAACAAAAATATAAAATATTTTATAGGGAAATGTATAGGTCTTGAATAGCAGAATTAACAAAATAGATGCATAATATAAATACTACTGAACCGCTCTATATTTTATTAAACCAATATTTATGAATTGATTAACATTTTTTATTTTGATAATTAAATTGAATATATTTTGTTTATATATATGCTTCATTCTAGCAATACTTATTTATACAGAAATTATAGTGTGAACTAAATTTAACTTATTCTATTAAATTAATAATATTCTTAACGTCGTCAAGCTAAATCTATTTTCTGCTTATGCCTCTTGGATTTAAGTGTGAATGTATGAACAATATAATATTAATAGAGCTTCTCAATTTATTCTAGTATTTATTTTTGATCTTTCTTGAGTACATATTTAAGTGATATTATTTATAGTTATTTATTAAAATTTTAGTATTTTAAACTTCTTAAATATGTTATTGATTGGATAGTTTGTAGATTAGATTTTATGGTGCTTGTTCAAACTTGATAGGCCTGAAGTTTCAATTGATTTCTATTTATTAATTAATTAATTAATTATAATTTAATATAACAATGCTTGTAAATTAATCAACAGGCAGTGAATCAGCTACTACTTCAGTTTAAAAACATCAGGATTATGAAGTAAAGTAGATGTTTAATTTTAGCATCTAAAGACAACAATATTGTAATTGGAGGAAGAGATTTCAGGATTAAGGGGATAAATAAAAGTATTATGATTTTTGAAAGTAGATGTGGGAAGAGAAGTATGAGGAATAGGAGCGAATTCACAATAGAGAAATTGTTTAGTTGAAGTGCAATTTGGATAACTCTATTTTTGAGGACTAGCGTTGTGATGAGAATGATCTTCAGGTAATACAAGAGGAGACCGAATTTTATCAGAAGAGTCTGTGTTAATCGTAGGTCACTCAGGGGAGGATAGAGACAAATAATTTAATGAAGATTTTGGATCAAATTGATATGGATGATGCGATTGATTTGTAATGTGATCAGGAGGCTTTCATTGTATATAAAGTAACCAAAATAGTCGAGATGATTAAGAAGATGGAATTGGACTTGGATGATTGGAAAAGGAATTATTGGATGTTGGAGAAGAAATTGAATCAGATTTTATTGCAACAATAAGATAAGTTACTGAAGNAGGAATTAAGTGAATTAGATGAAAATGGCAATTATATGGATAAGTTTTCATTATTTAAATCAAAGTTTTGAAGAATTTTAGCTAAGAGAAGAGATAACAAATATCCTAATAGTCAAAAAAAAAAATTTAACAAAAAATTTATCAAGATCAATTTAGACTACAGCAAGAAATCACAAAAATAGAAAACGAGTAAACCTAAATGGAAAACCAATTGAAGGGAACAAAAATATAAAATATTTTATAGGGAAATGTATAGGTCTTGAATAGCAGAATTAACAAAATAGATGCATAATATAAATACTACTGAACCGCTCTATATTTTATTAAACCAATATTTATGAATTGATTAACATTTTTTATTTTGATAATTAAATTGAATATATTTTGTTTATATATATGCTTCATTCTAGCAATACTTATTTATACAGAAATTATAGTGTGAACTAAATTTAACTTATTCTATTAAATTAATAATATTCTTAACGTCGTCAAGCTAAATCTATTTTCTGCTTATGCCTCTTGGATTTAAGTGTGAATGTATGAACAATATAATATTAATAGAGCTTCTCAATTTATTCTAGTATTTATTTTTGATCTTTCTTGAGTACATATTTAAGTGATATTATTTATAGTTATTTATTAAAATTTTAGTATTTTAAACTTCTTAAATATGTTATTGATTGGATAGTTTGTAGATTAGATTTTATGGTGCTTGTTCAAACTTGATAGGCCTGAAGTTTCAATTGATTTCTATTTATTAATTAATTAATTAATTATAATTTAATATAACAATGCTTGTAAATTAATCAACAGGCAGTGAATCAGCTACTACTTCAGTTTAAAAACATCAGGATTATGAAGTAAAGTAGATGTTTAATTTTAGCATCTAAAGACAACAATATTGTAATTGGAGGAAGAGATTTCAGGATTAAGGGGATAAATAAAAGTATTATGATTTTTGAAAGTAGATGTGGGAAGAGAAGTATGAGGAATAGGAGCGAATTCACAATAGAGAAATTGTTTAGTTGAAGTGCAATTTGGATAACTCTATTTTTGAGGACTAGCGTTGTGATGAGAATGATCTTCAGGTAATACAAGAGGAGACCGAATTTTATCAGAAGAGTCTGTGTTAATCGTAGGTCACTCAGGGGAGGATAGAGACAAATAATTTAATGAAGATTTTGGATCAAATTGATATGGATGATGCGATTGATTTGTAATGTGATCAGGAGGCTTTCATTGTATATAAAGTAACCAAAATAGTCGAGATGATTAAGAAGATGGAATTGGACTTGGATGATTGGAAAAGGAATTATTGGATGTTGGAGAAGAAATTGAATCAGATTTTATTGCAACAATAAGATAAGTTACTGAAGCAGGGGTCTGAGGAGATAGAGATTGAATTTGATTTTGATAAGAAGAAGATCATTACAAAGAATCAGGAGACCAAGTCCACTAAACACACGGATGAAATTTAAGTATTGCTAGATGAAATTAAACGGCTAAAATAATTAAATGCTGAGTTGATATAGCAGTAGAAGTCAATGACGAAATAGATGCTGGAGCAATTGATTGTCAAATAAATGAAGAGCGATTCTAAAAATAGATGCTTGACTTAGGTTAGTGAGCCAGGAGTCAAGCAATAACCAGTTATAAGGAACAATAATAGTCAACATTATAAGCAACTAAATAAGTCACCTAATGTTGAACCTCGTAATCATTACTTTAGTCAGTATTTTCAGGCTCAATAGCATCATTAGCAATTAAGTATGAGAATTCAACCTCAAAGTAATAATTTGAATGCCTATTAATCGAATCATTCTTACGAACAACCGAAAACTTCAACTCCTACAATCTATGCAACTCCAATAATGATGAAATATGCTAATGGAAGTCCTTTCAATCACACAAATAAAATATTACAATTCTGAAATTAAACTAAGTTCCGTTTTTATTATATTATGAAAATTGCATTAATTGTCACCTTGAGCTTGTCTTTGGTTTTTGCAACTAAGTTCAGTAGCAAGTACCACACAACAGCAGAATTGAATGAGGAATTAGAATCTCTCAGTAGAAGTTGCTCATTCTTGTCATTATCAAATGCTTCTGATAGTCCATTAATTAAGGAAGTGAACATTAATAGAAATCAAAACAAAAAATATAGGGGTATTGAATTGGGTATATATATGTAAAGCTTACATTTTGTTTGGTGAACATCCAAGAGAATTGATCAGTCCAGAATCAGGAATTCATTTCTTAAACGACTTATGCTTCGAAAAAACCGACCCAAAAAACTAATAGATTCTAGATGATTTCGAATTAAGATTGATTCTTAATGCAAATCCACTATCAAGATAGAAAGTAGAAGGTGGAGAGTATTGTTTAAGAGAGAATGAAAATGGAGTTGATATAAATAGAAATTATGATGCACATTGGGAAAAGGTTCAAGATGATGTCAGATAAGTAACCTCAGGACCAAATCCATTTTCTGAACCTGAAACAAGAGCAGTGCGTGATTCTTTGAAATCATTTAACCCAGACATCTTCTTAACTGTGCATTCTGGTACTTTGGGAATGTTTACACCTCACGCTTATTCAACAGATGCAGGTAAATCATAAACTCAATAATTTAGCTGAACAAAATGAAGAAAAAATGATGGACATTCTTAATGACATATCTGGCAAGTACTGTCCCTCATGTGATGTTGGAGTTGCATCATAAGCTATTGGCTATTTAGCACCAGGAAGTTGTGTTGATTATGCTTATGATGAATTGAAAATTAGATATTCCTTCGCTTTTGAAATCTATCACGGTTCTATCAATTTGGAAGAACAACTCAAGTCTAGATCCCATTCCAGTTTCTTATAATTGACAGGCCAATAATAATCAACCAAAAATAGAAAATTCGAGCACAACAACAATCATTCTTGTTTCTTATAAACATCATCTAAATACGAAATGTCTAAAAAAGAATGCTTTGATTATTTCAACCCAGACAGTTCCCAATACGACTGGTATGTCTAAAATTGGACAGAAGCCTATTAAGAGATGTTATTAAAACTAGTCTAAGAGGAGAAATGATTATGAAAATTATGTTGATATACAATAATCAATAATTATATCAAACCAATTCTGATATACTAATACTTTACCTAAGGTCTCTTTAACTTAATTAATTACATCATTCATTTATACAAGGACCATGATCATCCAATTCATGTTTAATCTAGGTATCATCTTTGCATTTCAATTTTGAAATGACAACTGGAAATAAGGCAACTTTTAAAAACCAGAAAAAATCATAAATCGTACTTGTATAATATACCTCTCCCTCCATAAATAATTGTCTACCTTTTAAGAATTCTGCCAATTTACAAACAACAACTATGAATCCACTTCTTGTCATTATTCAGAGGAGTTTCAATTTCTATTGTAAATTCGCATATTGAATGGAATCACTCTAAATAATCCAAAATCTGTCAATTTCAATGTCATTGCATCAATCAAAGTGTGTTTTGCAGATTTTACATCTATATTTATGTGTCGATACTCTCTTATTATATTAAGTCATCACAGCTTAATAGTTTTGCTTCAATCTTCAAAAAGTACTTATTCCATTATCTTTCTTAATCCTCATTTATGTATGATTTAGTTGACCTTTTATTTGATGTAACTTTTCAGTGTATTAGTTTTTAATAAAAATATATTGATTAATTAAAAATACATATATTTAAAACTTTTAATTATTTTATCTAAAAATTATTAATGTAAATTCATGAAAAAACCTTCTAATTTGGTATCAATCTAATTCTGACACAAGCATATTTATTTATATTATTCATTCATATTTATCTAATGATATTATTTATCAAAATAATTAAATGCTATTCTAATTGTTGATAATATTAAAATTTTATTCTCAATTCTAAAATTTCATATTATTAATATTCTCTATAATTTAAACTATTAAATTAAACATATCAAATCTTACAATTTGATTTTTGATATTTTTTTGATCAATAATTAATGGTTTTGAACTTAGAAAATTAGATAAAAATAATACAAAGCCAAAAACAACATTTAAATTACTTCTAATACTTCAGATTTTAATTGTTTCTTAAAAATATAGTCTCGAAATAAATGAATTGGTTTCTTAAATCGAATTATTATGTAGAATAGATGGTCTCTCAAATATTAAGATCTTTGTGATGGAGATGTTGATATATAGGAATTTAGTATGCGTAGATTAATTTAATACTGGAAAAGCGTTCAACGAAGATTTTAATTATGCAAAGAAAATTACAAAATTCACATCATTTATTATTTATTTCTGAGTATTTTTATATAATAGTGTTTAAGTTAATAATTTATAGAAGGCAAGTTATAATTGGGTTTCATCGGCTGATTGTGTATAAGTTGAGGAACAAATGAAAAATTATTTTATTAATTATTTTCAATTCTTGGGCTATGAAACTTGGATTACAGCAAAGATTCGCAATATGCAATCTGATTGCATCCATTCTATTTTTAGTTTTGGGACTTACTTAATTGATCGATGCATTGGATTCTGGACTATTTGTTATTGTGGATATCATATTTTCCTTAATTTTTCTATTGTTAGACTACAAATAAAAGTTTATTTGTTCAACAGGAGATTATTACTTAGCTCTAACTTAATTGATTATCCAGATAGTGGAGGTTGAAATGACAAAAGACACTGAGGAGAAGGTATATATAGTGCTCTAACATCAAGGGAATTTTCATATTCATCATACTGAAACTTTTGGCTTTGACTCAAGTTCTCCAAGTAAAGTTACTTTAGAAATTAATATATTTCACAGTGCTCATATATTCAATCATAAGATTCAATGAGTATTAATACCCAATATCCTACTTAGGATTTACATTCTCTCCTATTTTTCTGGTAAGATGATCAATATAATTGTAGTTCCTAGAAAAAAGTGATGAAAACGAACTTTTGATGCTATTCAAAGAGATCTTGCCAGTGCCTTTGCTGGTGATAGATAAATTTTCACGGAAATCTCTCTATCATACGAAGGCTTTGGAAAATGAATACAAATACGACTAAAGCCATTCAGATGAATTTATTGATTGTTTGTATCACTTTTCTTCAGACAACTAAATTAAACTCTAAACCCTATTCGAAAATTCCAAAGACTTTTTATACAAACCTCAAAACAGCTTCAGATCCATATTTTCAGAAATCATGGACAATTGCTAATATATAGCAACGAGTCCTTTGTTTCAAAAGTTCTTTGAATTAGGTGCAGCTCACAATGAAGAATAAAATGAAGAGCAACAAAAATTCTAGAATTAAAACTGTCCTGAAATAATGATTGACACTCCAAAATACCTTTAGTTTTGCAGAGCTTCAATGTAGTTAAGTGAAGAGACCCCAACGAATAAAAAGTCTAAAATAATGGAAGAATTCTTAATTTAGAGTCAAAGTTAAAGAAATGTGTGTGTGAGTGAATTGAAGAGGAAGAAATTGAAGCTCTTCTTTAATCATTGTTTTTGGAATAAGAATCAAGCTTTCGTATTGATATTACAAAACAAAGAGACAGAAAAGTCAATGATTGCATTATAGTAACAATTATCAGAGTCGAAATAAATCTGTGAAAATAAAGATATGATTCTTGCTACTGTTTTCCATGATTTCAAAACTCCAATAAATGGAATCGTGGCTATTTTGGAGAGTATGGACGGTAATTAGAATTTGAACCCATAGGAGAAATATCTTCTAAACATTATAAGAACAAATATTTATCTCATGTTATACATGATTTATGATATCTAGGATTATGCGAGAATAGAGAAGAATCAACTCAGACTCTGCATCAGCGATTTCTATATTAATGAATTGATAGATGAAGTTATTGAGACCGTAGCTATTTCAGCCGAATAAAAAGGAGTTGAAATTAAGACCTATTATGATATACCTTCGTATCAAGTGCATTCGGATCCAAATAGGGTCAAGTAGATTATCATGAATATCTTGTCTAACTCCTTGAAATTCACTGAAAAAGGTAGTATAACAATCACTATATAATCTTTAAATACTGATAAATCTTAACACATAAAGAGGAGCAACTCCTCGAAAAACATCAATTATGGAAATGGCAATTAATCAATTTCTCAGATTCGAAAGTCTCTTTAAGGCAAACAATCTTCAGTGTCTTCCAACAAACTTGTATACACAATCTCAATTGATGATACAGGCTGTGGAATTGCTGATTCGATCAAACCAAAATTATTCAATTTGTTTGCTACTTTCTCATCTTAAAAAATAGAAAACAAGAATGGCACTGGGATAGGTCTAATGGTGTGTAAAAAACTAGTAAGTTTATTGGGGCCATCAGATACAATAGATTTGTAAAGCTAAGTTAATGTAGGAACCAAAATGACATTTTAGATTTATGCTAAATTATAAGATTCTTCTTATAAAATAACAAATTACGTTAGTTGTTTTAAGTAGGAGAACAGTTCTCAACACCTAAGCAATTTCCAGAATGAAGAGTCTCCAAATGCAAAAGATAAACCTTATTAATAATCTGTATTTGTCAGATCATCGTATCTTAGATTATACACGAAACCTTTAGATAAGGCTGAGACCGAGATGAATGAGCCTTCAATAGAGGATAGTGATCAATCGAAATAGAAGAATATTCTGCGATTTTAGTCGATAACTTAGAAATCTTAGATTTAAAAGTGTCTACAATCGTAAGATTCGTTGGAAGTGCAAGATCCCAAATAAATACTTTAATAATTGATTCAAAGCAAGAAGTTTAGTATTCTAATTGTGGACGATCAAACATTCAATGTGTTGGCTTTTAAAATGCTATTATAAAATTTAATACCTTAAGCAGACATAATTGAAGCTTATAATGGACAATAAGCCATAAACAAAGTACATTTTAATTATGAATGTAGTTATGCCAGTATCAGAAGAGTTTAAACATAAAATATGTGTTTATGGATTTGCAAATGCCTATTTTAAATGGATGGTAAGCAGCCGAAACAATTCGAAAGATGGTAAGCAATTTAATTCTATGTAGATTAATAATAATGAAATCGATAATATAAAATTGATTGCTTTGTCAGGATTTGATGATGAATCTTAATAGGAGAAGTGTGAAAAATTAGGATTTGATGCTTTCCTTGCAAAACCAATTAGAACCGAAATGATTTCAGAAGTGTTCTCTCAACTTGAAGAGTTTTGATAGATTTTGAATTAGAATTTAATAACTCATTTTCGTTATTATAATAGATTACTAAAAATTAGAAAGGATGCTTAATCATTGATTAAACATCCTTTAGATATCTGTTTTTTTTGATTTCATAAGTTATGATCAAAATTGTTACAAAATAATAAATTTATAATGAATCGAAGTTCTCGCCAAAACTAAAGAGTTCCATATTCCCTCAATTAATCTATGACAAACGGATTGCCAGTATTGAATTAGGACAACACAAATATGGCCACATCTTAATTCTATAAGAGAAGACTTACACATAAATATCAGGATTCTCCAAACAATGAGTTTGCTACGGGCAGAGCATTATTTCCACTTAAGAAGGATGCTGAAGAATTAAAAGAAGAAATTATGCAATTAAAAAAAGAGAATTATCAACTAAAGCATTTAAACCAATAATTATGTTTTTAGATAAAACTTGATGAGGTAATCAAATTATTATTGATAGTAGAAAGAACAAATTGAGAAAAGAACCACCCAAGATGGATCTGATGATTTTACGAATAACAATCAAAACACTAGACTTGCTGAGAAACTAAAGTAGGCTAGGTTACTGTTGCAAGAGAAATAGACTGAAATTGATAATTTGAAAAAAAATACTCGTTATATGCGGCTATAAGATATGGAAGTATTGAGCTATATTGATATTCCAAGAATGAACTCTGTGTAACCAAGTTGAAGTTTGAGTTTTTAAGCAAATAATTCAACGAAATTTTAAAGACTGATAGTGACGTAAACAAATTTCAAAAATTAACTGTTCAAACCATTCAATTAGAAGAATAATTGAGACAATACACCTATTCACATCAAAAGCAAAAGAAAAAAATTTTGAATCTAAGACAAGAACTATTGACATGTTAAGCACTGAAGGAGAAATATAGGAAGTTATATGAATAGGTATAAAATGAGTTTGTGAAATTCAAAAAGGATCATGAATAAGAAATCTAGAAGAAAAATAAATACAAAGAAACTATAGAGAATCTAAATTATTAATTATCTAGCTAATAGACATTAATCATGCAATTTTAAATTGATTTAGAAAAGTAGAGGATGTTGGTATCTTAGAAATAACATTAATTTAAGGAATTGGAAAATTAATATTAGACTAAGAAATCATGGCTTACTAATAAAAAGGAAGTCCCTTAAGTGTTCTAAGAAATTTTAGATGAAAAAGTAAACAAAAATAACATCATACTATCGGAAGATGAAATGATTCGTTCTATTAAAGTAGGGTCATATTCTAAAATCATAGTTGAGGATGAGATCAAAGACAAATCTTAAGTGATTCTGCATCGTGGAAGTCTAGATTCTGTAGTGGAAGAGCAAAAGACATCTTAGGTTTAGAGTTAAAAGCAGTTATAAGAAATTGAATATGCAACATAAAAATTACCTCGAGTTAACTTTTAGGATGTCGAAAATATTGGAAAATCTTTGAAATATTAATTAATGGCTGAAAAGATAGCGATGGAGGACTTAAATAACTTTTTCGATTAGAAGTAGGAAATTACAATTGAAGAACTAGTGGATAAATTATAGGCCCATCCCTTTAATATTTAAGATAAGAAGTAAGCATTATTATTGGCTCGTTATTTGATTGAGGACAATTCACAATAATTTGTTGATTTTACTCCTTTTTAAGTCAATAACGTATGCATAATTAAGAGTGTACTCAAGAATGTCATCGGGAAATACACATTGATGAGTGAGGAACAGTTTTAGCAAATTATTAATTCTATTGCCTAATAAATTTGGAAATTTAGATAATTAATTGTTGAATAAATCAAGGGCATCTTATTGAGAAGAACAAACACTCAAAATTGTGAGTTATGCGATGAAAATGAATTCAAGGCTGCTTTATAAAATAGTAATGTATAATTGGAGGAGAGATAGAAGGAGTGCTTAGGATAGTTTATTTTTAAGGAATTCAATGGAAGCAAACTGTTTGATTATAAAGGCCTGATTGATAAATTTGGATTTCAACTTTAGCATAATTCAACAGTTTTAGTGCAAAAAGCTCAATGATCATATTTATCATTAATTTTGTATGAAGAATATTTTTAATCTAATAATTAAAACATACATAAAAAGATTTAATTTCTCGTAATAAAAGTCACTCATTAAAGAATGATTATGTAATATTATTTAAATATCTAAATATTATGGGTCTTTGTATAACAAAACCAATAACAAAACAACCTAAATCTCTCATTCGTCTTATCAAAGTTGAAAACGAGAATTACAATCCAAAACCCACAACTTTGCCTGATCTCTAGGCCAAGATATTATAATTGTGGGTGAAGGTCGAAAAAAAATTGAATAAGTTAGTTCACTGCGAAAGAACACATAAAATCCTAGAATTAAAGAAACAGATTCAAAACATTTTGAGTAAATCAAAAAGTACTACTATCCCTGAAATTACAATTGGAATTGTTGTGGAGCATATGGAAAAAATAGCATTCGAGATTGAAGAGTTAATTCGAGAAGAGTTACTAGTTGAAGACATTGCTAATAAGTTCTATCGATTCTATACTCAAATTCTAGAACTTTCTCTAGAATTCTATAATTGGAAGAATGTCTAAAATGCAGATAAGACTCAAGTATCAAGTTTTATTTGAATTAACATATAAATTTACATACTTTAAATCATATATATTATAAATGACATTATATGAATAAGAAACTTTAATCAAATAATTTCAAATGGTTACAAACATCTGATTCCCAAGCGACCAATAAAACCATCTCAGGACATCATTTGCTTCATATTTTAGTTATTGCCTAAAGATTTAAGAAACGAAGCATCACTGATTATTCATTTCAATATTCTAAAATAAGAAAACGATCTCTAAGTTGTGACTCAAAAGGAAAAATTGATTCAATTATCAAATCATTTTATAATATTTGAATATAAAATAATTAAATATAATTAATTAAAATGATACGCTCTTTTTAATTGCTCACAACTTATACAATTATCAGTATGAATATATTGCTTCGGCAAATAGTTATTTTAATACGCAATCGAAGTTTATTCTTATTTCACCTTTCATTGAAAATCCTTTTAAACAAATAACTTTAGATTTGCAACAACAAGAATTGTAGAATTTATTAATATAATTAAATTATTTATTAAAATGTTTGTTTAGTGTTGCGAATCTACTCAACAACATCAATAGAAATCATTCATTTTATAAAATTACTGAATAGTATAATCAATCAAGTAAATTAATCTCTTACTTCTGTTATTACTAAATATTATCGTTTTCAAAATCCACTACATTATTTAAATGATAATTACATAAATCTTTCTTCTGATGATTTTTATTTTATTGATCATTCTATGGCTATTCTTAACTCTTATTCGGTTTATTAGTAATGGTGATTTCCTCCATGCAAGATTCTGGAAAGTAATACCCATTTTCATCTCTTTCATAAGCAGCATTTATTGTGATATTATCAATTATTTGATCTAATTTGTCGTTTATTTGATCTCCCCATCCTTCTAATTTGTCATTAAATTTATCCATGTATTTAAAAATATAATTTTCCAGAATATCATCAAGAGTGGTGGTTGTCTATTTATAATCTTAATGACTTAATGATTAGGTTTTTTGCTTATTGATTTATATCTTAAGCTTCATTTACTTAGCTATTTCTTTCTCCTTATACAAAAGCTTTCTATTAGTTAACTAATTAGCAATGTTTCCAGCCTTTTGCCGTACTTTTTAAATAGTACAAAATGTTACATGTTATATAAATAGGATCTTAGAATTCTACTTTAAATTCTTGATAATTTCTAAACATGTATATTCTAACCTTCAAATCATCAATAATACCGGAACATCCATATTTCAATAGATAATCTGTAATAATAAGTGTCTAATTAAATTAATGGAGAGATATGGTACTTTAAGAATAACGTTGGGAGTGATTCCGGTAGTAGATAATTACAGAACTATTTAATTGATTATTTTAGGATAATGATCGCTAAAAATAATTTCAATTATATATACATTTGAAAACTCAATTCAGCTATCTGATCAAGAAGATTGATGGGGAGAATCGAGCTCTCGTAATGATATGCTTGATCAAAGAGTTTGATAGCTTATTCTTCCGGAGCGTAACCAAATTTTTATTTTATTGAGAATGAAGCTTCCTTAAAGTATTTCATGAATTTTAATTAATGTATTTATTAATCAGACGACCTGAATTAACAGGTTGGCGTAAACTTAAAAGAAACTCATGTTATCTAAAGTGAGGTTCAGATGGAGACTGCATGCATGACAACTGTGTTTTGATTTGTCGTGTTCTACTATATCTGGATGATGGAGCAGAAAATTTACCAAAGTCACTTAAATTAAGCATCTGAACCTATTATGAGTGTCTGGTTGTAGTTATTTTGATCCTATTTTGTGACTCCTTATTCTTTTTTCTGCGTTGATGCGATTCATTGTATTTCATGATAGATTTTGAAACATGGTAATTCATATCCATGAGATCCTTGAGCAACTTCTCATATCTAGTAGTAATGATTTCTTGAGTTGTTTCTATGGGAATATAAACCTAAGGGGCATCAGTAGTCTTCTTTTATTTATTGATGCTGCCAATGACACTCTTAAAACCTACATAAATATCCATATTAACCTGCTCCTTATAAATACAACTATTTTGTATTGTCATCCAAAATGAGAACATCATAAACATTCTTCCAATTGCGTTATGATGCAAAGAAATAATACTTCTGATGCAATTTGTTGATGTAATTCATACCAAAGTTTCCCGTGAGCAGAGGTTCGGAAAAGAACTTCTCATTACGATTGCACCTCTCTTCTCTAGAATAATGCATAGCCTTTTATATATTACTTTTCCATATACTATGCCCGATTGAGTTCTAGCTTCATTCTCATTTTCTACTAGTTTGTTAAGTATTTAAGGATGGTAACTAAGCTCTCATGTTACATGCGCATTATGACATTCCTTAGATTTGGCTAACTCATGTTCTCCTATCCGATTTATTATCCTTATTTAGGGAAGTAGATCTTATAAATTGAATGTAGATTACCTTTGTTTTATTGGAATAGTAGGTTAGTATTTTGTTAAACTTCTACACTACTTTGGGAAGGAATACTTTTCTATCTGTAGATTCATCTATAGCCGCATAACTATCAAACCCTATAAAACACTTTTCATACACTTAATTTTCTAGTTCTTCTCTTTTCCTCTCTCCTCTCATGATTTCATATTGATATTCCCTGAGATTTCTTCCATCTTCAAGAGTTTAGTGAGTTAAGATTCGAATCATAAAGATAACTTCTTCTCTTGAGGCTAGAATAGTGAGGAACTATTGAAGTTGGTTTTGCATATTGGGTATATATTTAAAAAATATAAATATTTATCAATCTATGTCAAACTACATACAAACATGAACCTAATTGAATTGATAAATTCCTTTATTAGCAACAAATCTTAAATAGAGATTTACCAAATAAAATTGAAAAAGTCATTATTGTATTATGCTAATGATTTCTACATCTTTGATTATTAATTCCAAGTTTGAAGGATTTAAGTAAGAAAATTGTAAAATTCAATCTCTAAGATTATTTCTTTGAATTATTTCAATTATTCCGGATTATTCATCAATTAAGAATCCAATTTCAACTCAATATTTTTGAAGTTTGATATTGAAAGAAATGAAATATAAATTGAACGATTCGATATCATTATTCTGTATTTATAGAAAAGAATGTTGAATTATAAATTGAAATCTTAAAATTAATAGGAAAAAACTAGAGCAATAAATGTATCGAAGAATTTACATATTATTAATTTAATAATTTTCAAATTAATCAATAAAAAATAATTTAAAATTGTAGAACAAATAATGTTTTACATGATCATCTATGTTTTGTATGTTTGATAACTTAGGAAGGAATTTAATAAAAATATAAACTTTCGTTTTTATAAATAATTAACACAATCTTGAAGAGAATGCACTATTGTCATAAAGTGCAATAAATAGAATAAAGAAAATGATATTCAAAGATACTTTTTATTAAAGTTAATGCAGAATTATGAGAATTAATTAATACTTATATAGGATGTTGAATATAATTTAGACGCAAGAATAAATGCACTTATGTATTTGGTTTATTATAAGATTTAACTTTATTAAGAAGTTTAGCTGAGAATAACATTAATGATTGGGTTCATTTAACATTCACATTTACGATTGGATTGAAAATGAATAAAGTCTATTAAAAATAATTTATAGAAATAAGTACATTAAACATTAAATTCAGAATTATTTAATTAAATTTATTAAATTCCTAAGTAAACCTTGAAAAATGAATTGGCGACTCTATTAAAAATTGATTATTTGATAGCTTTTAAATTTCCTAAATTGATATTAAGTTTAAAATGCTTAGTAATAGTTAAGCTTATTATCATATTGCTGTATAATATTAACAAAATGTCAAAAATTAAAGTAATACTATTAAAATAATATTAAGGAAATGATATTTTTTTAAATTTCCATAGTTCTATTATTGAGTTGTATACTCCTTTGCGATGAGATTAATCTAAGTAAAACTGAGATAATTCTACGATCACTTGCAGCAAATGATTAAAAAAGAAGTAGGATATCAACTAAGAATAATAAGTGTATCATAAAGAAGTGATAAGAAAAAATGAAAAATATCCTAACATATTTAGAGCATAAGACTATAGTTAGAACTACATTTATAATTCATATGCTCATTGTTAATCTTTAATAGGATTTGTGGAAATTGAATGAAATTTTAAGTTTCTTGCATTTATCATGTCATCAAAGTTGCATCACTTATAGATTTAGAAACATTTGATACATTATTATTAGAAATTGATAATGATCTATTGAAAAGATCTTTTTATAATTATATCAATATATATATGTACAAGGATTTAGAAAATAAAATTATTTATAAATATTTTAATTATTTGTCTATTAATGTTCCCTGTGAAATTGATTGATTTGTAGTTGTCGCCCTCGAGATCTGAATACAAGGATTTCTCAACAAACATTAGCGAAAACGATCTTGACTATGACACTTTCAAATTGGATCAAATGCACAAACCCCCCTTAATTAAGAAGAGTTCTTCTTATCCAAGAAATTAAGTATAGAATTAATCATAAATATTTTAGTATAAGCAATAATTGATAGAAGAAAGCAATATCGATGGTGATCAGATCATATAGGAATGCAATCGCTTTATTTAAGACCCTTAAGTCAGCGTAACGCAACTCCTACAGGACTTGGCTCTAGATCAACCAAAGAAAAATAGAAGTGCTGGCTTCTTGAAGTTCTTTGATGAGAATAAAAACTATGGATTCATAGTGATGGACTCAGATGGCTCAGATATTTTCGTATATGCTGATGATCTCACGAAAACTGGAATCTCTAAAGAGTATTTACGAACTGCTAAGTTTGGAAATTGCATCAGGTACTCTCCTTATATTAAATAAAAGATTTACTTTTACTTGCATGGAATATTACGGTAAATACAATAAATCGAGGAAGGCAATCGACTTAGAATATCAAAAGCCAGGCTTGTTCACTCAAAGCCTATACTGATTAATTATATACATTTATAACTTAAAATTTATAAATCCATTCATTAACATCCCTTTTCAAGTATCTGCCGATAAAATTGATTTATAAAACAATTAATTTCCTCATACATCATAGATTTAGGCATCAATTAAGTCTATACAAATGAATATTAATTTTATGATGTCACTCTTCATCTATTACAACAATCATAAACAATAACACACGTCGAATTAATATATAAATGATATAAACTTATTAATGCATCAATTTTAGACTATCTAAGATACTGCTTACTATGTATAGATATTTCATAAACGAGAAGTATTAGTATTTTATTGAATTATGATTAATTCGATTAATTAGATTGATTACAGGAATTATAAAATCAGATTATTTAATTATTTTTATTTAGAGTAATAAGATGGACGATTTTTTATTGGAGTATCAATATTAATCAGAATCTCCCCTATTCTAGTTTTTGTATTAAAGAAAAAAAGAAAATAAAGAATTCACCATTGAAGAACAATAGTATTTCAATCATTTCAAATACACTTTCCTTCTTGAGGCAGGCACAGCGTTTGTGCTAATGCCTTCAACGTTTATGGCTTATAAGTAATGATTAATATCAAAAAGTAAAGGCTGATGCAAGAATTCAAATCTAGTAAGGGAGCATCATTAAAATTCTAACGATATTGCTAATTAACTGGGATATTCGGAATTCCAGGAGTGGCTATTTACGGATACTCCCTCTATAGAAGATTTCTCATGAAGGCACCGTATCAAAAAGAATTGGAGGATAAGTATTTGAATGAATTAAAGCCAAAATTAAAAATTATTGATAGTTCAAAAAAGCAATGAGTTGTTTAAATAATGAGTCTATTTGATAAATGTTTGAATTGTTTCTTAACAATTAAGTTATATATATAATCATTTATATAAGTTAAAAATTTGCATTATTTTCTAATTTGTTATATTTTATTCTTTGTCAATTACTTTAGAATACTTATTGTAAAGACTATTCTGTTTCAATATTTCCTCAAAAGCCTTCTTCTAATTATCAAATAATTATTTACATTCTATTAACTAATGATTAATAATTAAAATCACTTACCAATTAATTTGAGTGCTTAGGTCCACTAATGGATCTGTTTCTGAGTTGAAAGTATTTTTTTTCAGAATCAAACTAATGAAGATTATTTGTTTCTGTCGTACTCACTCTATCTTCGACAATAATTTCTTTAATCCTCTAACTTTGCTCTTCAGATTTGAGTCCACGAAAGTCATGAGGAGTTTGATGAGTTTAAGATGAAGGTGTTGTGGCTTTTTTAGGTGGAATTAGTCCAAATTTGAACAGGGGGTTTCTTCTGCTTATTTTTGGATGAGCTTTAACATCACTAGGGATTTTCCAATCAGCAAATGTAGGAGTCAAAATATTTGGAAATTTTGATCTTTGCTCTCCCTGTTCTTGAACAGAAGTGGCTCTAAATTTAGGATGCAGCTATTACATAGTGTAATACAATAATATTATAAATTTAATATAAAATCACAATTGAGACTGCCAGAGAATATTCACAATTTAAATATCTAATTCAACCTAAGGTATTAATGAATTTAATGTCATTGATTTTCAATATTGAGCAAGAAATACTAATCTTCAAATAGATATCTACTTATATACCATAGAATTACTAAATTTTCTTGTCTTATTTTCTTTATTATTTACAGTTTATTAATTTATTTCAAAAATTTTTACTTAAATAATGTAAACCTCATTAAATTTCATCCTATAGACTCAAATATATAGATCTAATTTCTTCAAAAATCTAAATTGCAAAAGGGTAAATCTCAATAAAATAATAAAAATGAGTTTTTCAACTTCACAACTGAGAGATAAGTGCTGATTTATTTAATCAAAATTTTACAAATAATCTATAGTTCATTTTTTGCTTATATCATAATTTTATTTATTAATTCCTTCTATCCTGATTAGTATTAATGATGTTGAAGTAAATAGATAAATATCATATCAGGAATGCAATTTTATTGATTAAAGCTTAGGTTAAATATAAATTAATAAAGAACCAATTTATTTAAACATTTTAAATAATAATAATTATATATATATTAATTAGATCAAGCTTTTTCTAATAATTATAATTCTGTTTCAGTATGATGTGCACCCATAGAATGTATTTTATCATTGATTTCATTTGATAAACGATGCCAATCACTTTTCAACATTACATATATTTATAAGAAAGAATATGTAGAAGCTGCAACAATCATTCCCCACCAAACTCCTGCTAATTCAAAGTCTAAAACATAAGTCAAGAGGTAAGCAACTGGTTATCCAAAAATGATGTAACAAAACATCATAGATTAGGAGGCGAAGTGCTCTTTTCCTATAACCTTTACAATGCCAGATACTATGGCTTGAACACCATCAGCCACAATTTAGATGAGCAAAACAGGCAAAAACTTTATGAATAGTACTTCCATTTCAACTTCTGAAGTCAAAAATTAAATAATTTGTTGTTAGAAACAAATAATTAAAGTTAGACATATAATTTGGAATCCTCCCAGTAAAACAAACGATCCGATAGTATATTACTTAGCCAGTTTAGCTGACTTTGCTCCCATTGCATTTCCAGCAAAAGTAGTTGCAGCTATTGATATTCCATAACTGAATTAATAAACAAGCAATGCTACAGTGTACATTAAGACATTTAAGCTCAGTAGCAAAGGGGCTAAATAGTTCACCTGGATTTGGAACAGTTCAAAACAAATGCTTTCATACCAAAATATCGATCCAATTGGCAAAGCAGTTTTAAAGAATTTGAATGAACCATCAAATAGGGACCAGTCGAATTTGATTAGTGTTTCTTTGCAACAATCCAATTTCTTTTTTTAATATTTATTTAATACCTTTATGAGATAGACTATAATCAGATTATTGCAGATTTCAAGGAGATTTCTAGCAATAATACCTCCTAATAGTTGCATTTCTAAAATTGAAATAAAGAAGTAATTAAATATCAAAGACAAGAAGCAAGATGCAAAGTGAGTGTACACAGAAAGGCTAAAATGTATGACACATATAATACTGGTAAAGGTTCTGAGCATTTAGAAAGGCCTTGGTCTATGCAAATATGCCTTCAAATAATATGACTGAGATCATGCCTTTATTTAGGAGACCAGTTGCTTCAGCCAATTCTGAATCACTAGAATTAAGATATCAATACATTTTAATGAATAGCATTATGTCTTCTGATGAATATAGTATTATGGATAATGGTATAATTAAAATACAGGCAATGAAAATTGATTGATAATACAATTTACCACAAAATTAAAATTTTTATGCACCCATAGCCTAAGAAGCCAATGCTTGTAAACCCTATGTTGAATTATATTGATACGCTAGCTAATCCATTCATAGCACTGAACCCGAATGCTTAATAGAATATAGTTCCAACTCCAAATGTTGCAACATGCAATTGATTTTAGGTTTGTTCCAAAAAATAAATAGTAATAGCAGCAGGCATTTGTTGAAGTGTGTAACAAAAGGCATTAGCAATTGATGGGCTAATCAAATCTTTATAAATAAAAGCCTGAGTCAAATCTGTAAGCTCTAAGGATTTTTCAAGTTCTTATTATGACATTAATACTTAAAAGATTTTAAGTTAATTTATGATGATTAATCATTTCTCGTTTTATTTGAATAGTGCAAATAAGCCTAAACCTATGGAATTTAAAGTTCTATTTAGTAAAATAACTTAATTATTTTGAAAGAGCTTAATAGTTTCTTTATTATTCGGTATTTTTAAAATAATTGAAAAAATGATAAAACACAATTTATAATAAGTACAATTATATAAATATTTTAGTTTTTATAAATAATTGAATATTTTACATTTCATAATTATATATCAAGGACTCTGTTAGCTTTGGCTTCTCTATAGCTTCTATTTCTCCTTGTAATATAGGATATCGTTTTTCACAATTTCCACTAAACTTAATTTTCTTGCTTGTCCTCCAAGAGTAGCCTCCCAAGTAGCTCTAGCGCCTATCTTTTTTGCTATAATAATATTGTTATATTGCGAATGACTGGGAAATGCCTCACCAATTTTGACTAACTCATTTCTAATTGGTGCACATTAGTCATTTGGGATTCTATCCAATTCAGTCTCAAGTTGTTTGTAAATTTCAGGCCATAAAAATTCACATGTCTATTATTGCTGTTTAATATTTACTTCAAAATTAGCTTCTCTAAGGAGTCTCAACATGAGTGGACAAGCTTTTCCCATTAAAAACCACTTGAATCTTTTTCTCAAAATAAAGTGTAAATGATCAAAGAACAAGTAATCAGTCATCAGATTGTATTTGTAAACCATTTCAAATGCCTTTGCAATAGCCTATGGTGACATTTTAGTTAAATGAACAGGGATAACAAGACTCAATTCTTTTTTGAATTCATCAGTTGATCTTTCTTACTTTTCCATGAATAGTCTAACACATTCACCAAACAATCTGGCTGGAATATTGGGTAAAAGTCTTTGAATTATGATTTACACATTACTTAATCATTCTTTCTTAAAACTTTGCCCAAACTTCTGGTGTTTCAATGCCATAATTACTGTAGATATTGAGTAATTGTATAAATTGACTTTTGGTTATGTGATGGTGCTCTACAAATACTTTGTCTAAGGCAGCTTTAACCCAAGGATGTTCAGCAAGATTGAATTCTAATATTGGGCTTAGTCATACATCCTTTATTGTATTTATGCAATCTCTCAAGACCATTCAAGATCTCATTGATTCTCAGGTTGTCTAATTATTCAAAGTATAAGAGGATTTCATTGCCACTCATAACTTCTGTATTAAGATAATCATTTTATGGTGTGGCTTTATTGAATTGTCTTTATGGTCGATATGCATATCTTGATATAATCTTGTTTGTGAGTACCTTTGTTTAAGTGGTATATTGATTGGGAATGTCAAATCATCATTCTTGAAATCAAATTTTTTTTTCATCTCATAAAATTTCTAATATTGCAAAGGCTTAGTAGCATAATATCGATGTCTGCTGTTTGTTCTGTTGCGTATTGATACACTAGAATATATAATAAGTATAATACTGTCTGAATCCATATTTTATTTGATTTACCCACAATTATGAATAACTTTTCAAGAGAGTTTGCATAAATATAAATTTTTGTTATTTATATATATATATAGATATTTTTAATATTGTTCAAGCAGTTCCATATTCTGCACTTACAGCCTAAAATCAAAGGATCACTAATACATCTTTCAATCCTGCAGTCGCACTCTTTGGTCCAACAAAATGAATGACCACATAAAATATTCCCACTAACCACAAAGTCAACCCCCAAATCCATCCAGCTCTATATTCTATGTGATAATTTACACTTATTATGATGATCCTCCTGTTGGTGAATAAGATACTACTGATCCCAAACTATTTTGTATAATATTGTAAAATATACAATATGTAAAATATTCCTCTTCCAAAGCAAGTCATCATGAATTGAAATTACTCAGCTATGAAATCCTTCTTAAATTCGATTGCCAATAAGAGACCGCAGAAAATCCTAGATTATTGGTGAAATAATTTACAATGAATAGATTGGTGTGAATATACTCCAGATTTCATAGAAATGAAAATTGGAAAACATCTAAAATGTAACTAATTGATAGATTCCCATGGCTCCGATTACTACTCTAATTTAGTAATACAATTAGATACGCAGCTACAATATTGACCCATCTCAATATTAAAATCCATGTTTTTGTTTCCATTGTTAATTAATTAATGTGATATATTTTCCGTATTAAAAAATTCATGAATATTTGGATTGCCTTATCAATAAATCTAGTTATTGGAACAGATGCTACTTTAAACCTCTTGAACCCATTCTCAAATATCAACTACATATTGTCAGGTATAAGATGCTGTATAGCTTTATTGAGTATGCTCTTTTCATTTGCAATCTATAAAAAAGTAAAGCCTTCCTTATTCACTATCTTGCTCCAACTCCTATATTAAATGCAAATGGCTTTTGAAATTAGACAAACCTTCACATCTCTAAATCCATTTAACCTCTATAAATACCTACTATTATTGTATTATGAACACCAAAATCAGTAGCTGAAGTATCTCTAATACATAACTTACTTATACTGCATGATAGAAATACAATTCCAAAACACGTTAATTCATTAATACACCATCACAACATTAATCTTTATTATCATTATTGTTATAAAAACATCCCTGAATTCTTAATAATTACTCCATAAACACCAAAACTCAAATGAAGTATTCCACTCATATTCTACTATTCCTGCAGTAAATACATCATCTAATAGGAAAATAGATTTAATTACTAAAGATGAATTAAACTATATCCTCAACCATATTCGATAAGGAATCATCTACTTTGGACAGAACCTTGATATTCATTACTTGAATGAGAAGGCTCAGAAATTATTATAGACGTAATAATATGAATTGGCCATGTTTTAGTTGCAAAAAATAATTATACAGTAAATTTAGTAATAAATTAATAGAGGAATTGAATAGGATTAAAATTTGAATAGTTAACACAAAGAAATCAAGACCAGAGCTTCATAGAAACATCTCTTACAAAAGGCTGATAGCAAAATGATCGAAAGTTTGATTGCGTCTGCTGAATAAAATCTCAAACGATTCCAATCCAAGAGTGAAAAAAGACTGGACTCTTAATTTTTATCAAACAAATAAAAAAAGAGCTAATTCACAATTTCTGAATTTAGACAGCTACTGCTCTCCTTATTTGCTGACTCCCAAATAATTAATCCGTACCTTTTGTATTCTATTATAGTTTAGATCAAAGAACTTTCATTAAAGCTGACAAATTGAAAGTCAATTTTACAACAAATAACATAGAAAAGATTATTGAATTGTAATTTTGCAAAATTGCTAATATTTTAAACCAAGGTGGATATTTGATTTTAGTCTAGGATGTGACAGAAAACGAAAGGTTATAAGAATATATTCAAAAATAAAAGTTTCAAACATTACATTTTAACTCATTCTCTCATGAATTGAGAACACCCTTGAATTGCTCATTAACCTTACTTCAAGCATTGAAAACTTAATCCATTTCTACTCAACATATTAAAAACTATTTAAATCCTGCCATAGTTTCAAATAAATTGCTGATGCATCAAATTAATGATATTTTGGATTACGCTTCATTTGGTCTTGGAACATTTCAACTAAATATCTGTGATTTCCTTATTTAAGATGTTTTCAAATAATTGGAAGAGTACTACTTGGAAATATGTTCAACAAAAGGAATAAAACTGATCTTTTCTATTTTTGACTCTCTTGAAAATATTATTATTTACAATGATCCTGAAAGGATATTGTAGCTCCTAGTTAATTTAATTAATAATTCTCTCAAATTTACAAGAGAAAATGATGCAATTTGTATTACTGCTAAAAGTAAACAAAAAAGTTCAGGAATAATGAAAGATAATTTTATCAAATTTATAGTCCATGATACAGGCAGAGGAATAGCCAAGTCAGAATTGGATGCCATAAATAATATAATCCATACTTCCGTTGCTGAAGATGTATATCATTAGTTAAAGAACTTCACAACCAAATATGTAGGATTGGGATTCACAATCGGAAGTAGGATGAGTAATGAATTGGCTTATTCTAAAAAGTCATATTTCAAGATCAGAAGCAAGGAAGGGTAGTTTACAAAGGTGAGTTTCAGAATTAATAACTAAATCACTTCGTATTCCCTAGGACCAAAAATTTCCTCTATTAAAATCGATCACATCATTTCGTCAGAATAATTTGATATTGAAAATAACTAATAGGAGCAACACCAGGTTCCATTTTTTACTCAAACTTTCTTCTCTAATAAGCTGATTTAAAGTGAAGCAATGTCGTAGATACTAATTTGCGATGATGTAGTTTTTAATCTGATCTCTTTGAAGTTACTGATTAAAAATCTTGGGTATGAAAGTGACACTGTTTATGATGGATAACAGGCTATAAATTAAATTAAGAAACGGAAACTCTAATAGAAAACATAATACAAGATAATCTTTATGGACATTGAAATGCCGGTATTAAATGGATATCAAACATCAACCTAATTACTATAAATTGATAATAAATTAAATATCATTATGTGTTCGGCATACGATACAGAAGATAATTTAAGCAAAGCGTTAGAAAGTGGAATGAAGGATTACATCATAAAACCAGTTAGAATAGAGTAACTACAAGCTTTGATTAAGAAATATATTAAATGATATCATTTCAATTTATTTTACTTTTTATCCTAACTTAATCCCAGTGCTTCAATTTCTTCATTTTCTTCTACAGAATCAGAGTCATCTATTTGTAATCCATTCAAATTATAAGAGAACTTGGGACTATATGCACATTCAGATTATTGTAATTCATTATTCGAATCTCTTAATTTATATTGATAATTAAATGTATTCTATGAAAATTCCCTAATTATTGATTATTCTCAAATATTACTTCGATAACTTTTGATAAAGAATAAACCCATAATCACAGTAGTCTAATTTATACTTATCACAGACTACTTCTAAAAATTTATCGATATTGTACTTGAAACTCTAAGCTTGAAGTAATTCATAAACAACTTCTAAGCTTCCTAAATCAATTAAAAGTGAATAAATACCTATTTTATCTTTCAATTTAGTAATAACATTCTAAATTGCTTCTGGTTTAACTTCTTAATTTTATAATTGGATAGTTAAGATTGATCTTAATTCCTCTCTTGAAATATTGGCAATTTTGCCATAATAAATAATATTTTGGACGTGTACTCCATTAACATAAATTTTTTCAATTTCTAATGAACAATGAGCAATAAATGATTATTATTTTTGTTATGTTACAAGTGACTAATATTTATATTAAGTGTTATTTTAATATTATTGATTGATATTTAATAAGAGAGGTAATTGCGAATAATCAATTTGAGCAGGAAATTGGATAATTAAGTTTTCAATCTGATCTGAAATAGTCATTAAGAGTTGTTACAAATTAGGTTGACAATCTTTTAATAAATCTCTACAAATAAAGGCAGATTCTGAATTGATTGTAGGATTAATGAAAATACTATCAAAGGGTAGACGCCGTTTTAATTTAAAGATATCTGAATTTATGATTTCTACTTTTGGATTAGGGAAATCTTGATTTTAATTACCTTTATCACAGTTTTTTCTAGTTTTCAAACATGCTTCAGTGGATTTATCAATCGCAATAACAAAGTCTAAATAATTCGCAAACTTTTATTTATTTCATATCATACTTGAACAGTGTTTCCTCCATCTCCACATCCTAGTTCTGCTAATGAATTAATCTAGTCTTTAATTCGAGTGGCAATGTATTTAGAAATCTGGTCTGAAATTCTTTAACTATTGTAGATGTCTTCGTTGATGAGCATTGACTTGGACACTTCGATTTTGGTTGATGTGATTTTAGCAAAAATGGTGTCTCCATTTTAATTATTCTTAAGTTAGAATAGCTAATTTTAAGGATAATTATTCTCAAAGCTAGGGACCACAAAATTGCTTACAAATGGGGAGGCATCACTAATTTATCTTTGTGTTTCAGTGTTAGTTGAATTTAATTAGTTCAATTGTGATGAGCAATTATGGTTGCTGGTGTCTAGTACAGATTTATATAATGAGTTTCTTGTCTGTTTATTTACCGACAGCCTGCTCTATTCAATATTCACATTTTTAGAATTCTTTTTTTTAATCCATCCGCAGAAATATCCCACTTCATCGTAACCATCATCAATTTTGGAAATATTCTTTTTCTTACTACTCATTAATTGATAATTATTTAATTGCATAAAATTCATTTTTTTTTTCTTTTATCCTTTGATCTACTTTTACTCCTTTTATAAGATGAAGCTGATGAGTCACTATCGCTATTGCTAGAGTCCTCATTACTGCTCTCAGAAGATGATGAACTCCTTTATTTCTTTACATTGATTGTGGTTCCCTCTTTCTTTACCTACACTTATTCATCATTGCTTGAATCTGAAGATACTTCCAAAGGCACTTTCCTTTTTGCGTTTCTCTTCCAATCTCCATCAAATGCATCAGGAACCCCAGGTGGCTTTTCACTATTCAATTCGTATTGTAATTATTTTTCTCTAAAATTATTACCTATTATATTTCTTACTTGAACTGCATTGTTATTGAGGGTCCATACAAATAAACATTTTCATTTTTGCATTCATAAGTCAAATGACCATATTTTAAACATCTCTAAAATCTGACAACAGCTGCATCTTTGTTAGCCCTCTTCTTATTCTTCATAGCTTATTGCATATATATTTATTGAAAAAGGATTGAGATTCAACAAAGCTATTTTTATGCATTTTTAGAATGTATAAATAATATATATTTAAATTTTCTATTTATTTTGTCTTTTTAATAAGAACCTCATCTCTTGTAAATAATAATTGCACCTGACTTCCTTCAAAGAAATCCTCTATGATTAGTAAACGTAATCAGTTTATCAATAGTAAAGATAATTTATTAATAAATTTTGTTTAACCGCTAAATGAAAACCTTTGATAATGCAATTAAACCAACATAGAAACCAGTTTGTTTCTCTGTCCAAGAATTACTCCATAGATATAAATCTAATAGCAAGGAATCAGCTTCCACTACAGAATGTTAAGAGTTATTCCAAACTATTTAATCGGACACTAACAGATCCTTAGAAATCCCTGATAGCAAAATTATTCAACAATATTCTGTGCCTGATTCCATTAAGATGACTCTAAAACAATACGAGATTGAAGAATTACCAATAGTTTAAGACAATGATGTGATTCTGCAAATAAACCATATGCATTCCATATTCAAGTACTTGTAACAAGATGAGTAATCCCAAAAACTATCCACTAATACTAATAGTTAACACAGCATTGCTTCCAAGCAAACCTAAGAAACTTTAAACAATTAAATTAACAAAACTCAACCTCAACACAAACTCAATTAGCCTAGTCAAAACTAACCTTAACCAAGCAAAAAAAAGGATGTCTCTCCCAAAAGAAGTACATCTCCATATAGATAATTTCTACATAGACCATCATAGAACAATTAGCTTAGCAATTAACAAAGAAGCAAATCCCCTTTTGTTAAGAATGCAATTGTGTCAAAACTTACTCCCAGAACCACTTAAAAGACTACACCCTCTGCATCTCCCTTCAGACAGGCCAAGGAAAATAATATATCAACAGTAAATCAAAGAACTTTGAGGACTGACAGATCTTAAAATAAATTAATTTAAGTTAAGGTTAAGGAAACCCATAATTAAAATCAATCTCATGTGATAGTCGATCTTAGTAGATGTCCAACATAAAGAGTTCTTATCAAATAAGGTACTTAATATTGAAATAGTATTAGATTCAAACCGACCTAAAATGAAGGTTGAGTTAAGTCTAAAGAGTCTAATTTAAAATGGAGTGTGAATGTGATATTAAAAATATATAACTTAATATTAATATATTTATTATTTATTATATCTCATGCTCAATCCAGAAGCCAATCCACTCTATAGATAAGTTCTATATGATGGATAGAAGAAAACCTACATTAGAACTCTTTAGAGTAATTATATTATTATTCAACATAATAGATCATAAGAATCAAATAACTCACACTGAACAATATCAATGGTATGACAAACAAGATTGCGTCAAAAATACCGATAAGATTACTACCATCAACAATCTATCAACAATTTCAAATGTTTCATATCAAAGATTTAAGAAACCAGAGGTATATCATTTATAACATCATTAAGGATAGTAAAATCTTCACACCACTAGAACTGAGCAAACAGACTTAGATACCAATGAAATATTAATAGAGATATTAAAGTTAGCAAGCTTTATTTCCCTTGACTTCGCCAAGAGTTACAGAAAGCTCAGCTAAACTAATAGGCAAATTCATCTTAAATGAAGGAAGTGGGCACTATAATTTACCTCCATTATAACCACCTTCTGAAACATATAGAAATAGATCATAAGTTTTTTTTGGATGACTTTGTAATATTTCAATTATAAAAATAAATACATGAAAATATTCTAAAAAGTAAAATAATTAGCTACTCCATACACGCTCCATCTAAAAAGTACGCCTGTTGTTGTTATGGACACTTTTTGTGAAAAAGGAAATGAGTAGAAATTTAATGTGTTTACAGATTAACTCATAGGAGGTGATAGTAGAGGAGTTGTTGTCTTTAAGGAAGAAGATGAAGCAGGTAAACATAACTCATACATTCTAGTTACATTCTTGGGGTAAATCCAAATTGATAAGAAAAAGCAATTAGAATCATTGCCTCATGTCGGAATTGAATATAAATATTCGAAATCCGTCAATATTGCTAAATTTACTAAAATCCTCTTTAAAATGAGAACAGATGGTTAAATCTATAAAATAAGAATAGGAGTTAACTCATCTTATGATTTTGGATAACATCACGCTTATGTATAAATCAATTTCATCATTAGGCATATATTGTAGATTAATCTTAGATGTGGAATACTTATTCGATACCTTTTAAAAACTTTGAACATTAAGGCTTTGATAAAGAGGTTCAAAGTCTTGAGTTATCTGCAGAAGGCTTATAATTATATTAATTCGACATTATAAAAGAATCAAAAATTAATGAGAAGATTGCTGTTCAAATAAAAGAGTTTGCTCTCTCTTAGGAAGAATTAACAGAATAAGAAATTAATTTTAAAAGACCAATATTTTACAAATATTTGCAAAGATAGGATATTTTGGACACAGGGAGAGAAAAATATAATTAGATGATTCCAAATAGTAACTTGAAATCAAATCCAAATGGCAAAAGCATAAATAGCTGGTACGATTGATATTTATATTGCAAATTTTTTGTATAATGAATACTTTAAATAAAAAAATAGCATTCTAGTTTGGAATATCTAATACATAACCTTATTAATATAAAAAATTAAACCAGATCTATTCTTTTATGAACAATCAAATTAGTTTGTATTTCTTCAAAACAATCAAAAGTTAACCAAATTAATTTTTTATTAATATTAAGATTACTAATTTTATGTTTAAAGTAGATTTTTTAAATGCAAAACTAAAGGAGAAATTGAATATTATAAACTCAATAAGATATCTGTTTATATATAAACCTTTTTCAATTATTTACAAAACTATAACTTCATAATATATTAATTCCATATAAAAAATTTAATAGAATAAAATTCAAATTATATTAAATATTTAATGTGTCATATTTGATATGAAGTATTTTTTGAATTGTTACAACACATTTCTATACAATTTGAACATGATATATTATGTTACACTTATGATTTAATAGATGAAGTAGATCTACAATAATGGTAATATATACTCGATACTTTGCTGACTCTTCTTTTCTTTTGTACCTTAAACATGAGTTTGTTCTTCTTGTCGATATTTTTCAAAAGTAGTTATGTTTCTAAATAAATTGTCCATTTAAACATAGATTAAGTATGCCAAAGGGAATAGAAAGAGTATGCATAAAATTATAATAGATGATTGCACGCATATTTTGGAGATATCGAGTGCCTTTAAATTGGTGACATTATTGAACCATGGATAATGAGGATTATTTAGGTTAGTAGGATAATTATGTATCAAAAATATTCCATTCAAAATAATTAGATGAATTAAGTTTACAAAGATTGTCAAAATAAAACAAATAAAATAGGGATAATTTTTAGCTCCTATCTTAATTAAACATATAAATATTTACACAATTGTTTAACCAAGGACAATGGTGATCGTAGACAATAACGCATCTTGAACAAAATTCACAATGTCTAGATCTTATTGGTTTATGTATTTAACATTCTGGACAGAGTTCCCAAGGCTCATATTAAGTGAGAAGTGAAAATAATTTTCTTGAGTCATCATTTCTTTCAACATAGCCTGGACTAATGTACATAGTCAAAAAATAGAAAATGAGTCCAATCAAAAATGATGCAATTGATAAATACTATAGCCAAGTATCAGTATCAAAAAATGGATATACAAAAACCACGGAACCAATCATGCAATAGAAATAAATAAAAAAAAATGAACAAATCTAACTCCAACTGATTGAGGCAGGTTTATAACTAATAAGAGTGAACTTAGCTTTTACCTTGTTCGGATATTTAAAAATTCCATTAGACAATTATTTGTTTCCAAAATTTTATAGATTATTTCGTATCCATTATCTAATGCTGTTTAGGCTGGAGTTTAATTTTTATTATCCCTAATATTTTTTTAGCTCCCTTTATAAAGAAGTTTTTTAGCGATTCTTTAATTTCCTGTCATTGCTGCTAAATGTAGAGGTGTCATCCCTTCTGTGTCTTACTAGTTAATAGTTTTTTTGCCCTCCTTGGTTTTTTATAACCAACTCAGCAAAAATTGTACTGCAAACTCACTTCCATAATAGGTAGCCCAGTGTAAAGGAGTTCCCCCCTTCTCGTCTTATTCAGTATAGGACAACCCTTGCAAATATAGCCAAACCATAGCAGACACTTGATCGCCTTATGCTGCAATAGATAGGGCATTTTGGCCCTATTAATTTTTTACTTTATAATCTGCTCCATATTTTTTTAAAATTTCTAACGTTTCTATTGATCCTGCATATGCAGCAAAATGAACTGCTACGAAAGAATCCTTATTTTTTAAATTTATCCAAGTATTGAATTCCTCGATTGTTGAATTAGCCTTTTCATACATTAAAATTCTTTCAACAGCAGTTGGTAAGTTTTTAAAGCATGATATATGAAGAATAGTCTATTATTTTTAGTCAAAAATATCTTTGAGTTTAGGTCGAGGTGAAATTGTATTCAAATGATCTAAGATGGCTAGTATTTCCTAGACTTCTTATTCTTAGACCGATTTTAAAAGTTGATGGCATTTTTATTCGAGATTCATTAAGGCTAAGGAATCATATAATTCTTAAAGAGACGGCTTGCTATATGTCAAATTAATACATGTTGCTCAAACTATTAATGCGTACTAGCTTCAAGAATAGATTTTTTTAATTAGCCTAAGGGATCATCGTGATAGGATGACTTTCCAAGACCATCGTTCCTGTCCTAACTTTGTTTCCTATTTAAAAGTGGCTGTCTCTTAATGGAAATAGAACTATCTTGAAATTCAATTTCATTTTTCTTCATGGAATTAAATATTATTTATAAATAATTTAATTCAGTGTGAATGTTCATTCTGGATAATAGGGTGTCGACTAGCTGGAAGACAAGTCTAAATGACATCACAACATTGCACATTTTTATCCGTTTCCTCATTTCCTTTTACCTATGGTTCTACTCTTTTAGTTGTCTTTAGAGTATCTATTCCGAATTCTTGAAATTGACCACCTGTTTGATTCGTAATCTTTGAGTATTTGTACCAATTCAACAACAAAACAATTAAGATAGTTATGCTGAGACAAAAAATAATCAAAATAACTGTAAGAATCCAATTCATTTTTTGCAATCTTTTTAATGGGAAAATTACAAAAATATCATACTTTATTGAGTTATTTTCTGTAGGTAAAACAGTTGATAATTCATAATTGAATGAAAATTCATCTGGATAATCTTGAGTAACATAACATTAAAGATGAATTTTCGAGATAGAAACATCAAGTGCAAAAAACTCATTATTTGTGATACCTACAATTTGATTTTATTTTTATTCATTCTTTTTGAAAATTAATTACTTAGATCCAGGTATCAGGAAATTTGTGCTATCAAGTTTAATAATTTATCCTAAATTACCATAAAACACTGTAATTTAGCTTCGATTATAAACGATGAAGTGATCTGTAATTATTTCAATGCCTTGCACTTCTCCTTCGATTAGCTTAGAATATTTGAGATTTAAAGAAGGGTTTTAAAAGTCGAGACTATATATTGATAAGGTATTTAAATTTGGATTGTCTTGAGTTGTCAGTATAAACAAATTAGATTGCACGTACTCAAAGAAATTACAATTGATCTTAAATGTATTTATGTTCTAATTTTTGTGCATCTCATTATTGGTTTTATTGTACACATAAAAATGAATACCAACTTCGTGATCTAAAATTAATACATTTATTTTATCCTCTTATACAACTACCAAGGAATCAATTATAGGTTTGAGTTCTACTTTTTGTAGAATCTATAATTGAGCATTTTCCAGTCTATAAATTCCGAATCCCTAATTAAGAAAGGTGAGAAACAAATAGTTTTATATTGCGTGTAATTTATGAATATTACCAAGACCAACTTACATGTGAACTTTGTCGAGATGAGAATTTTCAAATATATTATCCTAACTAAAATTAGGTTTGAGAATCCACGCATCCCTATCACTTAAAATCACTATTTAGTCTTCTAAAAACTCTATAAATGCTTTTTCAATTCCATCTAATTCTTAGTACTGCTATAATGATCTTATATCATACTTGTTATTTTCTTAAGTATAAAATATTAAAACACCTTATTTACTCAACACAATTATTCCTAATCCCACCTTCCCAATTCCGATTAATTTAGGTGTTGAGCTCTTTTACTGTCCGTCCACAAAATTTTCCTCAAAAGCCTAATTTATTATTTATGTGATGTTTTTGTTGTACGGAGTCACATTAATCGTTTATGGTAATGTACTACAAGGATTTGAGAGTTGGAAATCTTAATTAAAAGTAAATTTGGAATCTACTAGCACTCCATCAAAAGAGTCAATAATCATTTCAGTATTTGAATAAATAGTTACTTGTTTTGTATTTATTACACTCCCTTAGCATAATTTAATCAAAACAAGTATTTTGATAGCGAATGTGATCAATTTAAACATATTTATTAATTTATTTTCATATACGACTAAATTCATTTTGATATTCAATTTAAGAAAGTGCCTCTCATCAATCAAATAACTAACTAAATCACATCATCTAATAATAAATACACATGAAATTGATTCTTATTTTAGAATGTTATTAATGAGACCCTTAAAGATTGTTTGTTTAATAAATGTACATTATTTAACAAAATAAATACTAAATATAACAACTATTCCTAAACTTCAATGAGTAATGAGTATTTCTAATCAAGCATATATTTAAAATTGGAATATCATAAAAGGAACATCAATTTTTATATTGTACAAAAATGTAGTGCAGTGATGATTTTACATAAAATACTATTTGCTGCGGATTTTAATTAATTTATTAATTAAATCTTATCAAATATTTTCTTTAATTTTGAAACATTCCTAGTATCTTGATTTATGTTATTATTTATTTGAAACAATATTTCAGATTCGGAAAGGATCGTAATAATTTGAATAAAATAGAAATCATTTTGATAGATAAATAAATATATATATATTAATTTTATTAACTGTCATGAACCAACTTCAAATCGAAGAACTTCAACGTAAGTTGTAAAAATTGCAACTTGAACGAATGAATGAGGATTCATCGGATGAGGAGCCAACATTTTAGTCTGTTTAAGGAAAACCTAATGATAAATAACTTTTCTAAAATCTCTCGATAGATAGTTTTGAGGTGTATACAACTTTGGGCACTGGCACTTTCGGACGTGTAAAACAAGTTCGCATAAAACGTGATCCAAGTCGACAAGTTTATGCATTGAAAATAATGAAGAAACATGACATCATTAAATTAAAATAGGTGGATCACATAAAGTCAGAGAAGAATATTTTGAATGAAATCCAACATCCATTCTTAGTGTAGTTAAAAGGCTCATTTTAGGATGCGAAATGCATTTATATGTTGTTTGAATTTGTATCAGGAGGTGAATTGTTTTCTCGATTGAGAAAGGATGGCAGATTTAGTTAAGATATTACATTGTTTTATGTATCAGAGATATTACTGGCAATCCAACACTTGCACAGAAAGGACATTGTTTATAGAGACTTAAAGCCTGAAAATTTGTTGATTGATAGAGAAGGACACATTAAAATAGCGGATTTTGGATTTGCAAAAAAGATTAAAAATAATCATACTTAAACCTTGTGTGGTACACCTGAATATTTGGCTCCTGAGTTAATTTAAGGAGCGAAAACAGGATATGGTAAATCTATAGATTGGTGGGCATTAGGAGTATTGATTTTCGAAATGTTAGCAGGGTATATTTAAATCCATATCTTATTTAGGCATCCTCCTTTTTATGATATTGAGCCCACAAATATCTACAAGAAGATTTTAAATGGAATTATAGAGTTTCCAAAGTTCTTACACGTAAGGGCCAAAGACGTTATAAGGAAATTATTAAATTCAGATGTCAATAAGAGATTGGGAGTTGAAGATGTAATTAAATTTAGTTAAATTAGGAAGGTGCAGCTTTGATGAATCACAAATTCTTTAGGGGTGTCCCATGGTAAAAAGTATTTGAGAAGAAAATCCAGCCTCCATGGATACCGTATTTAAGAAATGAAACAGATTCTCAATGGTTTGATAAGTATCCAGAAGAAAGAGATGACATTCAACCAATTGACGATGAAAAATAACATATGTTTGATGATTTTTGATTAGTTATTAATAAATGAATTAAGAAGAAATCAATCACTTATCTCTAAAAAGGATTTTAACGTAGATCTTTTTCAAAGATTTAATCTGAAATTTAAGATTCCTATGAGAATTTTAGAAAAATGCTTAGAATACAATTCTAATATCTGTGGTAGAATACAAATGCCTTGATAAATATGTTAATAATATCATAAAATAAATAGCCAAGAGATTTAGTGGTTTTTATGAGGATATAATAATCAAGTAAAAAATCAAATTAGAAGTTTAACGACATTATACTACTTGCTTTCAAGTTTAGGGAAGTAAATATGACAATATCAGCAATAAATTTACTTTTATTAAGAAATTCATTAATTATGGGATATCTATAATATATAAATTTTGTAACGATAATCCAGATTTAAATGATTTTGAAAACACAATTGTTACAAATCATTTATAAAATTCAATATAGTGATTAATTATTCTTAGTCTACTTAAGTATTCTATTGAAGAAATTTGCGATAGTAGATTGAGTAATCTTGTTTTATTAAATATATTTATTACCATGAGGTGAAATATAATGAAAAATATTAATTCTTTCTTCATTTTAAGTAATCATCCTAGCCATTATATCGAATATAATATGATATTCTGATAAAATTTTATTTTAATTCTTTCTATGATTTACACAACAAATTTCCTCTAAAATTATAAAATCTTAAATTGATTTTAAATGATGTGCATCATTTATCTACAATTTTAAGTTAGCATTAATAGCAATTTTATATTAAAAAAAAAGGATACTTCTATGATCTAAAGTATGAAATTTAGAGAAAGTAAGCTTTAATTTTTCTCTTAGATTATGGATTCAAAAGAAGGGGTCTTTAAATCTATTTATTTTCCTCTAACAATTATATCTTCCCTTATCAAGTTGATTCTTATAACCTGTATCAAGAGTTAATCATTTGTTGAGGTGAATAAAGTATTCAAAGTCGATTGATTTTTTGACTCTTTAGAAAAGAGAATTTAAATGTGAAGATAATAAAAAAGTATTTACCAAAGAGATATCAAAACTCAAACATCATAATAGCTATCATGTAAACAATTTGGTTGCATGTGGAATGAGGGATTTCATTCAAAATTAGGAATGGAGAGTATTGAAATTTAAAAATATTTTAATAGACGTAGGGGTTAATAGATTATTAAAGAAATATTATGCAAGAATTAGGAAGGGAAGTGTAAATTCTTGATTGATCTAAATGAAGATGGCTGAGTTGATGATTGTATTGAGTTATTTAATATACTATATAAACTTCATTTGTAAAATTTAAGATGTAATATAAATATAAATATAAATGAGTGAAGAAATACAGGCAATGAAATAATTGGTGCCTTAAGTGGATAAGTTAAAGACAGCCAAGAGTGAATAGCAATATGAACCTATTCTGCAAGCATTATAACGAGTAGAGTAGTATATGGAGGAGACTGTCACAGCAGATGGTCGACAATATTTGCCAGAGTTAGTAAATATATGTGTGAATTTCGTCATCAATCATAAAGCTTATCCTGATAGAGTGCTTTTCAATATAGAGTAATTCATAAAGTGTGTGTTGAAATACATTTCCAATAATCTCTAGGATGAGAAGGTAAGCCAAATGTTTAGGACCATAATGGATCCGTCTCGTATGATATATGAGCATAATGCACATCGTACTGAATGGCATGATCAAGTAATCAATTGAATAAAGTTAGTTCATTAAATATTCTTACTCTCTCAATCCTCAATACAAGTAATTCATCGATCAACTTTAAGAAGGCGCTTACGTAGATTGTCTGCGGCACTGTCGTAGCACTGCCAGATTGAATTGGTCGAGAGGAGTCGTCGAAGAACGCACTGAGGATAGCATAAAGGTTAGATATTTAAACGAGCAATCGGTCAAACATATTTACAATATAAGAAGTGGCAATCTCATGCCATATAGAACTCGATCTCAAAGATTAGATCACATGTTCAATCTTTAAGTAGGCTAGGTGATCCTGGCAACTCAATCAGATAAATGGGTGTTGAGCACCATCTAAGAACGCATAGAGGATCAGGATATCGAGCAAATTCTTAAATACAATGTGGCATTTCGTTTTTACACGGAAGATGGAAATTTCATGGACGATGGAACTCAGATGAGATACATTGGTTATAACAAATATCATGATGAATAAATAACTGCATGTCATCCTCGATTGGCACTTTCTGGTGATCACATTGTAAGGAAATTCAATTCAATTGAATAATACATTGACGATAGTTACGATATCCTATATGAATAGGACTATCAGGAAGAGAAGTTCCATGCCATCTTGAGACCTAAGCAATCAAAGAGTTTCCTTTTGGTTCAATTCATCAATCATTTTGGATATTTGGGAGGATTTGAAAAGATACTCAACATCTAATCAGTGGACATTCTGGCCAATTACATGTCTGCTATTGGCAACATTCATGCTTAATTGTTCAGATCGTTCTGTTAGGAGTACGTTCCAAAATTATAGGGATTGAGATAAACTCTGCTTCATTCTGATGAGCAAACCTTGAGAAACATGGGAAGAGAAAAGATGAATTTGATTATACAAGCCTTTAAAGTACTCTTGGATAGAATTATGAATGAGGAATAAAGGAGAGAATGGCTTTAAAAGTTGAGTTTGGAATTTGTGTAGGTTTGTTTCAATTGTAATTTCTTGGATAAGAAGATCATGGGATTAAAGTTATTGACTGATATGTTGAAGTAGGCTAGTCTAGATAAGTGCCCATAAACTGTATTATAATGGATTGATTCTGAGAATATCATGGAAACGTTGCTTCATCACAACACACATCTGTAACTATTGGAGAGAACCAAAGAATTGATTAGAATTTATTTGAACATTGATAATGCATTTACAGCCAAGCATATGTCTTTGATCTGGGATTTGATGTAGTAGAACGATAATGAATTGCGACCCATCATTTTTAAATTGATAAATGAAATTGCTTTTGCTATGCGAGATTATCATGTGATTTTCTTTATGGAATAAATCAAATAGTTGAAAGAGGATTAAATATTGATTGAGCATGTTTAATTATTATTTGAGATGAATAGATATTAAATTAAAAATTAAGAATTGATAATTATGTCAATTGATACTTTGTGGAGAATAATTGAATACGCAGGTTCAGCATAAAAGCAGACATTAGAGGATAAATCAAGGTCATACCTTTGTGATTTGATCAAAAATCTAGAGATTAAAGAGATTAAAGTTTAAATGGTTCAGAAGTTGATGTCAAATATAT